TGATATTAATGACATTACTGTGCAAAGGTTTGTGTGCCCCAGTCAAATTTGAACATTTTGGAAAAAAAAAAAATACATAAAATGCCTGTGCAAAAGTTATGGCATATTTTATTGATTTACTTGTTTAACCTGTAACTTGACCAGGGGTTTTAAAACTTTTGCATACATCTGTACACTCACTGGCCACTTTATTAGGTACAACCACTTTGTATCTGCTTTCATCGTCCATTTTATCAGCTCCACCTACCATATCGGTTCTCACTGTAGTTACAATTACAGACTGTAGTCCATCTGTTTCTCTGTTAGCCTTTACGTCTCTTATCAATGGTCAGGACCACCATAGGACCACCACTAAGCAGGTATTGTTTCGATGGTGGATCTTTCTTAGCACTGCAGTGTTTTTCAGCACCGTAACCACTCACTGTCCGGTTGGTCCACTTTGTAGATGTAGTGTATGTATCTTTAACATGTATCTGTTACTGCACAGTTTATGTTGTAGCACTTACAGATGACCGGTGCAGATCTAGCAGGGCGGAAATTGTGGCATCCTATGACAGCGCCATGTTTAAAGTCACTGAGTTCATCAGTATGACCCATTCTACAGTGTTTGTCTATGGAGATTGCAAGGTTATAAGTTTGGTTATATACACCTGCTAGCAATGAGTGTGGCTGAAACACCTGAGCACATTAATTAGGAGGGGTGTCCACATACTTTGGCTATGCAATGTAAATGATAAATGTACCTGATAAAGTAGACAGTGAGTAGTTTAAGTACTTGGTTTATTGGGTTCATTTTGAGTTAAACTAAGGATGAAAAACTCTCCAATTTGACTGAATACAGGACGTCTCACATTTTATTTGATTATTTTACCTTTTACTAATATGTATGTTGTGTATTTGTGTACATACTTGAGTCTAATTTCATTTTTGTATATTTAGGTACTACAAGGGGGCTACGCACCGTAAGATTGGCACTCACCTTCACACCTGTGTAAATGTGATGTGACAATAAACGTGATTTGTGATTTTAACCAGAGGGGCTGTAAAAGTAAAAGCAGTAAAAGCAATACATCATTTTTACTTTTGAAAATAACCTGAGACTTTAATTTTGCCCAAATCAATTATTATTATTATTATTATTATTATTATTATTATTATTATCATCATCATCATCATCATCATCTATTCAAACAATGCAAAATCAATGCAGTTCACCACCTACACTAATACATATCTTGCACCCCTAGTTAACACTGAGTGTGTTTACATGCACTCAATAATCCAATAACTGCAGAAAATCAGATTTTGTCAGTAATCTGATCAACACGTATACATGCACTTGAGTAATCAGATAATGGGAAAACTCCAGGTCTACATGAGTCAGACAGTAATCAGATTTCTGCTTTGCAACCAGCCAATAAACTCACAGAAGAAGACGTGACGAAAATGTAACGTAAAACTCAAACTTCATGACGTGGCTTTTTTTTAAACATTGAGCCACTTTACCTGAAAATATGAACAAACATCATTTAGAAGATGAAGAATATTTAAATCCTTTATTTTGTGTTTGGTTTCAGTGCCGCTCCAAAAGTGTTTTGCTGCGTCTTGCGACATCCACCGTCTGATCTCGCGCATGCGCAGACAGAGAAATCGGAAAGAAATCAGAATAAGAGTTCACATGCACTGAGAAATCTGATTAAGCTAAAATCCAGCCTCTTTATCAGATTTCTTAATAGATTTCTAGATCGGAGTATGGTGTTTACATGACCTTTTTAGTAATCGGATAACTGCAGAAATCCGATTATGATCGGATTATTGAGTGCATGTAAACACACTCTCTGACATCTACTACACCAAACTGACCACTCCAAATTCATATTTACATGTTGCTGTGTTTTATTAGAAGAATAAAACTTTCACATGGTTCTCATTTGGCCACAGTATTTACAGACTGCAGGGAACATTGAAAAAGCCAAGTTCTGCACTGAGGTAGCGACACAGTCAGTCAGCTCTACAACAGCAAAAGGTATAAAATACAAAGTTACACCTGTGTAAGTGAGAGCAGCAATAATTTAACAGAACAGCATATAAATTACAATTAATCTGTACAATCATACTGTACATGTTATTTACAGACTGATCCACAGAGAGAGCTTTTAGCATTTTGACAGGCGAGAATCTTTTTTAGTGAAACTAAATGCATGAAGTGACGGGAGCATCTCTCCTTTTATCTCCGTGCAGATGCAGGAAGACGGCGGCTGTTATAATGGCACAAATGCACATTATAGACTGAACGCTTAAGCGTGTGGTTTCAAGAGTGAATCACATTAGGATTGGAAGACTTGTGCAACAGTTAAGTGAGTAACACTTTATTTTGGGTGGACATTAATGCCCTTATTATGCCCTAATTAAGCCTTTTCAAGGCAATAGCTTCTAATTAACTGGCTGGCATTTACTACTTTATTATTCCAGAGCACCTTCTGCCTGATATTGACCAGAAGCACCATTAATTAGCACAGTTCATGCAGATTCCATGATCATACAGTACTCTACAGTACAGTACAGTAAGTCACCCTTCATTTATTCAAAATCCAGTCAAAACGGCCTTTGTGTATAAACTATTCATTTTTCAGGAGATATTTCTGAGAAGATTAGATAGAAAATAATCCACTTGCATAAATAAGGAGAAAGTCAAAGGAAAATAAGTGAGGAAACAGGAGTTTCCAAAACTGGAACTCAAAAAAATGATGAAAAGCTACAGAGAAAATGTGCCTCCTAACAACCACCTGGAAGACCTGGTAGACACCAAAACTGTCCCCATCAGATAAAACAGCACTTAAGCTTTCATCTTTGAGAGAGAGGAGAAAATCAAGCTCCACTGTTGCTTCAGGGGCTGGATTCATGAAAGAGAATGAAGAAAGAAAATATACTTAAATGTTTTAAAAGAGAAATTGTTATTCTTCCAGTAACGTCTTAAGAATTCTTAATCCTCTATTGCACAGTGTTGCCATATGGCAACAATTACCTTAGCTAAATTGTACTAAAAAGCTGTAATATAAAATCTGTGTTTTCCCATTTAATTGTGGAAAAAGAGTCTTTTACTTTGAAAGGACAAATACTTTATGACATCACACGACCAGGAATTCTGATCATGATGTTATTATTCCCATACATTCCAAATACTAATTGAAACTGTATTAATTTCCAGTATTTGTAAATATTGGGTAGTACATTTCACTAAGTGGGATTTGTCTGGACTTGTTTTCAATAAAAGGATGTGTTTTGAGAAAAATTAGATTTTATGGTGCTTTTTTTATTTTATGGTGATATGGTATGATTGTGCACTGTTGCCATATGGCAACAATTTACCAAATACCCCACTTTAAGATTTTTTTTTTTCAAATATTTCCATTATTTAAGCAAATTCAAATAACAAAAACACATTAAAGCTTTTTTATCATGTGTAAGTAATAATTCATGCAATAGAGGGTTGAGAACTTCTTAAGATTTTTTTTCTTAACTCATTTTAAGAACAAGTGGAGGTCTTGAAAACATTGGACCTCATTCTGCAGTTTGTTCTTAAATGTGTTCTTGAGAAAGGCCCTAAGAAAAAGTCTACGTCAGATTCATGTCGTGTTCTTAAAGCGCAGAACTGTTCTCACCTTTGTGCTCTTGAGTGAGTGTAGATTCTGTTCTTACCTAAGAACAAATCCCAGATAAGAAAACACTGGTGAATGTTAGGATCTTCGTATAAACTGCCCAAGTGGGTTTAAAGAAATACATTTTTAAATTGCTCTTAAAATGTCCATTGTTTTTAAATGTTGTCTTAAACTTTACAGAGCCTCAAACTTGTCTTAGGCTGTAAGATTTGACAACATTCAATCTAAATCAGTTATCAAACTTGGACGCTGCCTCTTCTACTCTCGCCCATCCTCGTCTCTTGCTTTCTGTCATCACCCCACAATTACTATGTTTTCTAAGGAGGTTTTTCTCCAGTTGGCTGTTTCTTCCACCATCACCTCTAGTTCTTGTTTGCTAAAATGTTTGAAATACTTGGTTTGATGTTTTGCCTCCATTTTGTACCTCTGAGCGAATAAATAACCAAAATAACTAAATAACCAAAAAAAACAAAAAAACAAAAAAACGGTTAAATCTAATGTTATTCATGGTAAGCTGTAAAATGCAACATAGCATACATAAGAAAACATTGATGATTTTCTTAAGAGAATATTTGAGAACTTCTTAAGCTTTTTTTTTCAAGAATTGCATTTGAGAACATTCTTATGAACTTCTTTGACTTTAAAACCTTCGCAAAGTTTTTCTTAAGAAAGTTTTTGTGAGCCCAGATCTGAAATAATCCACATCCATCCTTCCACTGTGAGAAGACGACTCAGCGCTGTGGGTCTGAAAGGATGTGTAGCTGTTGAGAAGAACCTCACTGAGAAAAGGAGACGGACACATCAAACAAAGAAGCTGAACAATGGACTGACCACCCCAGAGTCCAGACCACAACATCATGGGATTGTATGGGAAATGAACGGAAGCTGTGATAAAGGCACACTGAACACTGAGAAATCAGTGTAATTTAAATTTGTTAATGTTTTTCCTTTTTTCCTGACACTGAAAAATGAATAACTAATTCTTAATGGCCGTTTTAACTGGACATTAGTGGTTGCGGACTTTTGCTCAGTAACACCATCATAGGTGTAAATGTTAACTCCCTAAATGGCCAGAGACCACCGGCAGGCCCAAAGCTTTATTACACACGTCTATAACCTAAGAATAGCTCAGCCAGTTTGCACTGAAGTCCCTGTAGTTACTGAATAATAAGGCTTAGTAGGTAATCAGCCTGAGATTTTAAGGGGTTTTATTTAGAGCTAACTGGCTTGCTAAGCCTTAATAAGTGCATAACAAGGGCAATATAAGGTACCTAAAGTAAAGTGTTACAGAAGAGCATCCAAGAGTCCATACGAGTCCTTAACTGTCAGAAAGACCACCGGTCACCTGCATCCGCATGACTCCACCACCATGTCCTCATACTGTTTATACACCACGTTATTCCCAGCATCTATATACAGGATGCTGATGGGGCTGAGTTTGGACGGCACGCAGCAGCTGGGGGGCATGTTGCTGGGGTTCATGGAGTTCATCAGAGTCTGGATGATGGCGTGGTTGGTGGGCTCCAGGTGGGATCTAAGGGGAAAGTCGCAGATGCCCTCGCAGTGGTACGCCTCGTAATCCAAGGGGGCTATGATCCAGTCGTCCCAGCCCAGCTCCCTGAAATTCACATGCAGGGGCTTCTTGCTGCACCTGGACTTGGATTTCCTGCCGTGCCTCTTGCCGTGACGGTTCTTCTGCGCGTTTCTCCGCTTCCGCCGAGGTTTCGAGCGAGGAGCTTTCTCCTTTCCCACCCGCTCAGGCCCCCACAGCTTAATCTTCTCCCGTTTCTCATAGAAAAGGCTCTGCCTCTTCTTTGACCTGGTGAACACCACCAGGATGGCTTTCTTCTGCTGCGGGCGAGCGTGTCGGTGAAACCCGAGATGCTGCAGGTCCACGTCCCTCTCAGGGTTGTCGAGGGTGGCCTTGAGCTCCAGGCAGAAGTACTTCCCCTGTGAGTGGAGGTGACGCTCAGCAAAAATGTCCCACACATCTAGAACCTCCCATCGCGGTTTGTGAGAGTTCTCCAGATCCAAAGTTCTGGAGTCCAGCAGTTTGTGGGACTGGCAGGACAGGAGCTGAAGCTCCACAGTTCCAGTTTCAGACGCCTGGAAGCTTCCAGAGACTTTTGTGTAGATTCTCAGCTCGGCGCCCAGCAGCTCCGCTTTATCGGAGAGGGTCGAGACATCAAACAAATACTTCTGTTTCCATAGCGGGGAGGTCGAGGGGTCATCTGAGGGAGAAAGTGGAGATGTTTAGGCTCATGAATGCAGCAGTTTCACTTTTTTAGGTAGACTTCACTCAGTCTGCAGCACTGATTTGTTTAAACTTGACCGCAACTAGTAATTAAATTCATATTCACACTTAAAAATGATGGTTCTTCAAGGGTTCTTTAGTAAAGAAAATTGTTCTATATAGAAACATGAACACTCAAAGCACCCTTTGCATGATTGAAGTGTTCTTCTATTGAAACAAGCTATGATATTGTAACAATAGAAGAACCATTTTTGGTGCTATAACGAGCCCTTTTCAAAAATGTTCCATGAGTCTGAAGAACCCTTTCATGATGCAAAGAGCCCTTAAATAGTGGACAGCGTTCTTTGATTGTACATGGTTCTATATAGAAAGTTTTTCTTTATTGAAAAACCATTGAGGAACCATTATTTTTAACTGTGCAGGCCTGCTTACATTCATATACTCATCAGTAAGTACCTGACTAACATGTACTAAAGTAAGTTTCCTCACAAATATATTTGAGTAGAAGTACTAGAGGTAGTTAGACCAGCTTAAAGCGTCCTAAAGCTAAGAACCTTTGTTACTCAGATTAATTAATGACTCGAGCAGAAGGAAAAAGAGCACAAAAAACTTCAGTAAATATATCGCAGGTCTGCAGGGGAACTTTTTAGTCCAACTTTTTAGTCCATTCCTTTTAGTCCATTCAGCTTTCAGAACAGAATGTGAAGTTTTTTTTTGACTCTATTTTTCTCTTTTTTGGACCTTTTTGGTCTAAAATAAAAAGTGACAGTGAAGCAGCCCAAGAGCTGAACCAACACAAGAGAATCAAATTAAAACCCACACAGAGATTTAGAAACTAAATACTAATGACTAAAATGGAACTGAGGAAAACGTTGATTGGATCACATATTGTGAGCGTGAGGATTAAATATAGACATAGTGTGATTTGGTTTTATGAGAACGACCCATTATTCTAATTAAGTATAATTAGATAAAAGGTTTTATTTTCCGACAGTGACACTATATACGTTATTATTACACAGAGTGTGATGCAAAGTTCAAATTACATGTTTTGTTGATTTTCTAAGTGAAAAGTTCCTCTACAGGGAATATGACACTTTTCTGCACATTTTCTGGAAATATGCTGGAAAATAATGAAACAAAAAATATAAAATATGCCGTAAGTTTTGCACAGGCCACAGTTTCTATGAAACTCAGTAAATAAACAGTATTTCTCTGTTGAAATGTACAGAAGTGTCTTCTCTGTAGAGGGTGTGTTAACTTACATTTTACATAGAAAATCAACAAAGCATGTAGTTTAACCAGGGGCATCCAAACACTGCATACAATATACACATATATACTCCATATATTTAAGTACCTATATGTAATAATATGTCTCATATGTAATACATATTTCACCACTTTTGGAAAACAAAACAAAGCACTGTTTCTCCATTTCTGACCATTTTAGCCTATTTTTACAGAGTTTAAAATGTCAGCTGCCCTTTGGAAAATATGATAAAATGTTATGATGAATGGACCAAAAGAAAAGCTCAGAAATGAATCAGAAAAAAAATCTTGCTACTTCTATTCAAGGTTGATAAGGTATTTTTTACTCTCTCCAGTAAAGTTACTCTTCAGGAGATGTGATGTGTTGTGAGTGCCTAAATGTAATAGTGTGTACTGTGTGTATAATATATTGCCAATGTCCAAAAGAAGAAATGTGTCTTAATTTTTTTCTATTTTGTTTATACGTTATTTGGACACAGCAGCCGTGCTTTACATTGTGTGAATGTTTTGTGACGAACAGACCAATAGAAATGCTCTGAGGGTACCTTAAATATATGAAATATAAAATATCTTCATATTCATTTGTGTTATATGTTAAGAACATTTTTACCTCCTTCTGTAAGGTTAGTATTTTGGAGATATGTTTTATATATATTATATATATGTATGTATAGTCAATTTTTCTGCATCATTTCAACACACCAGCTGCCCTTTACACTGTGTGAAAATATCATGATGAATGGACCAATAGAAATGCTCTAAATCTCTTTATATTAACTTACATTGAAAGGTAAGTGTTTTTGCCTTCTCAGCCTAAAGCTACTATTTTAGAGATGATTGTTTTTTTTGGGACAGTGACTATATATATACACACACTGTTAGAAATAAAGGTTCTGTTCAGGTACATTTTTCATTCGTCAAGGTACAAACAGTGTAAATGTTCCCTCAAAAGGTTCTACAGTGGTTTTAAGGTCTGATTGTGAACCTTAAATAAGTTTTCCAGGTGAAAAGTTTGTATTTGTACCTTTTCATAACCGAATGTTTTAAACAGAACAGTGAAATAAAGTTCTGGAGACGAGACGGGGTGTGTGGAGTCAGTACAGCTTAGAACATATCATTTCAGTGGATTATGGTTCAGTTATGTTCCCTGACTAAAGGTACTGAGATATATATAAGAAATGTCCCCCTCCGACAGTGAAGGTCCTGCATGTGTTTTGTATTTCTAGAAGTTTTTGAAAAGTATAAGGGGGCTTTTAAGCTTTGCATGAAAGTGTAAATCATAAGATCCCACAACAACAAAACTTCAGATCTCCAGAAAGGCAACTTTACAGGAGGAGGAAGAACTGCTGAACTTTTAATGAAAGTTAATGGAGAAAATATTTATTCCAAATAATTTGGGAGCATGTCTGTTGTTCTGATCATCCATGAAATTTTGATACAATATAAAGAGCAGGCGTTGATTTCAGATTACGTAAAAAATATGGAAAATGACAAAAAAGTGGAGATATGAGGTTTAGTCCTAACAGCGATTACATATTTCCATATATTTCAAAACGTGTCAGGATGGTATTGCATTTCTCTATACGTTTGATACATAAGTAAACATGAAAAAATGTACACTATTATATATATTTCATCTACATATGTGCATATTTCAATATATTGATGCACATATTAAATAATGGCACAATTACACATATATTTTAATACATGTTCATATTAATGCTCTTCCAAAAAAGTGATAAAGCAGGTAATATTCTGATGATGTCACTCACCTTGCCCCTGATCCACAAAGCTGGTGATGGTGTTGGCGGCCTTGGAGGAGCGGAAGAAGCTCGCGTTGAGCCCCAGCTTCTCCGCAGCTGAGAAGGTCTTGTAGATGGACAGCATGTAGTCGTGAGGTTCCACCGAGTGCCAGCGCTTCCTCCGGGCTGAGGCTGGAGCTGGAAGCCCATCTCTGACACGGTTCCTGCCTTTGGGACCAGCAGGGAGGAGAAGCTGGGCTGCTGGAGAGCCTTTTGGATCCACGGACGCAGAGTGGACACAGCTCAGGAGAAAAGCAAAAGCCGTGCACAGGCTCGCCGCGCGCATAGTGGGAAACCAGTAAATTTAACAGGAGCGAGAAGTTTGAGGAGGGAGAGCTGAGCTCTTAGGAGACCTGCAGAACTTAGGAGAGCTTTGCTGAGGAGGTCCTAACCCCCCTCCTCCCCTTATATACTCCCACTCAGCCTGCAGCGTGGAGCTGGACCTGTGAGAGTCCTCTTACATCATCAGGCTGACCTGGACTGCTCCATCCTCCCTCTGCTCACCTCACAACCTCACTCTGACAACCTGGCTTTAAATATAGGTGTACAGAACAGATAGACGGTACTGTAAAATTAAAACGTAAAAACAGCACCAATCCGTCCTGTTTCTCCATATGAGATGAGTTTCAGTGTAACAGTGATTCATCAGGAACATCTGGACCTTTCATGAGCAAGAAGCTTCAGTGTAAGAACCGAACTCTGTGGTTTCTCGCGACCTCTAGTGGTCAGCAGACAGAAATGCACTGGGCAAAATCAGTGGAGAAGAAAAACTCAAACCTGAAATGAACCTTTTTTACCTGGTTAGTTCATATGATCAATTTAACCCCTCAGCATTCCAGGCTTATTACATACTAAGGCTTATTATTCATTAACTACAGGTACTTCAGAGCACACTAACGGAGCTTTGTTTGAGTTATAGCAGTGTGTAATAATACTCTGGCTTGGAAGGGGTTAAAGAGCAGTTCCACTGACTGTTCACAATCTCTGCATAATTAAGCGGTTCAGATGTAAACTGAGTGATTCAGAGTGGTTTGGTGTGAAATGGTTCATTGTAGAGACTCAGATGTCTTTACAGTGGTGGTGATAGGAACCAGGGGTCGCCATGACTACAACACAGATATAGACATTTTATTTACTATCCAAAACCAGTCAGGTGAATTGGAGATACTAAATTGCCCCTCGGTGTGAGTGTGTCTGTCCTGTGATGGACTGGTGACCTGTCCAGGGTGTTTCCTGCCTTCTGCCCAGTGAGCACTGCCCCCCCGCCCATGATCCAGAATGATAAATGGCTTAGATAATGTGTGTGCTTCTAATATATTCTTAATATATTTTGTTATTCTGATTTAATTTAATAAGTCTATGTAAGACCGCTGAAGAATTTGTGTAACTATGTACATCTTTTATTCATTTGCTGCAGTTCTGATTTCTGATTTTTGATTCTGGTACCAGAGAGCGGGGAAAATAAAATGAATTGATGATATGTTTCACCACCCCCTTCCACCCTCACTCATCATGGAGAGAAAAGGCTCAGCTAGCTCAAAAACCCCCCATAACTCACAAACACCTCACGATGCTGAAGGAGAAAAGATTACGATTTCTATTTTTACATTGACATTAAAGGACCCATTTAAAGAAAGTTCGTTTTCCTTGCTTTTTAGCATGAAATTAATTAAAAGATTGAAATATTAATGTAATACTTAACCATATTAAAGTTTTAGGACAAGCCTTGCACTCCCCAGTCTATAAACGGAAGTTAAGCCTTAAAAAAAAGGCTTAATATATACTAGTAATTTTTTATCCAGCTCCAAATCATCATGTTTCACCACAACTCGTGTGCGCATCAGTCTTATCGTCATCAAGGGCTCACTGACTCCTCAGACTCCAGTGCTATAGCTATAGACTATAACAGTACTGAAGAGAGAGAGAGAGAGAGAGAGAGAGAGAGAGAGAGAGAGAGAGAGAGAGAGAGAAAGAAAGAAAGAAAGAAAGAAAGAAAGAAAGGAGAGAGAGAGAGAGAGAGAGAAAGAAAGAAAGAAAGAAAGAAAGAAAGAGAGAGAGAGAGAGAGAGAGAGAGAGAGAGAGAGAGAGAGAGAGAGAGAGAAAGAAAGAAAGAAAGAAAGAAAGAGAGAGAGAAAGAAAGAAAGAGAGAGAGAGAGAGAGAGAGAGAGAGAGAGAGAGAGAGAGAGAGAGAGAGAGAGAGAGAGAGAGAGAGAGAGAGTGTAGGAGCGAGCATGTGAGGCACCTACCTCTGACAAGAGAGAAAATGCGCTAGCAAACGAGACTTTCATTAAAAAGGGGAAATCTAGTACATTAAAACTCACTCACTGAAAAACAAACTTGAGCCTGATATGAAAAATCGGCCCAAAATCCAGTATTTTATTGGGTCAATCAGCCTTGGGTCGGGTAGCACAACTGTAAAATGTTACCCAGGTACAATGGTTTGTTTTAGTGTATCAGTGAAATATCATAAAAACATAACCTGTTTCTCTGTTAGTAGACATTAGAGAGGAGGCGTGTAGAGGAGATGATTGATGTGGAGAGGAAAGGTGAAGAGGTCTTTAATGACAGTATTACTCCATTACAGGCAGTGTTTTCACTTGTCTTTTCTTTTTTTATGATTTTGTTTACAAGAGATGTCGATGATCAATGCTCAATTTCGTACAGATTTGTTGATGTCTAGAACCTTACACTAAAGGTTTAGGACACCCTAAAACACACCTACAGTGAATTGGGCTGAGCCCTGGCTCTTTAAACGCCCAGTCAACGCCCCTGAATTTACATGCACCCGCCTATTCAGCCCACAGCAGTTTAGTGGTGCCCATTTATGCTGAAGTTATAAGGAGTGCTTCAGGCTGGACAGTCATTCAGAACAGCTCATTTACATACATCAGCTTTAAAGACAGCAACAAAAGCAGCCCATTTAATTCTAAGGGATAAAAAGAGGCTGGAAAATGCTCATGTAGAAGTTAATTATGGTCATTTTTGATACACAAAACCATATAAATGTCACATGTTGACAACCGAGAGGCAAAAAATAAAATGTAAAAAACGCTGAATGTTCCTCAAAGGCCATGAACATTCAGACTCCACTTAGTTGTATGTTGTTTTATAACATGAACACACATTGTAGATGAAGACACACTGATGTTTCTTTTGCTATTTGAATTTTATTGCTAATATTTCACAACATACGAATCTCAGAAAATCAGAGAATCTCTTTAAAGTGCCATTTAAAGTAAAGTGAAATATGTGAAACATTTGCTTTGATTGGATTCAGGATATGTAGAATGCAGATATTACGGTAAACTTTTCTGTTACATTAAATGTAGTAACTCCAAAATTACTGGCACCCTTAATGAAGATGAGCAAAAAAATGAGGTTATAAACAATGTTTTTGCTGATCAGTTTGATATTAGACTGAAATTATGAGAGGAATCTAATCTAGTCAGGAAAAAAAAAAAAAATCAAAAAGGTGAAAAACTGGCACCACTATAATTTCCTAATGACAAAATATTATTGCCTCATACTTCCACTCATATTTTATGAATTTACACACCATTCAGGCCACAGTGCATCGTTTCACCTGGATGTAAATATGAGGTGACACGCAAACCATAGATACTTACAGATACATCAACACAGAAAAGATTAAGATCAAGACTAAGATAAAGATTACAGGCCTTTGTAAATCAGGCAGTGGCTATTAGAAACAGCATCACACCTAAAATACCACTACTAAGATGTTTAAACATTGTTTGCTCTCATGCAGATTAAGAAGAAGAGTTTTGGAAGGCAATGCTTTCTCCAGTCATGACTCGTGGGCTTTTTAAGAAATTGGCTGGATCATGGGGTCACCAAATCTCCAGAACTACAATCAGACACTGTAGCCATGACAACAAACTATCTGAAAAGCCTTTAATAGGAAAACAAAGCCTGTAGTGTAGTCAAGCTACAGGCACAAACACAAGCACACAGAGTTTGCTAAACATCACTGGAACTTTGTTTGGACGTGGGTTCAGTTGTGGAATCAGACAGAACTAGAGCTATTTGGGAACAACTGGAGGTGGATTTAGTGTAAAAAGAGTAAAGATTATGCAGGAAAGAGCCCAGTCTGCACAGTGAAGAGCGGTGGGTTTGTGATGCTGTGGAACCAATCAAGCACTTCAGAAGAAGATAATTCATCTCACGTGACTCGGAATGACTTATCCAGAGTTTGTGTGACTTATTCAGAGTTACTTACAATTTGATCATTTTACACAGGGAGGTGAAGGTAGTGTTAGGAGTCTTGCCCAAGGACTCTTATTGGTATAGTGTAGGGTGTTCACCCAGGCAGGGATTGAACCCCAGTCTACAGCATAGAGGGCAGAGGTGTTACCCACTGCACTATAACAACCAGAGTAGAGGCTGTTACTGCAGCAAAGGGCAACAAACTAATTAATTAATCAATACCCTCCATTTCAGAAGGAATGCTGGACCAGCAGGTGTCTACAAACTTTTGCATGTGTTATTTTTCTATTCTTCCTCTTTACTGTGCAATGGTACACTAAGTGCTTGGCAAAGTCAGGGTGCGGAAAGTACTGACTGCTAATAACTACCAATAACTGTGCCGTGATTATGAAAGCTTATAAACAACTAAGACATGTTTTAAAAAAATTCCTCATTCTTTTACAAGGGTGCCAATAATTGTGGAGAGCACAGTGAGCATTCTCATCATATCCTGTCAGGAGGTAGATCAAAAGTTACAGACAAAGTACAGACCAAAGTTATTTAGCAACCAATAAAGACATTTTTAAGGAACTTTAATTTAATTAGAGAATAACAAGAATAATATATAAACCTCCTCAAACTCTCATAACCACATAACTTACATATCAGAATCACAGCAGTTACTGAATAATGTCTTATTACTAATAACTGAATAACTGATCAATAACTGAGCTGAAGGCTAGGGGTCAAGAGGTTAAGGTACTTTGATTTTTGTAGAGCATAACATGAAATATATTATCTTTTAGAGAAAAAGGAGAAATCTATTCAGGCTGAACTGGCGTAACGTCGTTGCTCCACCTGTTCTACACTGCACAGTACAGTAGATGCAGGACGCTCAGCAGGATCAGCATGTATACGGTCCCCATTGTGTAGTGAGGACTGGAGTCGAAGATGCTGGGGAATTCACTGTCGGTGGTGGACTCTCTCGGTGTGGATGAGCTCTGAGTGGTGCCTGTGATGAGGGAAGAAGTGGTACAACATTAGATGATGTGACGGAGGGGATGCGCAGGATAAAAGAATGAGGGGGTGTGATAGTGATTTTCTCATCGTTATGGGAAGTTAGGCATGATACAATATATACAATATGATAATACACACCAATGTTCAATAAATAAATTTATTAATAATAGTTAGTGTTGGGCCACCCTATATTGTCTGTACTGGTACACCATAATATTGATGCACAGGATGGAATTGTGCACATGTGGTTGAATCCTAAATGGCTGTTTGTTAGCTATTCTATGAAATGTTTGGGTGCAGGAGCCAGAATTTTCATTCCTACTTAGTGCACTACGCATTCAGCCCAAGCACGGGGAAAAGGGACGTCTAACACTGACAGCATGGTGCTAACATAGGACTGGAAGTGACATACAGGCGCTAATTAGGATTACTGTTGCGGTAGGCACTGTGTCACTACTAAGTGAAGGTTTTTTGCATTACATAGTGCTATAATGATGACAAAAAGGTAAAAGGTTATTAAATTACAATGAGTGCAACTGAATATTCGCATGGAAACAACAACAACAACAACAACAACAACAACAACAACAACAACAACAACAACAACAACAAGCCAATGAACTACATTTCTTAGCAGAATAACTGTATCTTGATTATTGTTAATAATAATCCTTTTGTTAAAAAACATCGTGTATTTTATCATATTTTATGTCATCCATTGTTTTAGAAAAGCAATAAGCCACTTTTTTATTTTAGTAATTTCATCAGAGGGGAGTTTTACTCCTAACTTGTACCTAAGAACATCCCTTACCCGTGATAAAATCACTGTAAGGCACAGCTTCTCGTGGCTTGTTGCTTTATTGTACACAGTTAGTTATGTACTTCAGACTGTTTTGAATAAATAGTATGTTTACTACTTTCTGTCTGGCTAATGTTTACAGCACTGTATAAGATTCCCTTTGGTGTAATTCTAAGAGAAGAAAGCAGAACAGTCTGATCAGAACAAGCTTGGTCAGGTTTGTAAGAAAGTAGCAGCACTCAGGAAGCTTGGGCTCATTAACTTTATTAATACTCACTTAAACATCATCTTATATACTCTAAAAATACTGTAATATTGAATTTTATCAATATCGCCCAGCACTATTATTAATAATAATAATAATCACAGTAAACAACTCTTCCACCAAGCAGTGTCATTCACAATGACTTCGACAATGTAGCACAATGACTTAAATAAACTGCCACATAATAATAATAATACAGAATTTAACTGATGTGGTCATAGGAGTGTATATTGAGCATTTTACCCTGGATGTGACTTTTACTCTGAAACAGACTTTAAAACTGGAAATATTCATTACAGAGGTTACAATAATTAGACTAACTGATCAAGCTGTTGTAAGTAAAGCACTGGGTGATGCTGTAGTACAGCAGATGTGGTGGAGAGTGTTGGAGGGAGAAGTTGCAGAATTGGTAGGTATATCAGAGTAATTTTGGAGAAGCAGACTTACTTGTAGGACTTGCCGTAGATGACACGGCCAGGACAGTGAAGGACCTGGACTGAGCGCTCCAGTCGTTCAGGGTGAAAGCCAGTGTCAGATTCTTCCCTGTGGAAAAGAGGAAAAACTGGACAGTGAAGACAGCATCTACAAAAGGGATGGCAGTCTCTGCTTATTATCAAAGCAGAAAGAAAACAATAACAGCTGATTAGTATTAAGGGGACGTTTCAAAATTTTTAGTTTAATGCCTCTAAAAGCTCCCTCACAGAAAGCTATTGCATTAAGTAGTTATGAATACACTGCCTGATGTCTGAGACAGTGTTGTATGATGTTTTCGCAATAAGACATAAAACCTATTCTTAATAATACATTCATAGCAGAGAAAGAGTCCCCAAAATAGTCCCCAAAGAAAACTAACTTTTTTAATTTACCATATTTTACCATCATCAACACTACATATAAAAATTCAGAAGACACGTGTGGCGGTTTTGGACAGTGAAAAAATGGCTATATTTGTGTTGTAGTCCTGGTGACCCCTGGTTCCTATCAGCACCACTGTAAAGAAATCTGAGTCTCTACAATCAACCACTTCATACCAAACCAGCCTGAGTGGCTTTGCTTATATCTTAACCACTGAATCATACAAGTTTGGTAAAATTGGTGGAAGTCCTCTTAGGGGGCTGACTTTGAGGTCACTCACCAGAGATAGAGATGGCCAGGTCGGTGTAATTGGCCCAGCAGGTTGAGAAGGGGATGGTGGTGTTTCCGTACAGGCCGTCTACTAGGTTCCCATTACCGTCTTTGAGCACAGCTGTAATTGTTAGAGTCGTCACCCCCACTGATACGCAGGCCCCCTGGAGACAAAGTCCCAACAGAATTCAGTGGGAGATTTATACAGTATAAAGACCTCCACATGCTACATAACTCTGGCCCTCAGCTTCAGTGCACATTTTGATAATGTTCCGTTACGGGACGGCAGGGAGGCGGACCCAAGTGCAGAGGGGAAAACCCGTGAGAAAGTGTCAGATTAATTTATTGAAGCGATGGAGTGTGAATTTGGTGATTGTGCATGTTGGAGTTGAGGTGACACAGAGCAAGCCTCGAATCGGAAGCACAGGCGACACCTCAACGAATGGGAAATAAGAAGGCGGGAAAACGGCAAACAAAGCGTAAGCTGAAAGCAGCAGGATCAAAAAAGGCTGAACTGGAAAAGTGAAATAAGAGATAATCAGAAAACAAAAATTGCTTCCTCTGTGATTCTGAGAGGAAGGCAGGCTTGTTTCACCCGTTTGCTCTTAGTGGAGCAAACACCTTTTGTATGGCCTGGAGCCGTTTGTTGCTCAAGCCTTTTTTTGGTTTTTAAGTAGTTTTGGGGCAATTTCTCTCTTTTGCTTTGTTTCCAGCCCTCTTTCCTTTTCTGTTCTTTTCTTTTTCTTTTCTTTTTCTTTTTCCTTTCCTTTCCTTTCCTTTCCTTTCCTTTCCTTTCCTTTCCTTTCTGTTTAAACCTGGGCTAAGTACCGTACCGGTCACCCCTCTACAAAGGTGTGACAAAGCGCTGCTGTTTGCCACGGCCTTAAGTAGAGAATTCCACAGGTGTGCCAGGTTGGGCCTAATCAGCCCGAGGGCTTCTGGGAATTGGAGTTCCCTGAACCTATAGCACTTCGCGGCGGTTGCCCTCTGCTGGCTGTCGGCGGCACAGGCTGGGCCCTTACATGTTCCTGCTGCTCACAGTCTCTTTATGAGCTGTTTTAGAGTAGAGACCATCACTAGTGTAGTGATGGTACAGCATATAATCACCTACAACTGACCAAAGAAACGTTTGTATTTTGTGCTTGATTTCAATTTGACCGCTGAGAGCAAAGATGGTCCAATAATTAATCATATAACCAGCACACATCTGTATATGTAGATTTTTCTGCTTTTTCTTGCTGCTGAAAAAATCTGATTTCACACATTTAAATAACCCAAATTAAACATTTGACATATTTAAATTACCCAAATTAAACAAACGCTTGACTTCTTCTCGTTCGAGTGCTGGTGAGAAACTTACCTCCTGGTCCACTGCCATGATGCACGGCTGTACGCTAAGAGGTCCAGGCTGATATCCTGCTACCGGCTGCTGCACCACGATCAGAGACGACACGCTCTTCACCGTCTGCACTGGTGGATCCTGACGCGTCACTTCCTGACTGGCCACCTGACCCACAGAGACAGAATCTCTCAGAACTGTATGTACTATCAGGCTGAGTGGCTTAATTAGGTTTAGCGTGAGCTCACAGTAGCGTAACGAGTGACTGCACTGGAAGATAACAGTCATTTCCACTCGCACATGTACACAGTGTATGTTTGTTCATCCTGGATCTCTTGTAATGTGATAGCATTAGTGATGGGATGGAGAGAAAATGTACAATGATGGTAAATTTCCCATAATGACCAAAGTTATTACGGTGTTATCACGATATTGTTAAAAGATATTAATAATGTTTAAAAAGCACTAATAATCATTTAATCAAAGGTTTTATATGCATATATAGCTACTGTCAGAACACAACCTCGTATCTCCATCTTTGTCATTTTTCAGTTTTTGACGTAATCTGAAGTCTCCCTGTTGTCCTTTACATTGCGTATATATTTCATGACGAATGGACCAAAAGACATGATTCAAAATTACTTGGAAACACGTCTGGTTCCATTGACTTACATTAGAAGTAAAGTATGTTTTTTTCTTCTCCTGTAAAGTTACCATTTTGGAGATACAAGGTTTTGTTCTAACAGCAGCGACATGCTGTATTCATTTCTGACACAAAATCAACCACTGGTTTTAACACACTGTTAACAATAGCTCTCCTAATATAAATAATGAGAGAGATTCACCCCCCCCCATATAAATACAGCGGTCTTTTTTAAATTCTTATGCACACATCAATCAGAAAAATGCTTTAAGTATCATGTGTATAAAATATACAGACAATATGAATATAATATATATTGTGCTGATTATTTCTCTCCTACATTTTGGTCCAAAAACAATTTTGCCAGCCTCTTCTGACTAATCATATTTATTCTGATTAATATATTCTCATGATTTTAGGTTGGAAAACTCGTCTTGTTCAAACAACATAGAACTACATTGAATATTTATTTTTTCGCAAATAATCCGACTTTTTAGCAGCTGTTACAACAAAACCCTCGGTCTGTTACAATTAAGCCCACCACATCTACAACTCCTGTTTGAGCAGAGACTAAACTGGACCAGGCTAATTTAGCCATGTGTTACACTAAAACCGACATTACAATCCTAATAAACACCATTATTAGGTATCTATATTGTATTATTACACTAGATTTATTCTGTATCTTAAATTAATATATTTCTTTATTAGTAAAGGCTAACATGAGTGTGAATTGATCTGACCTGGCTCCAGGACGGGTCACTGGGTGGAGGAGATGGAGGAACGACACCCACTGATGACACGTTGAAGCCGATGGACTGGCTCAGATTGCCGGAGACCGCAGCCTGACCCAGATTGTCAGCGATGTTCTTCAGCACCTCAAACTGCTGCTCACCTGCGAGAGACACAGACAGGTCACCCAGGTGCCGAGTTAAAGATATAATAATAAAAAGATAATGATAGCTACGGTAACAACTATATTATTGTTATATTACATTATTATTAAAATAGTCTAATAATGATATAAATAAAATTGACATAAAGAGATAAAAACTTATTTATGAAGCATTTTTTCCTAATTATCTGATTTATTTATTCTATTTTATGGCATTTACATCAATGGCTGTATCACTAAGAACATTTATGAAATGAAAAATATACTGACTGCCTGTTAAGAGTTTGGGACGCCTAGCTTTTTAAAACAGTTGAACAAATGAGCATCAGTTTTATTTGTTGGTATGCAGTAATTAATGTTAAATGAAAGGCTGTTTAGATCTAGTTATTAATGTTTGTAAAAGCTGTAAACCTGACGTCAGCTATCTCGAGAATAAAGCCAAAGCCCACTCATTTTATCCCCTTGTCAGCACTCAGCAGCACTCAAACCTTTCACGTAGGGATGGGCGATGTGGCAAATATATAACATCAATGTTTTTCAGTGGCTTGATAAGTTGAAACATATAAAAAGATAACTAGCAGTGCCACATTTAAAAAAAACTGAAATGATTTTAATTCAATGTTTCATCTACTGCACTAAATCCAATTAAACACGACTAATTATGCTCTTTTGTAAAGAAGCATGCAGGTGGTAGTACTGAAGATATCCAAGATACGCTCGGAAAAGCATATGGAGGTATAATTTATCACAATATCAAATATCCTCATATCGCTCACTTGTACTAAGATACCTGGTTTACACTACTGTACCAGAATGATACAGTTAAACAGGCATTGACTGTATATATTTCAGTTCCTTAATATGATCCAATATGATTCAGTTCATACCATTTGACTCAGGCCTGATCCAATATGATTTAGTTCAGTTAAACTGGAATCGTACTGTAACTCATAACTCTTCCCACACCTCACTGCAACAGTGACCCTCCAGTTGTGTGCAAAAGTTTGGGCGCAATTGGTCACAATTACTGTTTATTTGCTGAATTTAAAACACTGAAAAAATTAAACAAAATAAAACAATATGTTGAACTCAGCAATAAACAGCAATTGCACATTAAAATGTGCAGAAAATGGCCGCTTTATGCAGAGGGTGCATGACTCTGACAACACATCTGGCAAATCTATACTTACACATATATATTGATATCTTGTACATCTTCTATCCATATCTTGTATAATCTGGAAGATTTCTATATCAATATTCTATATATATCAATATTCTATCTCCTGTGTACCTTCATCTCATTTATTTAACGACCTCAGACTAACTGACTGCACATACAGAAATGTGTACAATAGTACATATCTTATTACTCTACAACTGTACATTGGAAATACTAGTGTATATAGTGTATATGTGTATATATTTGGAGTCGGTGTATATATATTTATTTTTCCTTCTTAGATATATATATTTTTGTATTTCGCTGCTGTCGGAATAAAACCTCGTATCTCCAAAATGGTAACTTTACAGGAGAAGGAAAAAACATACTTTACTTTTAATGTAAGTCAATGGAACCAGAGTTTTTCCAGGTCATTTTGGGTCGTTTCTTTTGGTCTGTTTATCATGAAATTTACACACAATGTAAAGGACAACAGGCATTTTCAGATTATGTCAAAAACTGAAAAATGACAAAAATGGAGATACAAGGTTTTCCTCCGACAGCAGCGATTTAAATTCGATGAGCCATTTTTTACAGTGCAACGTGTTCAAGCTCATTCATACAACTGCAACTGTGCTGTGCGAACAAAACCACTCCAGGTAGGTTTTCTTACTTGTATGGAAAGCAAAAGTTTTAAAAGAAGAAAAGAGGAACAGTTCAAAAGGAGGCGTCAGCTCCCCAAACATTTAAGGTGTAATGTCTGCTGTTAGTGGTGAGTGGCTGCTCACTGGTGCTGTTGGTGGACGTCTCGTTGACTGGAGGCTGTTTGATCTCCACCTGAACGGTCAGCCCAGTGGAGCGCCTCCGCCGCGCTGAGCCCTCCCGGATGATGTTGGTGATGCGGATCATGTTGGGGGGAACCTTCAGGAAGGCAGCCAGGTTGGTGACCAGCTTGTCTCCGAAGAACTCTGCCTCGGTCATGAACGGGAGGTTGAAGGCGACGAAGAGAACCGGAGACGTGCGGACCTCGACAGGGTCAGAGCCTCGCAGCAGGACGTGCAGCATTTTGTAATCGGCATCAAAATAGTTGGAGCCGAGAGTGGAGTTCAGACTCGGGACGTACTGACCTGCAGGACGGACAGAAGAGAAGATAATAAAATTGTCAGAGAGAAATCATGAGCCGCATCTTTTATGCGTGTGTCTTATTTTATTCCAGTCGGAATTTTATATTATCTGACATGCTAATATAACTAATTATGAGTAGAAGCTTGTTGAAACTAATTAGCATACTGTTATATGGCTGGGTATCATTCCAAATATCTCAATATCAATCAAAATCACTGTAGGTACTTTTTCTTAGGTAATTTTTTATAAAAAGAAGATTATGCGACTTAATATTTAATCTTTCCTTCCTCTGTAAAGAGCCCATATCATGAAAGGACTTGTGATGGACTTATGATGTCATGAAAACCAACTCATTTACATATATATCCTCCTATTTAGCCTGTAGCCGTTTAGCTCCTCCCTTTAAGCTAAGTAATAAAGAGTGTTTCAGTCTGGACTGCTTTTGAATGAAGCGCAATACTGGACAGCCAATCATAACAGAGCTCAGCAAAATCTTGAACACGCCTGGTAAAATTATGTTTTATAGATTTTTAAATGAAAATAATTTCTAATGTATATATGAAATGACAATATTTCTATGTGTTTGCTGAGTTTAACATATTAGGAAAAAATATAAAACTGAGAATATAATGTAACTTTTACACAGAGCACATTTTATGTTTCCAGGATCTTAAAGTCAGCAAATAAACAGTAATCGTGCATTAAAATGTGCAGTAATGTGTTCTTTGTAGAGGATGTCTAACTCATTTTCACTCAACATTTTTAATCAACACGTCATTTGACCAGGGGCGGCACAATTTTGCATATAATAGAAGTCATGTACAAATGAAACTATGATGTTTTTGGTACATAAGCACAAATACCACACAAATGTCATTTGTGGGCCTCAGGGAAAAATAAAATACAATAAAAAATCACAGGAGGTGAGACCGTTGAGGTTTTTTGTAACCTATAAACTTCTAACCTTTAAAATTGCTAAAATAGTACCAAGCAGTGTGGGAATCTGGAGAGTGTAGTGAGGGTGTTTACAGATGCTGCTGCTGTTTATTACACTGACATTAATAACACACTTATGAGATGTAATACAGACAGACAATTAGAATGCTAGATTTTGTAGCAAGCATGATTCACAATAGCTGACAAGACTGACTACTCAGGTACTGAAATTTGGTACCGAATGACTATTTTTGAAGTAATTCACTCAGTAAGTTAGTCAGTATCCACTAACTGATGGCTGCTCTCTCCTGTTCGTTGTTATGATTGTCTGACTGAACTGTTCCTTTTATTAGGTCTATATTGAGCTGTACTGTACCGGCGTAGACAGGCTTCACCAGGGTGTAGTCCGTTTTGGCACTATTCCACTGCGCGTTGTTTGGTGCGACCAGGCGATTGTTCACGTAGACGTCCAAACGCTGAGGATTTGAGTAAAACACAGCGACTCGAACCGTCTGAAAAAAGAGCAAAAAGAGAACAGTTGCTAAATAACTCCAAACCTCCAACCTCATTGGCCTTAAAGGGGAATTACACTTTTCTAAAAGAAATTCTGCATAATTCAGTGGTTGATCTGTAAACAAAGCAATTCAGAGTTCAATGTGAAGTGATTCATTGTAAATTTATTGACTCAGACTACTTTAAAGTGGTGGTGATAGGAACCAGGGGTCGCCATGACTACAACACAAATACAGACATTTTATTTACTATCCAGAACCACCAGTGAACCCTACGACAGTGCTTCAGGGCCACTCTTAATAAAAATAAAAAATAGTGGACTTGGAGAATAAAGTCATAATATTTCGAGAAAAAAGTCGTAATATTTTGAGAAAAAGTTCATAGTATTTGGAGGATAAAGTGGTCTAACTGTAGGGGAGCTTCTGTCTTTCTGTGGATCATTTTGATCATCATTCTCACTGTCTGTGAAACTTCATGCCCTCTTTGAATGGGGGGAGATGTAGCCCCCGATAGCCGTGTAGACGACCCTGCCTGAGATTCTCCTTCAACAACACAGACAGACAGTTTCCTCCGAGTCCGTCTGGCTCTTTATTCTAGATAAACACGGTTTCCTGCTCAGCCGTTTCAGCCGGTTCTTATACTAATAACAGGCTGGTGCTGCTGTGCAGGAGAGACAGGGAGACTGAGTGTTTCTTTATGGGTGAATCGATATGAAAGTAGAACTTCACCAACTCACCGCCCCTCATTTAACACGAGGAGGTGCTGCTTCCCTTCGCAAAGCCTTTGGCCCCAATACTGCGACCTTTCCTGGTATTAATGTCATTTAATGTTGTAATTCTATGAATTCTATGTAATTCTATTTTTTTTTTTACTTACGTAAGAACCACTGTAAAGCAATATCTCTCTTATCAGGCAGTGAATTCATAACCATCTTATGTAATAATTTTCTGTGAGGGAGCTTTTAGAGGTGGACGTCTGGTTCCTATCACCACCACTGTAAACAGTTCTGACTCTGTACATTTTCCTAGAACGGAGCATTTCACACCAAACCACTCTGAACGACTTTGTTTACATTGTATTTACTTCCGTATTGGTCAGATGTTAGTGACACTTAGCGAGAGAATATGGAGAGTAAACTGGTAGTGATCTATCGTACATCAGTGGGTTTAGCATTCAGCATCATGAGTCTCAGTTTCTGTGGTGATGTGCTGGTGAAGTAGATGTCATAGGACTTGTTTGTGGCCACAATGCTGTGGAAGAGAGAGACTCTCTTTTGACATGTGTAGCCTGCGCACCAGCCGTGGTCTTGTGGGCCTGTGCAAACAGACAGGGTAGGAGACAAAGTTATCAAACTAACAGAAACCGCTCTAAATATCACAATATGCTACACACAAATAATTACTTAATAAATTAATAATGAAATAATAACTGCTTTTGGCATACGGTCATATGAAAAAGTTTGACAACCCAGGACAAATTATGTTTAAAAGACTTCTAAGTGAAAATATAAATCTAATTTAAGTTTTTTATTTGTTTATATATTTGCTGAGTTCATCTATTGGAAAAAATAAAACAGAAAGATAAAAATGTGCCATAACTTTTGCACAAGCTGCATCTTATGTTTTATTTATGTCTTTATTTATTTATATGAAGAATATTATTTGCTAAAGTTCGATTGTAAGCTTTAATTGTATATTCAAATTTGCAGGATTCGACTTATTTTCACTTAGAAAATCAACAAAGAATGTAATTTGACCAGCGGTGCACAAGCTTTTGCTTACGACTGCATATGGAACCCAAATACAGACACCAAAAGGTCCAATCTATAGTTGGGACAGACGTACCGTTCAGCAGGTCCACGTAGCCGTCTCCCAGCACAGCCACAGGGGACAGACGCCTGGTTTCAGTGTCTGAGTCTAAACTCTCGATCACCAGCATCCTGTAGTTCAGCCCAAAGCACTTGTAGGCCTGCCAGGAGCTCATATACACACAGCTGGGGTCCCGGATTATACCTGCAGCGCCGTATATGGATCAGTGTAGAATGAAGTCAGAGTACAAAACACATTTCAGACTTTGATTTATTTGGACTAAAATTGGACTAAAATCTTTCTGCGACCCTGTGCTTTAATTAAGATTATTATATTAAAACAAACAATTCAAAATTAAATTTTCTCACTAACAAACATAACACTACCCAAACTTTACCAGCTGTTTCAGTAGTGACTGTTTCAGTTTTAACTCATTTTGAGCAGAACTCAAAAACACAGTCAGGACATGACCAGCAAACACAGCTTTGAGCAGCTGTACACAAATAAAATCACTATATTTTTCATTAAAATACGCAAAAAAATTAATTGCAGAAAATCTGCGTTTCGGTAGTGATGATTCTTAATGTTCCTCACTGACTTTCAGACATTGAGACACATTTACTTCAAAATAATGGGATCTAACTGCTCATCTTGTGGTCATGAGGGACAGGGATGCAGCCTCACTTCCTGCTCTAAGATACAGGGGTGTATCTAACATACAGGGGTGTATCTAAAATAAGGCTCCGCCTACAGACTAAAACTCTGTCTTTCGGTAGTGACATGAAAATGCAGGACAGCATTTTTTCAATAAAGTTTTTTATTTAAAAATTAAACTCATGATAAATATCAAAATTAAAAGAAATTAAAAAAGATCTTTTAAAAAAAAAACTTTGTAAGTATTATTTTCAGAAGTGTAAATTTAGGAGTTTAGGAGTGTAAATTTAGAACCTCCCGACTGAAAGTACCCTGTAAATGATTATTTCATATATATTTAGCTTATTACAATCTCAATTAATGCCTCAGGTTTAAATATATCACAAAATAATCCTTGTAAATATGTATGGTTTGATTACGTAATTGTTTTTGAAATAGTTTTTGACTTTGTGAGCACAGTTTGAACTAATTTGGTAGAATGGTCCATGTACTGTGTGTCATTTGTCCTTTGTGCACATAGACTTTTTGCAGGCTATGGCGGGTTGTGATCTCTGGATAAGAACCAAAAATAAAATTTATAATATTGATGCTTCAGAATGAAACTTCCTCGCAGACGCTTAGACTCTAGACACAGCTGGCAGAAAGAACCACTCGACTTCATGTTATCTGGATCATTTAAAGGGAAAAAATTCATACACACCTTTGTTTGGTGCTATTTGGGTTACAGGAATACGGCTGCCGTTGAGGTAGGTGAGCATGACTTTGGGGATCCGGTAATCTCCCAGCCCGTGTCGGGGGTCCCCGTTCCACTCATACTCAGACTGGGGGACCACTGACCCTATTGCCCCCAGGAAACTACCGTCCAGGTCGTTCAACAGGCTCTTCTTCTTAGCATCACAGTCCATGTCCACACAGTCGGATGGGTTCACCTTGCTGTGATGAGTGAATCGTAGATAAGACACCAATACTGATTTTTAATTATGATTCTTTTCTTTAAGTTGCTTTTTTAGGCCTTGAAGACCAGCATATCCACTTTTCTGTGGCTTGAGACTTGAATGTTGAATGTAATGCCACTCTTAAAAAAGAGGGTTCTTTAAGGTTCCTTTAGTAAAGAAAATGGCTCTATATAGAACCATGAACATTCAAAGAACCCTTTGGATGATTAAAGGGTTTTTTTGCATCATCAAGAGGATGATTTAGAATGTGTTTTATATGGTTCTCTAATAGAAGATCCCTTTTTTGGTGCTATATAGAACCATCTATGGCACTCTGCAATCTGAAGAACCCTTTATCGATGCGAAAAATCCTTTACTCATGCAAAGTGTTCTTTTAGGATTCATGGTTCTATATAGAACCATTTCCTTGAATAAAGAACCCTTGAGGAACCATCATTTTTAGGTGTGTAGCTGTGTTTGTGTTGTCACATAGCGTATTCAGTTGGTTCTGATTGGTCTGACTCATCTACAGGTGGCTCACAAGCTCCATGTTATTAGATTAAATGTCCCAACCTTAAACTTGTAGAGGCAACTTTGCTGATAAATTAGACTACACTGCAAAATATGTCATCTTGTCACGTGAAATGATCTTAAATCTAGTCAATATGTCTAATATTTCCCATTTTAAGGTGTCTGTGCACTTATTATAAGAATATTTAACTTATTTCTAGACATTTTTTATTTGTTTTAAGTAATTTTATTAACTAAAATTGTCTCACTATACTCGTAGATCATTTTGCTGGTTTCAAGCACATTTCTTAAAACAAGCAAAATTATCTGCCAACATAGTGAGACAGTTTTACTTAATAAAATTACTTAAAATAAATAAACAATGTCTAGAAAAAAGGTAAATAATCTTAAATTAAGCTTACAGCTATCTAAACAGGAGAAATTTTAGATTGTTTGACTATGTTTAAGATACTTTTATATGACAAAATACCATTTTTTGGAGTGTATAATTAAAATTACAGCTCTTGCAATTTGAAAGTGGCACTCTAACATTCTAAATAATATTAAGTATTAAATCTTTCAGCTCTATAAAATGATAAAAGTCTTCCCCTCTGGCAGAAGACCAGTTTTTAGGGAGCATATAGCTATGAGCAGTAAAACAGCAAAACAAAGAATGCTGAAAATTGGCTGTATAAGGGCCCAGCCTGCACCGCCGGTCGCCAGCAGAGGGCGACGGCAGCAAGGTGCAACAAGTTTAGGGAACTCCAATTCCCAGAAGCCCTTGGGCTGATTAGACCCGACCTGGCACACCTGCGGACTCCTCTACTTAAGGCCATAGCAAACAGGAGCCCTTTGTCACACCTTTGTAGAGGGGTGACTTTGTAGCCCAGGTGGGTATTTAAACAAAAAGAAAAAACAAAACAAAACAAAAAGAAAAGAAAAGAAAAGAAAGAAATTGGGTCCTTCATTCAGAGTGGTTTGATGTAAAAAGCTTCATTGTAGAGAAACTTCATTTCACAGACTTCTGATGTCTTTACAGTGGTGGTGATAGGAACCAGGAGTCGCCATGACTACAACACAAATATAGCCATTTTATTTACTATCCAAAACCACCAGAGAACCTACACATGACTCCTGAGCTTTACATGTAATGTTGATGTTAGTAAAAGGTGGGAAATCTGAAAAAATGCATTTTCTTCTGGGACTATTTTGCCTCACAACACCCTGCATGTATCCCTTCACCATAAAAGGATTTAAATAAGTGGATTAAAATACATTTTAAGCCAAAATCCCTACCACAAACTATCATAAAGCAACATGTCAGACATCAGGCAGCATATTCCTATTATAACTTTCTGTAAGGGAACTTTTAGAGGTGGACGTCTGGTTCCTATCACCACCACTGGGAACAGTTCTGACTCTAAGTTTCTCTAGAACAGAGCGTTTCACCCCAAACCACTCTGAAGCTCAACCATTTAATTATGTAGAATTTTTTGAAAATTTGGTTCCCTTTTAAGTTATTAGGTATATTTCAGCCTGGATCACTTTTCGAACAAGGCAGATTACAAGACCGCCAATCAGAACAGAGCTTATTTACATATCTGTCTTAAAGGCACAGTAACACAGTCTAATTCTAAGAGATAAAATAGTCTGTAAAATGTAATACAAAAGTTAATTATTACTGTATTTTGTACAAAAAACACACAAATGTAATAAGTGGACCTCAGGGAAAAATATACAAATATACAACATATAACATGGTCCTTCAAAACAGCAAAGAAACACTCATCTGAGTGACTCATTATCATCACAACTGATATTGTGATGATGATTCATAAACGACTGTGCAGCCCTGCTCTGCACCCACAACACTCACCTCAGATCTGGCCGATGAATGAACACTTGGGCTCCCTCTGTGCTGTCACTCTTGGTGATCCTCCTAACATAGACAGGGTGCTGCAGGTCCTCGTTGCCCGGATTGGTCATAAACATGTAACTTGTTTGGCTCGAGCACACGTTTCTGAACCCAGCGAAAGTGGTATCTGGAAGATGAATATAAATCAACTCCATTCAGACTTCATACAGCAGATTAATCAGCCATACACTACAGTTAGAAATAAAGGTTCTGTTCAGGTACATTTTTCATTCATCAAGCTACAAACATTGTAAATGTTCCCTCAAAGGTACAACAGTGGTTTTAAGGTCTGATTGTGAACCTTAAATCAGTTTTTCCAGGTGAAAAGTTCGTATTTGTACCTTTTCATAACCGAACGTTTTAAAACAGAACAGTAAAATAAAGTCCTGGAGACGAGACGGGGTGTGTGGAGTCAGTACAGCTTAGAACATATCATTTCAGTGGATTATGGTTCAGTTATGATCCCTGACTAAAGGTACTGAGATGGATCCTTGAGGGTTCCACCCCAGTGACCGTTTACTACCTTTATTTCTGAGTGTACATAACATTGTCCAGCGTCTTACCAGTCACAGTCAGGAGTCCACTGATGGCGTTGTAGCTCATGAGTCCATCATGGGCTTTCATTGGAGCTCCATTCTGGGCTGACTCAAATGTTGGCCAAGAGATTCCAGACCTGCCACCTGCCACAGATCGAGAATTCAATCAGAAGTCAATACAGGCCTGTTCATCATTCAGTTTGTAAGTTTAAATGTTTAAACTTTTAAAATTTCTAAAATTTAAATGTTGAGGGGGTTTATCATAGCAATGCAGTGGTTTAAGCAATGTTTTTTTTAATTAAAATTTTTTTTTACACAGGTCAGAATGAGAGGAATACTAGGTAAGAATATGTAACAGCATAATTTGAACCCATTCATGCCCAAGAACCATATTTAGGATGTTAAAATGCCACAGAATCTGCTTTGATTGATCTACAGCGATGAAATTTGGTGTGGTCACACCTTGGATGAACATCTATGCAAAATCATCAATCAAAAAGTGCAATAAAAGAATCATGTTTTATTGTAAATAAGTTACACATCCTTTAGACACACTTCTGCATATTTTCATGCAGTTACTGTAAAAAGTAAGCAAAAGTTATGACATATTTTACATTTTTTAAATGTTAACCTCAAATAAAAAGAAATTATGCTGTAAAAGTTAGAGGAAAAATGCCTCCCTGTAGATAATGCTTCAACTTATTTTCAAACAACGAATCATGTAATTTGGCACCGTCTGGCACCAACTTTGCATGTAATTTTTTACACTTCTGTACATTTGTTATCTTATCCTCTTGGGTCATGGGGGGGTGCTGGAGCCTATCCCAGCACTCGTTAGCAGAGGGCAGAAAACACCCTGGACAGGCCGCCAGTCCATCACAGGGCAGACAGACAGACATACACATTCACACATACACTGAGGGCCAATTTAGTATCTCCAATTGGCCTGACTGTCTTTGGACTATGGGAGGAAACCCACACAGACACGAAGGAGAACATGCAGACATCACACTGAAGGGACCCTCTTTGAGAACCCAGGTCCTTCTTGCTTTGGGGCGACAGAGCTATGCACTGCACCACCATGCCACCCCACCTTACTTGATTTTAAAATGTTAAATTAAGCTAAAAAAAATATCTAGCATAATTGACTTGAACATTTATTTTTGATTGTGCTCAGGAAGACTCAGAGAACATATGGGCCAAAGCAAATTTAACATTTCACATACAGACATTAGCGGGATTAAGACGGATTCTTCATTTGAAAAGTGGAACTGTACCCTTAAGAGGCCGGGGGGCTCTACTGCTGTCACTCAGAAGCATGTTGGTATCCATAGGCATACTGTCACTGCAGTTAAAGTTGGGGCTGCTGCCAACAATCAAGGCATTCTAGGAAAGAAAAGGGCATATTAGGAGATACTGATCTAATAATGAAATATTATTATAAATATGGAGAAATATGGAAACAACCATTGTTCTTCAAACTTGCTCACAAGCTATCAACACTTTTCAAAATAAGAAATTCTTGTCACTTTTTACTGTATTTATATTCATTTGCATTTGTTCTGGTAATGTATTGCTGCTGTCAGAACAAAACCTCGTATCTTCAAAATGGCAACTTTACAGAAGAAAGAAAAAAATATACTATACTTTTAATGTAAGTCAATGGAACCAGAATTTTCAAGTATTTTTTTGCCATTTTGTAAATATGTGATATTTAGCTCCTTACCTGCACAAGCACAGTTTTGTTGGAATATTCATGGCTGACTGAGGGGGGCTCGTAGATTAAGGATGCGATGCCCATGCCGTTATCAACAAGGGTCACGTTGGAAACAATCACACTCATGGGTACCTAAACAGGGGGAAGAAGAGAATGGAGCTTATTGTTCTTGAATGGTCAGAATGCTCTGTCATACAGTTTGTGAATAACTGTATTCGTCTGAAATACAAAGCAAAACTGCTGCATAGTTGAGTCATTTTAACATGGCAAAATCTAAAGACATGAAAATGAGCTCAAACTCAGAATAAACCAGAGTGTTTATTTTAGTCATTTAGTCGTGTTGTGCAAGAAAAACAGCAGCGAGTTCACAGACACTGACACTTTTTATGTGCAACAACAATTTGGATGTTTTTCAGTATAAGTTGTAAAAATGAATTTTTAGGTTATGGTTGGTTTGTCCAATGTTTTAATTGTTTTATATATTATTTTATTTTGATCTTGTCCCAAGATTTTTTGACATTGGTTTCACTGAAACAAACCATTACAGAAAAAATTGTTACTTCTTATATGGACATCACCATAGATGAAATACAATACTGATAGTTTCATGTGTTGCATAAAGATGGTGCCAGTAGTGTAACTCATAAAACATTTCAGCCTTTTCCCCTGTTGGCCCTGCCATGTTGGTATGATTGACAAGTTGGGAAGTCAGTGAAAATGAAAATGCAATCTGGTCGAATGCATTTTCAAAGGTATTTTGACACAGAACGAGCACAGTTAGTGAGAATATGCAATTGCAAAGCGGAGAGGTTGAACTTTCTACCTTGGTGTTCTTTCTGATAATGCAATTTAAATGCATTATTAGAGTGAAAATATATTTGAGAATTATATTTCAATCATCATTTTGACATTATTTGATTAATTTTATTTGAATTATCTCCTTGATCATAAACATGCAGTTCTGGAAACACATTTTAATTCAAATATAGCTACTTAAGCATCTAAATCTTTTATAAATGAAGTGTCAATACTAGTGCACAAATGGCAAATTAAAATCAGTTTTGATATATTTTCATTATGAGCTCAACATTGCATTTATGAGCGGAAATTTAAATGCAAATACATTCTCAATTTACATATTATATTCTCATTGTCATTTTGATACTGATACGCCTCCATTCGTTTTAAACAGTGTATGGAAATGTAAACCTCTATCACAGACACGCTTCTCACTGTCTTTCGTAGAAACCACTGTCAGTGATCAAAACTAGGCATCTGGGTGTAGCCTATCAGAGTAATGTGGACAGAGGGGCGGGGCTTATGTTATGGACACACCCACCCTCAAATCACTAGGCTTTTTTTTCTGAAGACCTTATAAATTCTAGGGGTTGTGATTTTGTGATCCATTCTATTAGAGGCCAGACACTGAAAAGTTCTATGCAGACGAGCTACAAATTAAAGTTTAAGTCATTTTCATTGTGTTTTGTGAAATCTGAAATTTTTCACATGGAATACTGAAAATCAAATCAAATGAATTCAGAAGTGGTAATAAATGCATGAATAGTTGTCACGCCCCAATGACTTCACCAGCTAGAACTCAGATTCCAGGAGAGCGTAATGATACAAAGGCTGGAAGGTAAACTTGCATCACCACTGATCATACCTGGAAGTAAATGCCAAAATCAAAGCTTCTCCAAACTGTGAAGCCCTGGATCTGAGAACAGCCAGGCAGCCCATCTTTATTCATGTAGACTCCAAACAGGCCTCCATGGGCCTCATTCTGCTGCCACTGAGCCACAGCGCTGGAATAACCTGTTGACATATCAAATAAGATTAATATGTTGAAGTGTTGCAGGCGAAATATGCAGCTGCATTGTTTTATTTTTATAGTTTTGTATTAAAGAAATAGTCAGACTGATTTTCACTCACTCCAGATGATCAACCCGGTCAATCAACAAAGTCACCGAAATATTTTCAGTCAATACATCCCCAAAATTTCTCTCAACCAGCTCAAACTGCATCTGGGTTTTTAAGGTTGTGACTTGTCCATGTGATTTAATATGACTTGCCGTGAGCCGTTACAGTGAACAGAATTCCACCGTGTCGCAGACAACAGGTGTTGTGGTAAATTCTGACTCCTCTTTTCTAGTAAATTCATGTCACTCAGGCTTTTCTATTAGTTCTTTTGATTAATAACTGTTAATCTTTATGTTTCTAACTGAAGATCTATGTTTAAGAAGGACACACAGTCTCATTGATGTGAAGCACTGCTGAAGAAACCAATGCTACACACTTAAAAATTCAGGGTTCTCTAGTAAAGAAAAGGGTTCTATATAGAACCATGAACATTCAAAGAACCCTTTGCATGATTAAAGCATCATGTAAGAGTTCTTTAGAATGTGCTGTAGACAGTTCAGAAAGGTTCTATATAGGGTTCTACATAGCACCAACAAGGGTTCTTCTACTGTTACGATGTCAGGTTTGTTAAAATAGAAGAACCTTTTTTGGTGCTATACAGAACTCTTTTCAAAAAGGTTGTATATATAGAACCATTCTCCATTGATCTGAGGAACCTTTTCGTGATGAAAAGAACCCTTTAATCATACAAAGCGTTCTTTATAGAACCATTTTCTTTACTAAAGAACCTTCTGAAGAACCATCTTTTTTTGAGAGTGCATAGAACATTTTTGAATGGTTTTATATAGGACCAAAAAGGGTTCTTCTATTGTTATGATGTCAGGCTTGTTACAATAGAAGAACCCTTTTCAAAAAGGTTCTATGTAGAATCATCTACAGAACATTCTCCATCAATCTGAAGAACCCTTTCACAATGCAAAGAACCCATAATTTTCAAGTGTGTATGATTATTAGTATTCAGCACCTCCTTGTGGGCATTTTCAGGCTGCTAAATGTGAGTGAATGAGTTACAAGCCCCATCCATGAAACACGTCACATCCAAAAGCGGAAACAGAAATTCCAAACTCAATCTGTTTCATCCATGTGACCACATCACTTATACGCATGTGAAGGGGAGTCGGACTCTGCTGGGATTTTGGCACAACACCTGTTATCTAAAAGGCCTGGCTGGCTTTGGGAATGCATTTATGAGTTTAGGTGACTATTGACTTATGGTGTTTATCAACATCAGACTCTATCACTAAACTAAAGAAGCAAAATTTGGACAACATGTCTTGGCTGACTGGCTACTGGGGTAAGGGTAAAACTCTAAATTAAATTTTCTGATTTACTGTTTCTTTAATTGTTAGTGATCATAGAGGGGGTGCATGTGCAGTATATTAGGATTTTGCACCTCATGACAATTACGGTAACGCTAATATACAGTACCCTCAAATTACCTGGACACGGCTCTCCATCAATTCGGAATCCAACTCTTTCATAACCAGCAACTATGTTCCCCTGAAGAACTACATTAGTTCCCTCATTTGCCTTAAAAATAGAACACAAATGTTAAATGTTTGATACAGAACATTTATTTCCTTTGAAGACAGGCTGTTGCATGAGATGCTCTATGTATACGTCCTCTACACACCTCAATAGCAGCGTTCCAGTTGAAGTTGAAGGCCTCTGCTCTTCCATTGTATGATCCTGGCCAGAGTGTCATAGTAACCAAATTCCTCCGGACGACATTGTTATTGCCCCACACCCTGATACCTACAGTGCAGAGAACATAGTTTAATATCCAAGCTTCCTTTATTTTTTTTAGAAAAGACAAAGATGAGCTCAAGTTAAGATTTTCAGCTTCTTTTTCTTTGTAGCCTTTTATGTACAGTGGGGTCCAAAAGTCTGAGACCATTTTGAAAATCTAGGATTGTTTTCATTTAATCCTGCAAATAAACAACAAAGTTTGAGAATTTTTTAAAAAATTTAAAACAAAGAAAAGTTATTACAAGGAAAACACGAAGATGAAATTCACAGTTCTGCATTATTTCTAAGTCACTAAGTAAATTTGTGACACTATATTAAGGCCTTTTTGTACAAAAATTCCTTCCACCGTGTTCAGACGATTCTCAAGTGGATTTGATCTACTGATCAGAGTTTTTTTTAAGGGGAACACTAAGAAATTCTGAAATTTATGTTGGAATTTTAAAGATTCTACTGTTCACTCAGATTGTTATGCTGATAGTATCATTTGAGATGAAAAATGCTTTATTAAATTAAAAACCAACGCAAAATAGAAGCATTTTCACCACTGCTCTCAGACGTTGGGTCCATACTGTCTGTATTTTATTGTTTATATTTATCTATATCTCAATTTGTTTTATAAATTTCTTTTCACTGTAATGGTACCTTGTACCATATGACAGTAATAATTAATAATTCACTTAAGACTGTAGAGAATATCTTCCTACAATAAGCCAAAGGCAATCATGGGAGTCTGAATCTCTATGTCTCACATAAGCCTCATACAGCACTGAGGTCAAAGACGTATTACATTATATGAGGCAGAGATCTAACAGGAAACACACTGGACAGGCCACCAATGGTTATAAATACGCTGCCTGATGTCTGAGACATTGTTTTATTATACTTTTGAGAAGATTTTGGCCTAAAACGTATTTTTTAAATCAATTCATGGTAGAGGGATACATGCAGGGTGTTTATATGGCAAAATAGTCCGCAAAGAAAACTTATTTTTCATATTTTCCACTATTTTACCATCAACATTCCATATAAAACTCAGAAGACTTGTGTAGGTTCACTGGTGGTTTTGGACAGTAAATAAAAAGTCTATATTTGTGAATGACTTTGTTTACATCTCATTAATTAAATCATGCCACAAGATCAGCTGAGGTGTAGGAGAAGCTACCTTCTCCTACAGTGTGATGAATGACATTGTCGTCAACGCTTAGTCCGTCCGTTCCGAAGATTCCGATGGCAGGAGCAAAGCCATGGTGGAAAGCGCAGCCCTTAATGTAGGATTCATTCTGAACCACCTGGGAAAATATAATATTCAAATGATTCAATCTTACAGATTCCACTGCACACACTGCCCTCTGTGTTATATGGAACTCTATGGAACCAGAAAGATAACATCCCCAAACAAATCCCCCACTGAGTTTTAACAGAATTGGTTAGTGAGCTGGTTGCCTCACCACTCCCAGGTTGAGGAAAGCCACAGAGTAGCGAGGATCAGTATAGTCTGTCCATCCCTCCTGGCCAGTGTGGTAAAACTCCACATCTCTTATCTGGGCCTTTCCTGTAAGAGTGATAGAGTAACAGTAAAGAAAAGACCTTGAATTGGCCACTTCATCAAGTACACATCCTTATATCTACACTGACCATAGAGGAGTACTTTGTAGTTCTACAGTTACAGACTGTAGTCCATCTGTTTCTCTGCATACTTTGTCACCCTGCTCTGTGGGGGTCCTGACCGTTGAAGAACAGGGTAACAAAGTATGCAACTTTGTAAGTTGCAAACCTGGAAGTTTTACCAACAAAATCTAATATTGCACTTAGCAAAATGCCTTACAGAGTATTAATTTGATGTGAAAAGATTGATCTGCATAATTTTGACCAAAATTATTTCCATTTGTTGACTTACATGCCTGTAAGTAGTGGGCAATATTAAAATAGTTGTTGTTGTTGTTGTTGTTGTTCATTCGTTATTGTGATGTTTTTTTATTATACCATGGCTGTCAAAAGTGCCTCAAAACATAAGATCATAAAAGAGACCCTGTAAACAACAACAACTAAACTGCACAGTAACAAGTACCTCATCTTTTTTCCAAAATCTTATTTTATTCTTTCATGTTTACCACTTATTTGACCTTTTCTCTCTCTTCTGAGTCCTTCGTTTTTATATATGTAGTTGAAGTATCATGATGTTATTCCTGGCTGGCGCACGAAGAATCTGCTTGTGGGTGTTGCAAGCTATAATTAGGGGGGCAGTCGTAGGATGGAGGTTAGGGAACCAGCCTTGAGGCAGGAAACTCGCCAGTTCGATCTACTGAGCTGACTGTATGTGACTGAAGTGCCCTTGAGCAAGGCACCTAACCCCCAACTGCTCCCTGGGTGCTGTGGATAGGGCTGCCCACCACTCTGGGCAGGTGTGCTCACTGCCCCCTAGTGTGTGTGTGTGTGTGTGTGTGTGTGTGTGTGTGTGTGTGTGTGTGTGTGTGTGTGTGTGTGTGTGTGTGTGTGTGTGTGCGTGTGTTCACTAGTGTGTATGTGGGTGTTTCACTGCACAAATGCAGAGGTGAATTTCCCCATTGTGGGATTAATAAAGGGTAAAGGGTTATAGTCATATACTTCAGCATATGAGATGCTAGTACAGGTAGATTCACTTGAAAGAGGCCCCGAATATTCTGTAGTAACTCCCGTTAGGATGAAGCAATCTGAACCAAAAAAATACACTACACACCTTGACGTATGTGTAATTGATTGCATTAATGCGATGCTGGAAGTGATCTCAGTTTTCTGCCAGACACGTGAAAGGGTACGGGGGTATGCACCCAGAAGTTGCAAACGGAGGTTAAATGTTGTGACTGCTGTCCGATGCCTACCTCATTGCTCTGAGGGGCATCCTGGCTTGTTCGAAGCTCCATATACTGAGGAGCACATTGCGTGTTGTTTTGTTCAGATTGCTTCGTCCTAGCGAGAGTTATTACAGAATATTCGGGGCCTCTTTCAAGTGAATCTCCCTGTAGCAGTTATATTGTGCAGTCTTAAGCCCTAGCATATAAAATGACACACCTCTGTAGTTGATTCCTCCTCTGGAGAAGGTTCCCACCAGCACCCTGGCGCCGAATGACTCTGTTAACAGGTTTGGATAATCCTGCCCAATGATCTTAATGTTCCTGCTCAGCAGACCCACATCACCAGCCAGCCTGTAGCTCTGCGACGTACCAGCCACTGTGTAGCTCTCACCTGCAGAGTCAGATATATTGACAGTTAGAAATAATGAGTCAGAATCTTCAAATATTTGAAAAGTCATGAATTTGGGAAATCTTTCACTATGCAAGTGAGCTTGTCTCTAAAGCTATACATTCTCAAAAAAACCAACAGATGCCTGACCACTATACCCCACAGAGGGCAGTGTAGAGCCTGAGATATATATTTTCTTCAGAGTTTCTTATCTGTTTGTACCAAAGAATAAATAATAGAAAGATTAAGATTTTTACTACTAATATTTTTCAAACAATGCCTTGAACCCACACATGTGGACTCACCGATGTGTGTGTAATTGAGCGGCTGGGCCAGGGTCAGTGTGAGGCCGTTGTTCGTGACTGCAGTGATGGTGCGGGTCTCTGTCTGCGCCGGGTCATAACTTGTGGTGGACAACACGATTTCATCTCCAGCCTGGTTGAAGGAAGTGGAGTGGTCAGAAAATGGACAAACGCACTGCTAATGTTGAGAGAACGCTTGAAATCAGCTTTGATTAACTACGACTGCACGTCTCCGACTACTAAGTGCTCCCTTGTGACGTCCAGGGTTTAAAAGGTAGAGTGAGATGATGGAGCCGTCAACAAAGCAGAAAATGAAGCTTCAACTAAAAAAACAGAAATTGGGAAGCAGTAACACAGACCGTGAGCGCAACACTGCAGCCGCAGCACTCTGGTTTTTGTGCTGTGTGTTCTCACACATGTACATCTGATCCTGAGAGTTTAAAACTGAGTGCGTTTACATTCACTCAATAATCTGATCATAATCAGATTTCTGCAGTTATCTGATTATTCATATGGTCATGTAAACACCGTACTCTGATTTCTTAGACTGGACTAAGGTCTAGAAATACGATTGAGAAATCCGATAAAGAGGCTGGATTTTAGCTCACTCATCAGATTTGTCAGTGCATGTAAACTCTTACTCTGATTTCTTTCGGATTTCTCAGTCTGCGCATGTGTGAAAACAGACGGTGGTACCAGAAATAAGCGAGCAGCGTCGCTGCGAGATGCAGCAAAACACTTTTGGAGCGGCGCTGAAATCAAATACATGCTTAATGAAATGAAGGATTTAAATATTCTTCCTCTTCTAGACGATGTTTATTCATATTTTCAGGTAAAGTGACTCAAATGTTTAAAAAAAAGCCGGGGTAAGAAGTTTGAGTTTGACAGTATGTTTATGTTACGTCTTCTTCTGTGAGTTTATTGGCTGGTTGCAAAGCAAAAATTTGATTACTGTCTGACTCTTGTAGACCTGGAGTTTCCCCATTATCTGATTACTCAAGTGCATGTAACCATGTTGATCGGATTACTGACGAAATCTACATTTCTGCAGTTATCGGATTATTAAGCACATGTAAACACACTCAATGTTATTCTGTTAGTAAATATCATTTAAGCACATGCTTGGGGCTCTTGCCTCTGTCTAGCTGCTGTGTCTGCTGCTGTTGGAAGTGGAGGAAAATACACGCAAAACCAGCCACTACAAGTTTTCCATACTAAAGTAAACAGAACAGAATATGTACTCAGCCTCACTTTCCATTTGTCTCCCCATGTTCTCTCATGTAAAATAGCCAAAATCGTACGGAACCTGAAAACGTGTGACTTTACGCCTGTATTCTGCTCAGATGTTGAAATAAGTAAACTGAATCTATGGAGTGAACTCACCTGCCAGTCCACAGGCTCCTGCAGCGATATGGAGTTGGAGCCGGCCTGGGCAGTGCTGGCCAGTTTAGTGCGATACACATTGTGTGGCAATCCATAAAAGTCAAGAGTACCAAACACACCTGAAAGAGAACAGCATTCTCATCACATTAGCATCACATTAGAGTTTAATCATGTATAACTGGCTGCTAATAGAGCCTGTAAATGGTAATGAAATAAACAAAACACTCATTTCCATTACACTATCATTATGGTAATTTATGCTCTCACCCAGCACTTTAGATCCTTGGTTTGGTCCGTCAGGCAGAGGCCATTCAGGCGTGTAGTAGTTTCCTCTCAGAATGATCTGCAGGTCACCTCTGAACGGCTGGTCAGCCCATCCCGCGATCAGCCGTCCTCCCTATTGGAGCATGCGAATGCAACTATGTTTAACTGGTCATAATAGTAATCAAATAATCTTGTAATTATTTTGATGAATCAATAGAAAACAATAGAACCAATAGAAAACATTTACCATTAACTTCCATTCAAGGTTAAAAACGCTTCAATATTTTTTTCTTAAACGTGAGGTTTTGTTACGACAGTGACGCAAGGAGGACACACAAACACCTATGCAAAAGTTTGTGCACCCCGGTCAAATTCCACGTTGTTGATTTTCTAAGTTTAAACAAGTGAACACATCCGCTAGAGAGAACACACTTCTGCAAAATTAATGTTTATTTACTTAATTTAATTTAATTTGTATTTTACTCATTTTTATTGTATATTAAACTCAGATAATAAATAGAAATTGTGCACTAATTTGCAGAAAATGCCACATACCAGCTTGTTCCCTGTAGAAGATGTGTTCACTTATTTTTACTAAGAAAATCAACAAAACATGGACTTTAACTGGGGCACCTAAACGTTTGAAACAAAATGTATGCATCAGTTTTCTATAGTAAGAGAGAGCAGTAGGAAAAATAGCATCATGAAAACTGCTTACTAATCTTTAATATTCATTGAGGAGCTAATTTTTAATCAAGAGATACATTTTAATCAATGATGATTTAAAAATGGACTAATTGAGTTTACGTGAGGAATCGTCACTGCCTTAAACAGTATCATGCATATGGTAAACACAGTATATTTTTGTGCCTGTTTTTTTCAGTGTATCTTTTATCATGCCTGGAATTCCTTTGCAAATGTTTTGCTATTTGCTTTCTGAAATTTCTGAAAGATTTTACAAAGAAAACAACAACATAAATATTAAATGTTATGCATTTGAGGACAGATGTCCAGCTTCTGCAGTGACTATAAGGCTGTATATGCCAAATTCTGATTTGTGAGTAAGTCTTATGAATTCTTATGAGATGATGAACCTGTATAGAGATGTAAGTGGCGTTCAGGACAATGCTGCTGTACTGGGGAAGGCTGCGGGCAGTGCGACTGGACGTGCTGTTCATGGTGTCTGGAATCTCCAGGACTCCCACCACTGTGAGCTTGTTTAAGGGTGGGATTGCAGTGTCCAAAACCACCCACCTGCCTGTGGACACGAGAGCGAAGGTCTCACAACAAAACCTAGCAGTGTAGAAGGTTCTGACAGTTTGTCTTTGTTAGTGTTTTTTTAAAGAATACCTGCAGGAATGATGACGTTGGCGCCCTCTTGTGGTACAGTAAAGTTGTTGTCTATGGACGACTTCCAGAATGACTGATTGGACCAAGAACTACAAAGAGGAAGATACATTTCACACATTTTTACTTTACTTTTTCATTAGTTTTCTGGGTGTTTTGTAGTTGTTCAGCTTGTCTTTAACTAATTATCTATTCAACAAAACTTCTTTTTCCAAATTCAAAACCTAACATCATCCAAATATCTAAATCTAAGCCTGACCTTAACCTTGTCCTAATACTAACTCTAATGCTATTAGGGAAAGTCACATTGTGGCAGTACTTCAGTGCTCTGGTTAGAGCTGCATGATATGGACCAAATTCATAGTACATAATAACACACTGTGATTGCTTAGACACATATTTGCATATTGCACTTCTGTAACATCAGTACTGCGAATGCTGATGTCGCAATAACGACTAAGGAACAATGTGATAACACTTCATAATTAAAGGGAAAGTTTTGTGTAATCAAAGGGCTGAGATGTCAACTAAGTCATTTGGAGTGGTTTGATGTGAAGTGACTCTAGAAGTCAGAACTGTTCACAGTGGTGGTGATAGGAACCAGACGTCTGAAGAGTTTAATGCCTCTAAAATAGGCATGTCAAAGTGTGGGCCTTCTGGGCCAAAGTGCTGTGAAGATTAGCATTTACCCTCATCTAACACTCCGAATTCAGTTCATGAAGGTCTTGATAATTGGCTGATGAGCTGAATCAGGTGTGTTTAATGAGGCAGTGTGCTGAAGTCTGCAGTATTTTGGCCTGTGAGGACTGGAGCCTAAAAACTCTAAAAGCTCCCTCATAGCAAGTTATTACATAAAAATGATTATAAATAAACTGCCTGATGCTTTTAAAATGTTTGTGAGACAAGCTTTTGGTCTGAAGCATATGTCTTGAAATTCATTCATGGTGGAGACATCACAAACAAACTTTACATACATTTAAACTCAGACTCGTGTAGGTTCACTGGTGGTTTTGGATAGTAAATAAAATGGCTATATTTGTGTTGTAGTCATGGTGACGTCTGGTTCCTATCACCACCACTGTAGAGACATCTGACTCTCTACAATCAACCATTTCACACCAAACCACTCTGAATGACTCTGTTTAGATCTCAAACACTAAATTATGCAGAAATTTTGAAAAATTGGAGGAATTCCCCTTTCACCAGGCAGTTTGTCTGCAATGCAAGCACTGGGATGTGGTGCCTGCTAATGACTGGATATCTGAGCAGTAGACTGGGTAGCAGTGCATTATGTTCTTTACTGGGTTTTTGTGACATACATGAAGTCGGCAGGTCTGCGGCTGGGTGTGGGCGCCAGGGTGGCCGGCGGAGGCTGAGTGGGCGGGACACAGTTGGGGTAGAAGCAGTTATACACACTGAAGCCCACTGAAATATCTGCTGTTGATCTGTCAACACTGCGCCTCCTCCTACTGGCGCTACTCGTTCTGCCAGACACTGAGGAAAGAACATTACACAACATGAGAACAGTGGAACAGTGAAGAACAACCTGAAACCAGACAGGCAGAGACTAAGAGTCGACCTTTATCACGCAACAGATGCTCATCTGAAAAAAGGCCTTTATAAGTATAATATGCACACTTAAAAAAAGAGGGTTCTTCAAGGGTTCTTTACTAAAGAAAATGGTTCTATATAGAACCTTTTTGAAAAGGGTTCTATATAGCACCAAAAAAGGTAACAAGCTTGTATCGTAACAATTGCAGAACCCTTTTTGGGGCTATATAGAAGACTTTCCAAAACGCTTCTATATAAAACCATATACAGCACTTTTTATCTAGTTTCTTTTATGTGACGGCAACAATTTGTTATATTGAATGAAGAGATCAGCAGGTTTACCCATGTAGAAGAGGTTGTTGGAGGATTTGTTAAAGTACCAGTCTCCCTTTACGTTCGCAGCAGGGTTAAGCGGTACGGAGGAGCCATTCCTGTTGTCCACTATACGAAACCGGTCAGGACTCTGCGTCAGGTTGTGATTCACAATCACATAATCTTGAGGCTATTTGCGAAAAAAAGACCATATATTTTAATAAACTGAAATTACAACACTTTATTTAAGAATTATTTTTTGCTAAAATATTTGCTATTTGTTGTTTTTTTTTTCTGGTGTCATTGTGGGCTGGAGGTTAGAGAACCAGCCTAAAATATTGGGCTAGCATTTTGAGAGATGCTATTTTCTTTAGCAACCCCACCTGACTAATAAAGGTGTCACAGATGGAAAGTATAATGTCATACTCATTGAGTGTGTTTACATGCACTTACATCATACATACATCTAAACCGCTTATCCTTCTGGGTCGCGGTGGGGTGCTGGAGCCTATCCCAGCTGTCATTGGGCGGAAGGCAGGATACACCCTGGACAGGTTGCCAGTCCATCACAGGGCAGACAGACAGACATACACATTCACACACTCACTCACACCTAGGGGCAATTTTAGCATGTCCAATCAGCCTGACTGCATGTCTTTGAAATGTGGGAGGAAACCGGAGTACCCGGAGGAAACCCACGCAGACACGGGGAGAACAGGCAAACTCCACAGAGAAATGACCCTGGTCACCCGGCCGGGAATCAAACCCAGGCCATTCTTTCTGTGAGGCGACACTGCGCCACCGTGCCACCCTACATGCACTTAATAATCTGAAAATCAGATTTTGTCAGTAATCCGATCAACATGTTTACATGCACTTGAGTAATCAGATAATAGGGAAATTCCGGGACTACATGAATCAGACAGTAATCAGATTTCTGCTTTACAGCCAGCCAATAAACTCACAGAAGAAGACGTGACGAAATCGTAATAAAACTCAAACTTCATACTGCGGCTTTTTTTTTTAAACAGTGACCCACTTTATCTGAAAATACGAACAAACATCATCTAGAAGATGAAAAATATTTAAATCCTTCATTTTGTGTTTGGTTTCGGTGTCACTCCAAAAGTGTTTTGCTGAGCCTCGCGGCGACGCTGCTTGCTTATTTCTGGTACAGCGGTCTGATCTCACGCATGCGCAGACTGAGAAATCCGAAAGAAATCAGAGTAAGAGTTTACATACACTGAGAAATCTGATTACTGAGCTAAAATCCAGCCTCTTTATCGGATTTCTTAATTGGATTTCTAGATCGGAGTATGATGTTTACATGACCATTTAAATAATCTGATAACTGCAGAAATCTGATTATGATGGGATTATTGAATGCATGTAAACACACTCAATGTTATCTGTATATTTGTTTTGGAGAAGAAACATCCTACATGTTTCTTATATTGTTATTGTTTTCTGTATGCCATTGTGAGTTCAAGTCATATTTTCTTGTTATCAGACCTTTTTCCAAACTCTCTTCATCCCTTAAACAGGCTGTTTTTGTCACTGTGCATTTAAGACTGATATATGTAAATACGACAGAGCTGATTGGCTGCCCTGTATTGTGCTGCAGTCTAAAAGACTGAAAAATCCCTTAAAACTTCATTGTGAGCGTGTGTGGCTAAAAGGATGAATAGGTGGACTTTATACAACATTATAAAACCTATGTTGTGTTGTTTTATTTTAAAAAGTGAGGTAGATTTGTTATTCCATTGCCCTTTAAGTAATGTTTAGACCGTCACGTGAAACACATGTAGTTACCAAAATGGGATTCAGACTAGACTAGAGTAGGTGACCATTACTAGGACATTACCCTGAAGCCATAGAATATCGCGCTGTATGAGATGTTGCTGATTTGGGAGGCGCCACGGAAGTACCAGTTGTAGGTTTGGGCAGATGGTAGCAGCGCCATCCAACCAAACGGGTGGGTAATCAGTTTCTCCACAAACGGAACAACACTAGTGCCTAGAAGGATAGACAGAAATTGTTATGCTAACCAGTGGTTTTCATACAGTGTGATTTTTTTCATACAGTGTGACAAAAATAGGCTTGTAAAAAGACATATAATAAATGATTCATGTTTAGTCACTTTGCACTATACACCAATCAGGCATAACATTATGACCACCTCCTTGTTTCTATGCTCATTGTCCATTTCATCAGCTCCACTTTGTAGCTCTACAATTACAGACTGTAGTCCATCGGTTTCTCTGGTCTGGTCTGAGCGGATCAGACACAGCAGTGCTGCTGGAGTTTTTAAACACTGTGTCGACTGACTGTCCACTCTATTAGACACTCCTACCTTGTCAGTTCACCTTGTAGATGTAAAGTCAGAGACGATAGCTCATCTGCTGCTGCACAGTTCGTGTTGGTCATCCTCTAGTCCTTCGTCAGTGGTCACAGGACGCTGCCCACAGGACGCTGTTGGCTGGATATTTTTGGTTGGTGGACTATTCTCAGTCCAGCAGTGACACTGAGGTGTTTAAAAACTCCAGCAGCACTGCTGTGTCTGATCCACTCAGACCAGCGCAACACACACTAACACACCACCACCACGTCAGTGTTACTGCAGTGCTGAGAATGACCCACCACCCAAATAGGACCTGCTCTGTGAGGGTCCATGGGGGTCCTGACCACTGAAGAACAGGGTAAAAGGGGGCTAACAAAGTATCAGAGAAACAGATGGACTACAGTCTGTAACTGTAGAACTACAAAGTGCACCTATATAGTAAGTGGAGCTGATAAAATGGACAATGAGTGTAGAAACAAGGTCATAATGTTATGCCTGATCAGTGTATAATCAGATGAACTCTTCTTTTAAACTCTGCAAATACCATCCCGGTAATTTAGAGAATTTTAAACGCCTTATGGAAATAAAAGTCCATCTCCCTAAAATACTGTACCGAATGCGTTGGTGAGTATGACATCCTTGGATAAGAGGGAGGAGGGTGAGGGGTTGTTGAAGGCCAGACGGTTGAAGCTTATGGTGTCATCACACACTGACCCAGGGAAGCCCACGCTCCAGGAAGCATTGTCAGAACAGCGGGCTGGGTCCAGCAGGTTGCTCTTTGGCAGCACCTTATATCCAGGGTTACCTTTGAGGGCAGAGAATGATTTACTACTGTGCACACACTGACTGACTACAAGAGTCCAGCCGGACACAGTGGAAAACAAAGTAAAACGTAGAATGAGGAAACAAGGGGCTTCAATCAGTTACCATTTAGCCCATGCTACTCATCCAGGTTAATCTAGCTAGAGTTCTCAAACTGCCTCGCTAAAGTCAAAACTTCTTGTGTCTCTGAAGAACCACTGAGGTGGCAGCACAGTAAGTTACATCCAGATTTCTTGTCATTCATACCATCAACTATAATGCTGTGTTAAGTACTTAAGTACTATTGTACTTTTAATCTGGCCAGATTTGTCAAGTCGAGAATCTAGATACTTTTTTCTGGAATGGACTCAATTATTCCTATTACCTGGACTCAGAATCTGTGTCTACTTCAAAATTTCTAGACTAGAGGCATTTAATGGGTTAACAGCTTTAAAATAAAAACAATACATAAACCAATTTTGAGTTATCTGAACACAAATGCCTTAATCTGGTATAAGACTTTCTTCACTAGAATCTTCACGGCAAATTCTATTTAGTCTAGTATTAGGCTTAATCTAGGTGTATAAGAATTGGCCAAGATGTTTTATATTGAGTGTCTCATATTACAAAATACAGTGGGGTTCAAAAGTCTGAAAGCGCATGAAAACTCTGTTTCTATGTCATTCAAACCTGAAAAAAAACAGCAAAGTTTTAGAATCTTGAAAAATGTTAAACAAAGAAAAGTTATGACAAAGTGAAGAAGAGATATTTGAAATGTTGCACTATTTCTACATCACCATTCAAACTGAAGCAAATTTGTGACACTGACCATGCCAAGGCCTTCATACAAATGGGTTTAGGTTTATTTCTGCCTTATTCCTAACATGCTAGTGTTCTGACAGCTCTCAGGTGGATTTGAGAAGCTTTTGCATAAGCATTTGAAGTCCAGCACGTGAAAGCAAAAGGGGGACACACCACTTAATACTTAGAAATTCTGGAATTAATGAAAAGATTCTATTGTTCACTCGAATTGTAATGCTGACATCATTTGTAATGAAGAACTTTGTATTAATTAGAAAGAAAGGCAAAATTGAACGATTTCCACCAGTGCTTTCAGACTTTTAGACCCCACTGTATCTCCTGATCTGTAGTAATAAATACCTGTTAGAGATCCATCAGTATCTATGAGAACAATCTCATGTTCCCATCTGAAGGCGGCCTTGTTGGGTGTCTGGTAAAACTGGATTCCGCTGAATTTGGCGCTCCACCCTCCACAGAAGGAACTGGAGGTTCCTATTATCGTGGTCACCCCAATGGCAGCACAAGAAGGCCGGTCAAAGTTAATGAACTTGGTGTTAATGACGCTCATGCCATCGTCCAGTGGCAGGACGACTCCCCGGTTGGTGCAGTAGCTGCTGCCCAAGCCCAGCTCATCTACGTGTCCCACCAAGGTGCTGTTGACCAGCGCTGCGCCCCCGTTCAGCCCCCAGCTGCTCACATACTGCTCGATGATGCGCTTGGTCTCCACACCGGCCTTTTCGTTATTCACCATGAGGAACTCGCTGAACTGCACGGATCCCACGTTCACCCACTCGACACCCTTCTCGTTGTTCCAGGAGGTGAGTTTGCGGAACACAGCCGGCTGAGGAGTGGAGGAGCTGCAGGTGCCCTTCTGCATGGGGAAGAACTCCTGGAAGATCCACAGGCCGAACCAGCCCTGCGAGTGTGCTGTGTTGTTATAGAACTCTCCGAGAGGCACCCTCTTCTGGCAGATGTTGCTGTCGTAGGACGGGCCGTCTGGGTGGTCATGCATGCGGTACCAGAAACCAAAGTGGGTTCCTCCAGCAGCGGCGTTATGTCTAATGGTGTTGTTGGGGTTGGTGACCCAGTAGCCGGCCGGCGTCACATCATCATTCAGCAGGCTGGTGCTCTGCTTAACAAACACGGCCAGGTTGTACTGCAGGACGTTGCCCGTCTCGATACCGTCCTCGATGAAGAAGGCTCCTCCCATGATGTTGTAAATGACATTGCGCTCCACCAGCAGGCGGTGCGTGTTGTGGATGGTGACAGCTCGGTTGTAGGTCTGGTGGATGGCGCAGCCGCGAACGTATGACTGGAACTTAATGTCGCCCATCAAGTGCCAGTGGATCGGGTAGCGGCCCAGACGGAACGCCTGACCAGCATTGAAAATCTGACCAAACACAAAGTGGTGATACAGTCAAACTACACAGTGCATGTAACGTTTCATGAAGATTTACTTATTTAACCTCTTCAAGACCTGTGAATGGATCCAGACTTCCAAAACTATGTAGATTATTTTGCTGGATAATTACTAGACAATTCACAGTAGTAAATATCAAGATTGAAAGGAATAGTTTGATGAAAAATCAAATTTACACAATTTGTAGTCCAAAAATCTTTAGTTAAGGGCTGGAGCTACAAGGCTCATATTGCTAACAAACACGAAGTCAATAGTCACCCTAATCCTTTCTGCAAATATATCCCCAAAACTTCTTTAAATTCGCTCAAACTGCACCCAGGTCCTCATTAAGCTTGTAGATGTGGTTAAAGACACAGTATGAGTTCCTGGGAACTATAAAAATGAACTCGCTGTGTAACTGAACTCAGCAAACAGCAACTTTAAAGGCAACAGGGTACTGTGCTGGATTCTGACTATTTTTAAACATTTATCTTCAGGTTTAAAGTTCAAGATTAACTCCTTAAATGGCCAAAGTTTTACTGCACCACCTCAGTGAAGACCCAGATGCAGTTTGAGAGAGTTGAGAGAAGTTCAGGGATGAATTTACAGAGAACAATTTGGGTTTAGTGTTTGTTTACAACGTTAGCCTCATAGCTCCAGCGCTTACATAAAGAAGGTTGATCAACTACATCTGGGGTAAGTGGAACATTTCTCATCAAATCATTCCTTTCAGATTAATAACCAATCTGCAGTTTACGGGGTTAGGATGCCTTCACAGTCTCAAGAGGACCGTGTGTTTTGTGTCCCTCATTGTATGGTGATATGTACCTCAACATATTCGATTCTGCCAATGGCCAGATTTTCATTGGGTCTAGGCGCATGGAACATAATGCAGCCTCCAAACTGGTCACTTCCAACTTCTTCCCCAAATCTCCCTTGGAAACAAGTCTGGGTGGTGAACTCCCCTGAGGATAAGAATAATCACATAGAACCAGTCTTAGGTGTGGAACAGTAAGCAAACTGCATGGAAAACTGGATGAAACTGCTCTAAACTGGTGCACACGTTTCACTCTAAGCATACAAAGTCTAACCGGATACAATTTTGCACAGGTTTCTTCTGTTTCTTCTGCCCAAACTTATGGAAATCCATTCCTACCTGTATCAAACCCATCAGGGCAAGCCTGGATTTGATCACTCCACTCCTGGTTGATGGATCCACGGACGACGACGTTCCTGGTGAGCACACCCACCTCGGCCCTCGCCTCAAACACAGTCCCATCAGGCAGGGTGACGGACTCCCCCAGATGAGTGTAGTTGAGAGGCTGGGTCAGGGTCAGGGTTCTTCCGTCGGCTGACACGGCCGCAATTATTCTTACCTCGTTCTCAATCTGGCTGTGCCTGCAAAGTCACATTCACATACAAAATACAGGTACAGTCTGTGGCACAAGACAATATAGCAGTTCAAGATCCTTCTGTTCTGGTCTTATTAGACCTCAGTGCAGCTTTTGATCCTGCTGATCACAAGATTCTCATCCACCGTCATGAATTCTGGGGTGGCCTCTCAGTCACAGTTTTAGAACAGTTTATATAATATTTAGTTAATAGACAGATCATGGGTTCACTGGGAAATCAAAAAAATGTAACATTTCTTGTGGAGTCCCACAAGGTTCACTTTTAGGGCCATTGCTTTTCTTTTCGTATATGTTACCCCTAGGTGATGATGTCATTAAGAAACATAATATCAATTTTCAAAGCCATGCTGATAATATGCAATTAAATATTTCCATTCCTTCAGATAACCAAGAGTCTGTTGACAGGCTGATCAGTAGTGTGTCAGATATTTCTCAGTGAATGTCGCAAAATGTTCTACATCTAAATCGCAGAAAAACTGAAATACTGATACTTGGCACTAAAACTCAGAGATAGCTGCTTTATGACAAGCTCTGTGCTTTAGCCTCATATACCAAACCTGAAGTAGGAAACCTGGGTGTGAACTTGTGAGACTCTGAGCAATGTTTTATTCCACATGTAAACACAGTCAATCAATGCATCCTTAATTAGCAGTCAAAAGAATTTGCCCAAATTTCCCCAATATCTGTAAAGTCTACTGATCCTCTCCTATAGCGAAAGAAAGAAAATCCATGTTTAGTCCTGGTGATGAGGATTGCGTACCTGTGCCCTGTGGAGGCAATGACAATTTCATCTCCGACTCTCCAGGTCACAGCGTCCATCAGGGTCAGAATGTTGGAGCTGCTGTTGGCGGTTTGCGCAAGGCGGGTCCAGGGGATAGGGATCGGAATACCTACAGAAGCAGGTTTAGAACAGGTGAAGGTCTGAGACTTTCCTTAGATGCAAACCTGAAAAGTTTATGGATTTCACAGGAATAATTTCCTAATTCATTAGTGTGTGTTACAAATGCGATTCATATGTAAAAGATGAGTACAAAGATCATTAATCTTAGCTCTAAGCACTGCACAGTTCAGTGTTTTCACTGCACTACAACACCTGATTCAGCTTATGAAGGGCTTGATAAGTCTATCTTAAGCTGAGTAAATGGCATAGAAAATGATGATCCATTTTTTTTGTTGATTTTTTTTTTAATATCTTTGTCATTTTATTATACAGACGTACACAAAGTATTTGATCTTATATATATATATATATATATATATATATATATATATATATATATATATATATATAGACATGCTTCTGCGTATGTTTCATTTTCTTTAAAAGCAGTTTGAGCTTGATTTTTATTGTATGAAAGGTGGTATATAAATCATAAGATGATTTAAATGTTTTAAATCTCATGTCCGTAAACTGATGCACTTCTCACACAGCTTTCCTGCATTGTCATTTCAATGAGAGCGAGCTTCAAGCCCTGCCTAATGTAAAATGTGGAGGTTTGATTGACATACCGTGCAGGTCCAGCACTCCCTCCCTGATGCCCAGGGTTTTGGCCCCATAGACGGGGATTTCCGGAGAGCGCAGGTGGCCGTGCAGCGTGATGATGGCCTTGTGCTGGAAGGGTTGGTCCTCTGTTCCAATTTGAAGAGCTCCGCCGTCTGTGATTAGGATGTTCTCCGCCTGCAGCTCGATATCCGCCTCATCGAAGATCAGCTTTCCACCTGAGAGTAGAAAGACACAGTAATTAAACAAAATCAGAAGAGGATATGGCGCAGTGGATCAATGTGCTAGAAGAAAGATTCTATTTTAAGGCCCCTTTAGGTAAATCAGACCTATGCTAGTGTTGTTTTCTATTTGTTTACACTGTGTACATTGTGTACATTTGGTTGGTCCTAAATTGTTCTTGTATCTTTTTTATCCATTTATGATATTTGTTTGTTTTTAAATACGAAAACCAGTCATAATTCATTTTTCTACGATCATTTCCAACCTCTCTTGATCCCTCAGAACTGAACGCAGTGTTTTCGTTACCTTGCCTTTAAAACTGATACATGCAAATGAGCTCTGTTCTGATTGGCTGCCCTATATTGTGCCTCATTCAAAAAAGCAGTCTGGGCTAAAACACAACTTGTAACTTTGGTGTGTGTGAGCAGGGCTGAAATGCTGTAGTCTCAGTAAGTGGATATATGCAAACATGCTGGTTTTTGTGATGTCACCAGAACAACAAATTCAAAACGAGTTGGATTGGAGACGGTATGGACTGGGGAGTGTAAAGAGTACTGAAAATTCCTACTCAAGTACAAGTACTGTTACTGTAGTGATACTTTTACTTGTACTTGAGTAAATTATTAGTAAATAAAATTACTCAAGAGTAAATGAGTAGTTCATTAAAAAAGACTTAAGTACTGAGTTACTTTTTTGTATTTCCGCTGTCACAACCTGAACACATTTCTGAGCTGACTCAGCTACATCATTGGAACAGAAAAACACTAAAGCTGAAGTTCTGAGAGCTGAGACTGATCACAGTCTGCTCTGCTAGAGCACATCTACACACCTCTCTGTGAACTTTGTAAGAAACAAGGTTTACATTAAAAAAAGAGAGAGAGAGACCGAGACAGAGAGAGAGAGGAAGAGGAAGAGAGAGAGAGCGAGACAGACAGAGGGTGGGGAGCTGGGGAGGTATCAGATCAGGCCAGTCAACAACAGCGCGACAGAATCACTGTGCAGAGTTTACGAAGAACCTGTATTAGACTAGATTTCTATCTCAGTTGTTCACGACCGTTTATCTCCAAAACAGCAGCTAAACTAGGCTGTATAAACGGTAAACTGTAGTCCGTGGGCGACACCTGTTAGCTAAAGCAGCTAGCAGCTATCAGCTAGCTCGGCTAACGCTGCCTCAGGCTGGAGTCGAGTTGTGCGAGCAGGTTTCGTGTTTGGCCGCTGATAATAACGCTGTTTTCTTTAGTTGATGTTAAATGAATACAGAAGACCGTTTGGATGGTCTGTTCCTCGTGTGTGCTGGTTCAGTCCACTAAACTGGACATCTCTGTAGTGTTTTTCCTGCCGGAGCTGCTGTTTTTTGATTGGTGAATCTTTTAAATATAACCGTGCGTCGTTCGTATTGGTTTCTGAGCTGATATGCTCACAATTTATTTTTACTCCGTAACATTATGAAAATTAATATAGCGAAGTAGAAGTATTTAATTAAAAATTAACTCAAGTAAAAGTACTATAATTGAATTCTACTCCAAAAAGTACCGTTACAGGGAAAACTGTACTCAGTTTCAGTAATGAGAGTAAATGTAATCCCGAGCTTTTGCATACCTTGAATGAGAAGCATCTTGAGCACAGGTGTGCTGACGTCCAAAAGGATAGTCTGCCCTTTAGTGATGACTGTGAATGTGCCCTCCTCAGGGGGGGATTCACCGCCCCACGTGTAGCGAGATGACCACACATCAATGTAGAAGAAGTCGGCACGATCCTGAAACAAAATAGCAGACACTACGATTCCAGATAATATTTACACACCAGAAGAACTGTGTAATCTGAAAATCATAAGCAGGATGTACACAGGTTAATATCTGCTGCTCTCTGTGTGGTGGGTTCAGTGTAATAGTATTAAATGGAAAGTGCTGCGTTGTTAGAAGAGGTTTAAGTTTACCATCTGGGCGATTCCTCTGTCTCCAACCAGCACTCGGACCTTGGTCAGCTGGGACTTGGGCTGGGCGTTGGTCACACAGATCACCTGTGTTTCGTTGACTGACTGGACGTCGCAGACTGACCCTGCGATCGTCACTGAAATATTCCCTCCACTGTTTGTAACACATGGCAGAGAACAGAGGTGATAACATGGATGTGTAACTTCTAACACAGCTCTTCATATGGACAGTGAATCATGTGATCTTATTAACCTACACTACAGGCCCAAAGCTTGGAAGCAACACTATCTTCACAAAATTAAATGTGATCTTAATCCTACATTTGTTAACAGGCCGTAATATGTTTCTGAAGCATTATTCATAGTTTAATACAGGATTAGTTTTACACGAGGTGTTTCACCTGTGTGTGGTTTTGCTTCTGGCTATTTATGTGAACCTCTCTTGCAGTGAAGAGAGAGAGCCTAGCAGAGCGTGAGAGTGAGACGGAGAATCACCGCAGAGCAGCAGAAGCAGTAACTAGAAGAAGCTGGTTCACAGCAAGCCTTTGGTCTTTGTCTTATCTTTCTGTTTATGTTGATCTCCGCTGAAAAGCCACAACCCCTTCGAGAAGAAACTTCATTAAAGCAACTGCTCTGCTGCTACTTTCTGCTCCCGTGTCTTTCCTCTCCCATATCACACTCAGGGAACGTTACAGACAATATATTTACAGAAATGGTAATTTACACGTAATTGATATAATCTGGGGTTATTTCTACTGCTCATTGTACAGCTCAGGATTAATATAATAAGGGTTGTTTCTATTATTTATTTCTAAGCACTGGATTACTGTATCCTGGGTTTATTTATTTCCTGTTTTGCTGATTTTTATAGCATGGGATTTATATAATAAATATATAGATACTGCAGCATCCAGGCTAGAACAACCCAGCTAATGAACAGTTTCCACCCACAGGCTGTCAGGCTTCTGAACCAGCTGTGAAGCTGTGAGTCTTTCCCCAATACCATTTCACTCAGTCACTTTGTTAGTGCCATTTGTTATCGTGTGGTTGGTGTGGTGCAGTGGGTAACACCTCTGCCTTCTACGCTGTAGACTGGAGTTCAATTCCCACCTGGGTAAATACCCAACACTATACCAATAAAAGTCCTTGGGCAAGATTCCTAACAAGACCTTCACCTACCTGTGTAAAATGATCAGATTGTAAGTCGCTCTGGATAAGAGCATCTGCCAAATGCCATAAATGTAATTTATATACCATATTAGTGCTACGGACATATATATATATATATATATATATATATATATATATATATATATATATATATACTCTGCTGTAGAGTGATTAACTATGTCTTGACATGTTGTGCAAATGACAAATAAACTTGAAACTTCATGTTTATATATATATATAATATATATATATATCCACTCGTATCTCCATTTTTGACGTTTTTCAGTTTTTGACATACTTTGAAAGTGCCTGTTTGTCCTTTACACTGTGTGTAAATGTCATGATGATTGGACCAAAAGAAACGGCCCAAAATGACTTGGAAAAAATTCTGGTTCCACTGGCTTACATTAAAACTAAAGTAGGTTTTTTCCTTCTCTTGTAAAGCTATTATTTTGGAGATACAAGGGTTTCTTCTGACAACAGCTATATACATATATATATATATATATATATATATATATATATATATATATATATATATAACAAATGCATCAAACTGTTTTCAACAAAGAGTGTTAAAAAGACTTTTTCCAGAGTACAGCACTCCAACACTAATGGAATAAATTACCTAGGCTAATAAGCATGTTCTGATGGCCGTTGGCAAATTGACTAAACTGTAAAATGTTTCTTAATGTGTTAATGTGTAAATCTAAAAATATGACTGTTTCTGTATTTTGGGCCTGTAGTATGTGTTAGTGTAATTATTACAAATTAAAAAAAAGTTAAAATATGCCAGTGTTGCACTAAAGTCTAAAAGAACAGTGTTTTTAATCTCTCACACCTACAGATGTTGCTTTAATTATCAACACCATAAACAACCAGGTTAGATTCATTTGCAAAATGCCATGAAGACATTTTTCCTTTTCTCCTCCAGCAGTAGTAATTTCAGACCTGAAACCAGAGCCGGTGATGGTGAGCACGGTGCCTCCGGCTGTTCCTCCCCTGCCCGGCGACACATTCGTGATGATGGGAGTCAGGCTGGATTTGTATGTGTAGCCGTTCGTAATGTTAGCAGACCCGTAACTATTCAGTACCATCACCATGCAGGCCTGCTCCGCTTGAGTTCCTGCCACAGAGGACATCACAGGGCTTAAGACTCACGCATGCATGTAAACAGCCTTTATCTCAAAGCTATTCATCTGTGACCTCTTTGAGAAACACCTTCCATGCCTCATCAAATGACTTGAGACACTGAACACATTCCTGGCATGTTTCACTGTCATTAAAGATCTTTCCGATAGTTAAAATAAGACTGATGATGAACCTGCAGGAAAACATGACAGATACTGATCTTGATACATACCATTGTTGGGTGGAACCTCACAGTACAGAGCGGTAGAGCTGGATACGTTTCTCCTGACGCTGCATTCTTTATTGCAGATTAGAACTTTTGAGGAGTTTGGATCAAACCCGGTGCCTTGGACTGCCACCACCGCACCTCCGGCGTAGCTCCCTACAGCAAAGAGACGTTCTCTGTTAGTGCACAGTACTAGAGATCCACTGCACTGTAGCAAGTGAAACCATTTTAAATAAAGTCAATGCATCTGATGCTTCTTCTGATGAGATTATTGCAATAATATAATATTGACTAATTTTATTTTTTACTGGTTTTAAGTAATGTTGTCTAGCAAAATTGTTTTATTCTATTGACAGATAATCTTTCTTTCTGTAAGTATCACAAATGTATGTAAAAGTTTGAAGTTTCAAAAGTTTCACCCCGGTCAATTTGCACGTTTTGTTGATTTTGAAGTGAAAATAACTTCAAATAAGGCATATTTTTTCCCAAATTTCAATGCATAATTTCAGTTTATTTGAGTTTAACACATTGGAAAAAATTAAAACTTAAAATAATGTACAATTACTTTTATACAAGCCACATAATATGTTAAACTCAGCAAATAAACAGCTACTGTTCATTAAAATTTGCTCTCTGTAGAGGATGCCAACAAAACATTTCTTAAAACAAGCAAAATCTGCCAGTGGAATGAGACAATTTCCTAAAATGAGAAAATAAACGTCTAGTAACAAGTTAAATATTCTTATAATATTATTACAACAGTCTCACAAGGAGAATTATTAGATGTATTGATTACAAGTGAATGGAAGAACTATAATGCATAGATGTATGTGCATACATTTTACATTTAACACAGACATGACGTAGCTAAATTATATTAAAGTAAACATTTGTCATTATATGAACAGTTGTATGCAAACATTTTGGGACTCAAATTCCATGTTTTGTTGATTTTTCTAAGTGAAAACATATTTTCACTTCTTTTTCTTCTTCTTCCTCTTATTATTATTATTATTATTATTATTATTATTATTATTATTATTATTTTATTAATAATATTTTAAATACACATTTTAGTGCAAGTTTAACACACTGGACATTTTTCATATATAAAAGTTGGCGTGTTCTAATTTTTTTCAACTATGTTAAATTCAGTAAACTGTGCATTCCCTGTACAGTTAACCTATTTTTTACTTAGAAAATCATTGAAACCAGGAGTGATCAAACATTTGCATTAGACTGTAAATAAAACAAAATAAAATATAGATATAGAATATAAATATATACTATATTGTGGCATCAGTGATGAAGAAGAACCAGAAGATGCCATTATCTCAGCTCAAGGAGATGCTTTTTTATTGATCAAAGCAGCAAAGGCCGCTGGAAAACAGCTGAAATAATAGGGATGGTCACTTCTAGCCATACAGATTCTCTCCATGGTGGACATTCACCCACAATAACTAACCCACAGCCCCACACGGTAAAACACAGTCAACACACACATCTTAAACCAACAAACAACAACATTAACAACAGCAAGAACAAATGTCTATTAAAGGAGGGAGGATGGCGGGCATGGCACAACGTACCCCACCACCAGGGCCCCTTATGAAACACAGAGCCAGTGGCTGACACCTCAATATATTATGAATGTAACATGAATATAATTGAGGACAGAGGTGTTGACCACTATGCTATCCATTCGGTAAGTTGAAAAGAATGGAAATGCCCAGCACTAGTGTCTACACTCTAGGGTGCTGAATTATCAGTTTTTAATCGTGGGCTGTAATTCCAACATTAGGCCAATAAAACTACATTATCTGGTTTATCAGTCAGTAAAATATCAGCTGCCAATACATCGCACACCCCAAGCTCCATAAGGGCTAGCCACAGGCAGTTCTGAGAGCCTTTGATTACCTTCGTTAGGTGAGACCTGGTTCAGGCGCAGCTCGTAGGAGAAGCTGGACTGGCTCTGAGCGCGACCTTTGACCTGGTGGGACAGTGTCACTGGGAAAGTTCCACCTGCATGTTCACCCACAGTGCACTGCACTGCCGTGTCCGTGATGGAGGACACAGTACACGGCACGCTGTCAATGCTTACTGAAACCAGACCAGCGTCTGAGCCAAACCCAGAGCCTGAGATGGTGATCGGTGTTCCACTGGGGCCTGTAGAGCATCAGCATGAGCAGACAGTCAGTTACAGTCAGTCAATTTAGACAGAAAGGTATGAAAATGTACAAATATTTAGTTTTAATAATATGACACCAATTTAGTTTTAATAATATGACACCAATTTAGTTGCAGTTGTATGCAAAATAATTCTAATATGATGCTGCTACTCTACAGCATCATAGGTTTAAATAATTATCAAAATAATTATTTAAATATAATATAAATATAATAATTAGAATTCCATTCTTAAGTAATATCTACACTCTTAAAAAGAGTTTTTTTCATGTTCTTCAAGGGTTCTTTAGTAAAGGAAATGGTTCTATTTGGAACCATGAACACTTCATGAAACATTTGCATGATTAAAGTGTCCTTCAGATTGATGGCGAATATGATGAAGAACCCTTTTTGAAGTATTTTCTGTACTTAATAATCAATTTTCTGTACTTAATAATCCTTGAACAACCATATTTTGAGTGTAGAATTAATTTCTAATAATATCAATATGAAACATTGAGATCTAATAAAATTATTTTTTAGGATTATTAAGTTCGAACAAAATTAAAATCCAGAATGAAGTTCTATACAATTATTTTTTGCAATTAAGTCTTAAGAAAATTAATATCTAGAATGAAGTTTTAATAACACTAACATCCAGAATGAAGTTCTGGCAATTGTTATAAATGGATAATCATAATACATTATTTGTCATTTAATAACTTCTGGTTCTGGTTACTTCCCAAAAACTTACTGAAGAAAACATCTGAAAATACTGGTGTCTAGTTTACATTTTTTTCTGCATGGAATAAACTGTTATGGAATAACACAATGCGATTTGTGCATTTTGAACAGCAGCATGTGTCAATTATCCGTCGTACCTGTTGTGGGGCTGACGCTGGTGATCTTTGGCGTCTGTTCCCGAGAGTAGTTGAAGCTCAGCAGTGGGTAAATCACTCCAAACACCTGGATCTTCACCTGCACCAGCTGCTCGCTGTAGGAACGTGTCAAGCACTGCACGGTGCTGGGAGTTACCTGCAGGATGGAGCAGGGGTAGATTCCCACCATCACGCTAGTGTTTCCTGCCACAAAGCCATTCCCTGTGATCATCAGCAGGGTTCCTCCTGCAAGGCTGCCTGAGATCGGCTGCAGACTGGCCAGCGGCACACTGGTCAGTGTAGCGCTTCCAGTCGCCAGTCCTTTGTTCCTAACAACCACCTGCAGGGAATGTGGGCCTGCGGGCAGGGCGCCGACCGACACCGTGATGTTGCTGTCTGAGACGTTCGTGACCTGCAGGATGATGTTGTCAGCAAACACGGCAAGGTTCTCAAGGCTGCTACCGAAGCCGCTGCCACCTATAAAGACAGTTGTTTGGTTTCCGCTAATGGAGCTGGGATAAACAGAGGAAACCTGGGGAGCCAAAGCTGCGGAATATTCATAAGAACAGTCAGAGCTGCAGGACGAGCTGACCGCACCGACGCTTACCGAGATGGCTCCAGTGCGCGGCACAGATGGAGATGTGTCACACAAGACCTGAGTGTAGTTGCTGGATACCACAATGCATGGAACGCCGGCCACTGTGACCATCCCACCGGTCAGTCCTGAGCCAGATATGATCAGCCGTGTGCGGCCAGATGTGCTGCCTGCTGATGGTGAGATGAAGTCCACCACGGGTAGAATCACCACACGCCGACTCAGCTCGCTGGGCATGGTGAGCATTGCGGCTCCCAAGTTGTTGACCCGGACTCGGACGGGCAGCGCAACACCAACAGGTGCTCCACTGTCAGAGCTGAGGAGGCAGGTGATCTCAGTGGAGGTGCTGTTGGTCACAAGACATGAAGCATTTCCAACTGTGACCTGTAATAAGAATAAAGGCTGATCAGTAACATAATGGGATCAAAAACAGCTGAACAAAGTCAGAGACCACCCTTCGTTTAATTTCCAGTCAACACGGCCAAAGTTATCCTTTCAGACCCACAGCGCTGAGTCGTCTTCTCACAGTGGAAGGATGGACAGAAACACCTGTGGATGTTTTCAGATCTGATCAGCTTGATTTTCTCCTCTCTCTCAGAGATGAAAGCTTTAAGTGCTGTTTATCTGATGGGGCAGTTTTGGGGTCGACCAGCTCTTCCAGGTGGTTGATAGGAGCCCTATGTTCTCTGTAGCTTTTAGTCAGTTTTTAAACTTCAGTTTTGGAAACTCCTGTTTTTTTACTTATTTTTCCCTTCCTTATGCAAATGGATAATCTAATGCACTTAATGGCTGTTTTGACTGGAAATTACTGTCTGTCTTCGGCTCCTTTTAAAAGATAAAGGAACAGTTTGGCGAAAAACAGCTGCACCCCTAAAGCATCCTCATGTACCTCAAACTGTGTGGAGCTGTTCAGTCATTCTAATAGACTTGAGTTTTCCGACACTATATAACATTTATCAATAAGCATACTGTTTTAACAGTGACATAACTTTAAACATCTGGTTCCTATCACCACCACTGTGAACTATTCTGCCTCAGTAAGTTTAAAAGTAAGGTAGTGAACTTTATCACGTCTTAAGTTAACTTGTTCAGTTTTGAACTCAGCTCAGGTCTCTGGTTTTCTCCTTACCTCATTGGCGCAGGAGATGTTGCTGAAGCCAGAGCCCTGGAGGATGATGGGGTCATGCATTGTGCCCTGCGAGGGAGAGATGGAGTCGACATTGGGGCTGGCACAGGTGGAGAAACTGAAGGAGAAGCTGTCAGACGTGGTGTTAGAGCCAGAGCACTCAGGGGAGGCCACACAGTCAGACGCTGACCTGCTCACACGTGCTGAACCTACAGAGACAGTTGTAAGAGTTATCTAGATAATTTACATATCCATAGACATATCCATAGATAATTCATAATTGCTTTTGAAAAAAATCAAATTCACCCAATTTACCATACACTGAGGAGGATGGTTTGAGTGGACAAGGAGTCTCCACAGATTGTCACAGATGGGCAATTGCAGACATTAGCAGGTCTTGGGGTCATAATGTCTCCCAAACTACAAACACCACCTATATAACTACAAGTTGATTGGGTGGTTGCCAGAAAAAAAGCCTCTCGTATCAAAGACCAACAAACTCAAGCACCTACAGTTTGCCAACCGTGTCTGGAACTTTCTGTGGGACTGTGTTCTTTGGTCAGATGAGACCAAATTAGAGGTTTTTGGCAACAAACACCAGAGGTGAGTTTGGCTTAGACACAAAGATAGCCATGCAGAAAAGTACCTCATCCCCACTGTGAAGTATGGTGGTGGATCTGTGTTCACTCTCAGAAATAAAGGGACTAAACTGTCACTGGGGCAGTGCCCCTCTTGTCACTGGGGTGGGACCCTCAAAGATACATCTCAGTACCTTTAGTCTGGGAACATAACTGAACCATAATCCACTGAAATGATATGTTCTAAGCTGTACTGACTCCACACACCCCGTCTCGTCTCCAGGCTTTTATTTTACCGTTCTGTTTTAAAACATTCGGTTATGAAAAGGTACAAATACAAACTTTTCACCTGGTAAAACTTATTTAAGGAGCAAAATCGGACCTCAAAAGAACGGCTGTACCTTTGAGGGAACACTTACATTGTTTGTACCTTGATGAACGAAAAATGTACCTGAACAGAACCTTTATTTCTAACAGGTACTGTGGGGCTGTTTTTCTTCTAAAAGCCATGGATAGTTTATTCGGACACATGGCATCACAGACTCCACCAAGTACCAGCAGATAAAAAATCCAAACCTGACTGCTTCAGCCAGGAAGCTTAAACTGGGCCATAGTTTGGATTTTCCAGCAGGACAATGATCCAAAACACGCCTCAAAATCAACACAAAATTGACCACAGAATACATTTTTGACATAGCCAACCCAATCCCCTGAACTAAACCCCTTAGAAAACCTAAGAGATGAGCTGAGGAAGAGAGTCACAATGTGGATCTCTGAATCTGAAGGATCTGGAGAGGTTCTGTATGGAGGACAGCACTATAGGAGAAGAGTCAGAGCTGTTATCTTTGCGAAGGGATTAAAGGATTAAATGACGGGGTGTCATGCAAAACATGACATGGAGAAAATATTTATTTCCTGATAAGATGAGAGCTTTTTTCAATTATGTACATCAAATAAAGATTAGATTGTTGTTAATATTTTAAATGGAAGATCAAAAGCATAAGTAATAAAGGACGTTTTTACAGCCTGTTTTCTCATGTTTACAAATGTGCCAATATTTGTGGAGGATCACCCTTTAAAACCAGAGCAAACATAGCCGATTCTCCCGTTTACTACACTGTTCTTTGTTCATTATCTGATTTCTGTTGTTGCAGTTATTTAATATGTAGAGATATGATCTAAGATTTTTACTCAGTTTGTGTCACAGAGCCTTTTGAGCAAGCAAACACTTTTACCAGTCTGAACTGCGCTCTGAGTGAGCTCAACTGGAAAACACTGAACAACAAAGGGAGCCTCGTGCATCTTTTATACAGTGATAGAAAACACTGTAGCACACAGACAACACCAATTCTACACACTGGTACAGTTTACTATGCGCAGAGTGGACATGCATGCAGCGTAACTCCCCGGCGGCAGATTTAAACAAGTTTAAAGGCCTGATTCTCAGAAAGGATCGCGGTGAGACGCTCGGTTCCACAGGTATGATGTGAAATGTGAAGTGAACTGTTTGTAACCTGTGCTTGTACCTGGACTCTGAAGGGCCTGAAACCCAGCTACAGTGACTTGTAGCCCGCTGCTTCTCTCCTCCAGAGGCCTAACGTTCACCACGCCCTGCAGGCTCCTCTTGTTGGACGAATCGATGTAGCCGCTGCTGTAATAGTACAAGCCAGGAGCTGTGAATCGATAGCTGAAGAACCCTGTGGACAAAAGAAGACAAACGCACACACAGATACACACACCCACACACACATTCCAGCACAGTGAGATTCTTTTACTGCCGTGTCCTTTTGAAGTGGAGACATCGTGTCACTTAGAGAAGTTTCTGCTGTCTTTTTCTCAGCATACCTTCAGATATTTAGACAGGCCAACCAGGCCTGAGCACAGAGCACTGAGTTACTATGAGCATAATGACAATTAGGCATGTAATTACAGGTGTACAGGGGTATAAAACCATTATTTACAGTAAAGACCTCCCTAAACCTGTTTCACAGAGGAGTCATTCTACCGCTCCAGTGGCAAATGGTGTCCCCAACTTTCAATAAGAATGAAAATGAGCTCAAAATAATAATAAAACACAAAAAGCTGATGTCTGTATATTCTTTGTCCTATTTGTAAATCTACCAACAAACAAATTCTTTTTGATTGTTGTGATTTTTAGTGTTGTTGAATGCATGAAAAACAGCAGTGAGTTCACACTATTTTTATGTGAAAAAGCAATTTTGAAGCTGTTTAATCATAAAAATACATATAAATTGTCTGTTCTATGTTAAAATTAATTAATGTACTTGAATATAATTGTATATTGCTAATAAATCTTGTCTCAAGATAGATCATCTTTCTTAATGTTTCTGCTAAATTTGGCTGTTGGCAAAGTGGTGTTACTCATGAAACATTAAGTGATTTAAAATTTACTGTAAATGCAATATTTGTAATTTTCTACTTACAGTGGGGCTTTGCAAAGTGGCAGTGGACTATATTTTAGAAAAGCTCAGATTTCATTTATTCTGTCAGTGGTGTTACTATCAGTGGCGTTACTGTTTATTAATGTTTGTACTTCATTTGACACTGGTAGAGTAACTTAGAAAGGTTTATATGTTTTTTTTGGCATTGTGACCTCAGAAACACTCCAAATCATGTACCTTAACCCCTAAAGCTGCAGGTTCATTATTCAGTTATTTTTCTTAAGGCTCATTATTCAGTAACTCAGCATCCACCATGACACTTTTTTGTTGATAGTGAGAAACACAAATGTACCTGTGGCTGTTTTGGTATTTCCGCTGTTGAAGCCCACACCGTCGAAGTTAGTGCTGCTGGGACTGGCCACACTGAAGACCCTGTAGCCCAGGCCAGGAACAAAATCTGGAGCGTTCCACCTCCACACCACTGTGTCCCCTACAGACACTATGACTGTGGACGGGCTCCACGCGTACCCCTGACCGTAGCCTGAGAACACAAACAAACAAAATAAAACACATTTAAACAGTAAAACACATTTTGTTTGCATAGTCTGAGAACACAAATAAGTTAAAAACACAGTAAAACACATTTAATTAAGCACTTTTATCAATAAAAAATTTAAATTTTTAAATTAAAATGTTTGGCTGGAAAATAATAATTTTACCTTCCCTTACCCAAAATAGCCAATCAGCCAAGGTGTAGCCAATGTTTAGTGTCTGAAATGTGCTCATTTCATTCTTTAGCCTTTTCAGTGCTGGAGCTACAAAGGTAATGTAGCTAACAAGTAATCAAAGCGTATATCCCACCTATTAGCAATGTGGAAACTGTCTGCATAAATATGCTACATAAAGTCTTTAAATGATTGATTTTGAACCTAAGAATAAATTCAGTCTGGCCCCTTTTGAGCCCAATAAACCTTTGCCTTGTTCAAGCCTGGACAGAAAATCTGATTGCGATTTCAACATCCTCAGTTAGTGACACTCATACTGAATCATTTAAACCATTTACTCTGACCTGATTTGAAGTTTTGAAACCTGGGTTTTTGCAGTGCTAACTAATGTATCTTTTGAGATGATTGAAAAGTGTTCCCAAATAGTGCTGACAAATCTCAGTTTTAAAAGCTTTCATTTCCGTCATCTACATGCAAGAATAAAAACTTCAGTCGTACGCAAATGCATTTCTGCACACTTCAATGCACAATTACTATTTACTTTAGAATTTAACATTCAAACATAAAATAAATAAATAAAATGTGGCCTGTGTGAAAGTTATGACACATGGTATGTTGTTTTTTTCCAATGTGTTTGACTCAGAAAATACATAGAAATTGTGCTTTGAAATTTGCATGTCATATGTAATGTAAAATATATGTGTTCTTTTATTTTTTGTGATAAGAAACTTATTTATCATTTCATTTGGGGTATTCAAACTTTTGCACATAAATGTAACTGAAAATAAATCAGGATAACTGTATCCAGAATCGGCAGAGGTGCCATTCCGATCGGTATCCCATCTATCCTAATTTAATTGTCTCACTCATTTCTACCATCACTTTGCTAAATTTTTTTAAAAGCATATCGCTGCTGTTGGAAGAAAACCTTGTATGTCCATTTTTACTGTTTGTCAGTTTTTGACACAATTTGAAAATACCTGCTGCCCTTTACATTGTGTGTAAATTTCATGAAGAATGGATCAATAGAAACGGCCCAGAATAACTTGGAAAAAATTCTGGTTCCATTGACTTAAATTAAAAGTACAGGAGAAGGAAAAACTACTTTAAAGTTACCATTTTAGAGATACAAGGTTTTCTTCCGACAACAGCGATATGCTCTAAATAAATGCCCCCCTCAGCCAGTTTGTCTAGTTACATAAGGGAAAACAGACTTTGTTGCTGTGGACTGTTAGTGTGAACCTACTGGGGTCGATGCCTTGGTTTGTGACGATGTATGTCTGCTCATCTATCTGGGTCACACACTTCAGCTGATGGTCCCAGGCTGCAGTCACCTCACAGCGCGTCCCACCTGCGGAAAACAATCAAGCGCAAGGTAAGCTGACACTGGATCACTGCTACTGTTCACACCCTGGCTGTAATTAGGGGTGTGCAACATGACCATATTTTATCTTCATCAGGATTAATTACGTCAAAGTATGCTTTTATAAGTGTATTGTGGAGTCAGTACTTAAATCACAGTACAAAGAGAACATAATTAATTCTGTTTAATTAGATTTAGTCTGAATAAAAACCACAATGTCATTGCTTTTTAAGTCTATTTCAACTAATCAAACCTCAGAAAAATGAAATACCTGATTTATATCATAAAACATGATGTGCGATCTTTGCCACATTGCCCACCACTAGCAGTAATTACTATTCATCCTTATAAGTTACCATAACTTATATAAAAGTAAGTAAACCTGTCATGTTTTGGTAGCGTACCTAGTGTGACAGTGTTGTCTGCTAAATCAGGGCTGAATCCAGAGCCGGTGATGGTCACTGTGGTGCCGCCATACAGAGAGCCCTGCCGAGGGGAGAGGCCGCTCACTTGCAAGATGTACTCGATGGTGGCGTTCACACCAGCGCTGTGTTTGTGGTAAAGATCAAAAGTAAAAGTACAAGTAAGTAAGACCATTTTATTTCTAAAGCCCTTTTAAAACAACAGCAGTTGCCCAAAGGCTGTAAAAATATATCTCATTTTTATATAATAACTGTAAAATAATGCAACTCCAGTATCCAGTGCTACTGTTTATTTACACATGGAAGAGCACTGGAGAAAACACGTTTGTTTTGCATTATGTTCTACTTTAACGCAGCATTTTCAATGTAAATGATATTGTCTGTTACCAGTTTCAGTGAAATGTAGAATATTTGACATCTTCACATGAATTTTAGAATTTCTTAGTAGTTGGTTGTACCCCCCTTTTGCTTTCACAATAGCATGGACTCCACAAGTTTGTACAAAAGCCTCTGAGTAGCAGATCAAACTCGCCTGACAGTTATATTATAAATAATATTGTGTTATTACAATATGTGTAACATCAAGGATTTTCATTTTTTATAACTTATATTTTAACTGATATTTCCTGCATTGAAACTTAAAGAATTAACCCCATAAATCCAGGAGGAGCCCGACATCACAGCACTTTCAGACCATAACAATATGACACACTCTTAAAAAGATGGTTCTTCAAGGGTTCTTTAGAAAAGAGAATGGTTCTATTAAAAACCATATACAGAACCATTTCATGCTTTAATGGTTCTTTGCATGGTGAAATTGTTCTTCAGATTGATGGAGAATGTTTTGTATATGGTTCTATATAGCACCAAACAGGGTTCTTCTATTGTTATTGTCAGGCTTGTAACAACAGAAGAACTTTTTTGGTGCTACAAAAAAACATTTTCAAAAGGTCCTATATAGAACCATACATAACACATTCTCCATCAATCTGAAGAACCTTTCATCATGTAAAGAACTATTTAAGCATAAAATTGTTCTGAATAGAAACATTGCCTTTATTATTAAAGAACACTTGAAGAACCATCTTTTTTTAAATGTGCACAATGTCAAAAGTGAATAAATGTTTAATAGGAACAATAGTAACAAAAACAATAACAAAACAACAATGCAATAATATTTATTATTATTGTTATAGCTAGTCATATTATTATCACTACTGTTGCCATTATTACTACTACTACTACTACTACTACTACTAATAATAATAATAATAATAATAATAATAATTATTGTTATTATTATTATTATTGCACCACTGGGGACCTGCACCACTGCATTGCCCACTGCATAGTATTTACATGATTTTCAGGGCTGTACCTGATTTGGGGATAGCCCCTGTTCCCCATTCTCACACTGATGTCATAGACACCAGGGGGGAGTGAGGGTAACAGACAGGTGATGTTTTTATTAGTCCAGTTCAGCACAACACAGTCCACACCGCCAATCAGGACAGAGCTGCCGTTAGTCTGGTCCTCGAAGTTCTGTCCCTGGACGGTGAGAGTCCTGAGTCCTTTATCACACAAGAGAAAATAAACAATGTTTATTGTTCGAGAGAAAAAGAGGGGGTTCATTACTCAGCGAATCGTCTTTTATGAGCACTGTAACAACCTAAAGCCCTGCTGACTGACACTTTGAATTACAGGGTTCAGGGTTTTCTTTTCTAAGAAAAGGACAGGTTTCACAATTCAGGCTGTCCAAAGTGAGGTAATTACGACTAACACCCCTGTTCAAATGTGCAGACAGGAAAAAAAGGAAACGACAGGCTGGAATGTTTCAGAGTGCGTCACAATTATTTGCAGTCAGTGGAGAGATCTGCTGCAGACAACACGCCAGCATGAACGCTGCAGCGCACAAAGGAACACTGCCTGGGGACAAGAGTGGCAGCACGAGTGGAAACAATAGCGTCAGACACTGGATGCACCTGTTTTGGTATCTACAATCTTGAATGGGACAGCTTTGAAGTCTATGATTGGGGACAGAATCAGCTTAGACCTCCTTTAACTGTTACCTTTGTCGAGTATCATTGCCGCAGACTCTATGATCTTTAGTTGCTACAGTTACAAAGATTCTTAGAACAATAGAACCGTGACGTATAGAGTTCCTCGATGAACTGGACAACAGGTCAGACATCAATTTTACATATGAAAATCTGAAATTTTTTGGATTTCCATATGAAAAATGAATGTATGTCTGCTAAAATCAGCCCAATGTTTAGTTTCCTGGATTAGGTTAATCCTAAGTATTGAACAAAACTGTGTTTGAAGTTTGCATAAAGAAATGTCACAGCTATGAATAACCCTGTTTACTGTGTTCAGTGTTTTGATGTGGCTTACCAAACACTGTTGTTGTTTGTGGGCTCACGCCAGTAATGACAGCTGTCAGGGCGGCATCATACGTGAAGGAGTCATTCGCCGTGGCCTCCATTCCTCCACTTTTCAGGGTTACTGCCTTTGCTCCTGCTGATCCCTGAGGCACAAACCAGCACTGAAAAACTCAGCTTTATATTATAAGTCTCATTTTCGATCTTCACAAATTGTAAAATGTTAATTGTTTACTAAACTTGTTCATGAAAAATTACCACACTTTAATTTATTCTTGTTACACTATTAAAAAGGAATTCTATAATTTTTTGGTTAAGACACAAAGTAATGTAGAATGGTTTGGTGTGAAATGCCTTGAGTCAGAATTGTTAATAGTGGTGCTGATAGGAACCAAACGTCTGAAGAGTTTAATGCCTCTAAACGCTCCCTGACAACAAATTACCACAAGAAATGGTTATGAATTCACTGCCTGATGTCTGAAACATTATTTTATGATAGTTTTGAGAAGACTATGAGAGTGTACTGAGGTATTTAGTGGGTTTTTGTAATATTTTACTATTATCAACAAAACACATTAGGTTCACTGGTGGTTTTGGGTAGTAAATAAATATTTCTGTTGTACATTCTAAAAACGATGGTTCTTCAAGGGTTCTTTAAAGAAAATGGTTCTACATAGAACCATAAGCACTCAAAGAACCATCTGCATGATTAAATGGTTCTTTGCATCACGAAAAGTTTCTTCAGATTAATGGAAAATGTGCTGTAGATCTAAAACTCTTTTGCTAAGAGTGTAGTCATGGTGACCCCTGGTTCCTATCACCACCACTGTAAAAATAGTTGGTAAGGTTTTCTACAATTAACTATTTCGTATCAAACCACTCTGAATGACTTTGCTTACATTTTAACGAATAATTATGCACACATTTTGAAAAGGAAAGGTGGAATTCCCCTTTAAAAGTAAAGGTGGCAATAAAATTTACAGGTTCTTGAGCGATGCCATGGAAAAAGCACTTTTGGTTCCCTAAAGAACCATGTCTGAAAAAAGAGATTTGTGAGTGTGAAGAACCTTTTACAAGTTTAAAGAACCTTCCCATAATGGAAAGGCTTCTATAACCATCATTTTACAATGAGGTTATTTTTTTTAACTTTGTTGTCTCGTGGTTCTCTAAACTATGATCCACTGAAAATTGTTTTAGTGAACCAAAAGTGGTTTTTCTATGGCACTGCGTGAAAACGTTTAAGACTTTGAGAGTGTACATTTAACATATTCACTAAAGTAACCAATAATAAAATCTTAGTCAAAGCTATTTTTATTAACAATTCGAGTAAACTAGGTTTGCACAATGATATTAGACTCATATCATCGGCAGATGTTTGCTTTAGGAAATGGTGAACATCAAACAGATATTTGGATTTGACTGATGTTCAAACTGATATGATTGATGATATATTTATTGAACTCTGGAAGAGCAGAATGTCTAGGTGATGCTGAGTTACCGCATCAAAATATCTGCATTTCTTCATTTTACTGCATTTATAACCATCCAGAAACTTTATATTTCTCCATGTAGATGCAGTCCCAACATGACAAGCATTATTCTATAAACATTATTGAATAAGTTGTTCACTCAGTTCATTTAACACTGTAGAATTTACTGTGTAAAAATCAGCACTAATATTTAGGCCCTGTCGAGGTTTGTGACTCTGATCCATCTAGTTTATTATAAATACAGTAAAATCCATAAGAAGCACATTGTATATTTAGTAAACATAGAGCAGAGCAGACTCAGTGACTTACAGCAGGCACTCTGCAGCTGAGCTGGTTTACATCCACATAAATAACGTCACAGGACGCGTTCCCGACGGTGGCCACGGTGTCGTAACCAAAACCATAACCAGAGACGGTAATGATCGTCCCCCCTACGGAGAAAGAGAGTGCAGGAAGCCATGTTAGCTCTATGATAAGCTTATGCTGCAGTGCTGCATAGCAGAATGATTATATAAGGCTGTTAGACCATCACTGGCTGTATATGTCAAACAAACAAAACATTTCAGAACAAAATGGTGTGTTTTGGGCAAAATGACTCAAATGCATGTTTACTGTTTACTCAGGGAAGATTTAGTGATTCTGGGGGTCTACACAGTTAAAAAAGATGGTTCTTCGAGGGTTCTTTAATAAAAAAAAGGTTCTACATAAACCATGAACATTTAAATAATCCTTTGCATGATTAAAGGGTTCTTTGCACCATGAAACGGTTCTTCAGATTGATGGAGAATGTGCTGTAGATGGTTCTATATAGATACATTGTATCTGTATGTCAAACTATGATTATAATTTTCTCTTCAACCTTTGAACTATGTACTAACGATACTCATGATATGTTCATATATTCAATATATTTTATATTTAATTAGTCATATTTGTATTACTGTATTTGTATTATAGGGATTCAATTTATTGTGACATAACTTATTATTATATATCGATCAAAACAGTTGGTCTTTTCCATGGACTTCAAAGTTTTCCTCTCCAGTATCAATGGGAGTCATAGTCATAGTGCTGTGTCACTGTGACATATCGCTGTTGTTGGAAGAAAACTTTGTATCTCCAAAATGATAACTTTATAGGAGAAGGAAAAAACCTACTTTACTTTACTTCTAATGTAAGTCAATGGAGCCAGAGTTTTTTCTCAGTCATTTTGGGCTGTTTCTTTTAGTCCATTCATCATGGAATTTACAGACAATGTAAAGGGCAACAGGTATTTTCAAATGATGTCAGAAACTAAAAAACATCAAAAATGGAGATATGAGGTTTTCTTCTGACAACAGCGATGCATAGCATGTGCAATTTACCAGTGATGCTGCCTGCAGTGGGCTTTATGGAGGTCACTCCCATCTGGTAGGTGAAGTTGAAGGGGTTGCCACCTGAATACCGAGCATAGCCCAGCGCAGGGAAACCCACAGAGACTGGATACAGTCCAGCGCTCGCAGGGCCAACACTACAGGTCAGTGATGTACCTTAAACACAAACACACAAAACGCATTTTTTTAAACTTGCAAAATCTATAACAACAGGAGCAGAACCCCTGCAGGCTGATTTTAGGTGCTGATTGGTAGGGATGCACCGAAACCGAAACAAAAATTTATGGCCAAAAATGGTTGAAAGTGACAATTATGGCTTTCGGTTGGAGAGAAAAAAAGAGAGAAAAATTTGGCCAAAAAAAAAACAAAACATTACACAGATCTATAATGAAATGTCAAAATCTAACACTTAACATTTGATTGATAATGAACAGCACAGACACGTTCAAACAGTTTGAGCAGTTCTCAGCAGGAGATCAACAGTGAAACTGACCAAACATGTTCCAACGTGTTCTAAACGATCTTTACCTTACGTAGCTTTCAGTGTTAGCTGATTTACTGAACTTCTTCAATGTAAATCACCTAAATAATACTGACTTTCTCAATATCTTATAATAATAAACCTTTTCACCTCTCATTTTGGAAGTTGTTACTGTAAACATGTGAGTTTGTTAACTCCTGCTGGTGTGGGTTCATGTCTGTTTCTTTTTAAAATGACAAACATTAAAGAGACTTGCATGCTAATAGCGCCAGACCGCCAGACGGGAGATCCAAAGTGACGTCCAAGTGTTTTCCATTTAAAAAATGAGGCATTTTCCATCATTATAACGGAAACACTCTGGGATTTAGCTTCAGATCTTTTCGAGAAATCATCTGAAGTGGCAAATTATATAGAAAAGAACCCTTTCCTTCAGTTTTGGGTTTCATTTTGGTGTATCACTATTCTTATTAGCATTTGTACATAATGGGCCTATTAAATATAGCCATTTTAATTAACTGTCAAAGTCAAATGTATTACCCATTTTTATGTGGGGGGTATTTAATCTGTAGGTTAATACTGGTAAACTACTGGTAGGTAAGATGGCAGATCACATTAGGTCATCATGTTGTTTCAGACATAACAACAGCAAGTGACCAACTGTAATTTTGTAATAATTAAAGTAATTTTTGTTACACAGATCCTTGATACGCCACTGTTTATGTGTAAATCAGGTAAACACTAATTTATACAGAGACCTCTTATCTTGTGCTAACTGGTCATAAACATTATAGACCACAAGTTTATAGATAATATTGTTCAACTGATTATGTTGAATTAAAGGCTGAATTAAATGTATTTCATTTTCCACAGAAACACGAATGAAAATTGTAGCACATCTTGGTAGCTACTAGAAGTTTACTAGGACTTACTGGTAACCTGGAGGACCGAGCACTGGACGTCCCCAATCCGCACTGAGGCATTTCCATCAACAAATCCAGATCCAGAGATGGTCAGAACGGTTCCCAGAGCACTGGCCCCTAAAAGACATTGTCCAGTTAATGTAGTTAGTATAAGCAGCAGCACTTCAGTATCGGCATCCCTACTTGCACTGTGAAAAGGGGAATATGTTTCTAAGACTCAGAATTCTGCACTATATTCAAGGTTTTACTTACATACTGCATGTTTGTTTACTGAAATATAAATATTACATTCTTTCAACTTAATATTTTAGATGGTGCTTTAAAAATACCCACGTAATTCACATAAATTCTTTTCTTCTACATTATGTTGTTTACATTTTTCACCTGAAGGCCCACAGCAGGCTGACGATGGGACAGTAGCAGAGTTTTTTGACACTATCCTCCAAACTCAAGCCATGTTTTGTGATATGATGTGATTTGTTTGTGATATTATGGCTCAGTGAAAGTGCATAAAGAAGTTCATGTGTTCTACCTTGCGATGGAGATATCCCGGTCACGGTCGGGGTCTTAGCCTCACTCCAGGTGAAGCCACAGTCACCTGAGCACTTAGATGGAATGCCGTTGATAAGAACTTCCACCTGAAAAGACATTATAATCTCATATTTGTGTAGGTCTTTGCTGCAGACTTATTATTATTACTACTATTATTATTGTAGCATCCTGCTGCACACGGCTGTGAGTGAAAAGGGACGTCTATGTTGTTAATGTCGCTGTTTATTAGTTTAAAGGCATGTGTATGTGTTATTCTGTGTCGGGGGGGAGGTGGGTGTTTTGTGTTAGAGGTTTGGGGTGGAAGCTTGTAGCTAATAGTGACCTTCCTCATGAGTTCAGTGCTTTGTACGCGCCTTTCTGATGATGTTTCAGTAAAAGATGACTACTTGCAGTAGAATCATGGCCTCCCCTACATCAGAGCCTCATTATTATTATTTTATATTTTCAGAGCAGACTTCTGTTATGCGTTTACTTCCACTTTCATCATTAAAAACATTTGGATTTTGTTGAAATTCAAATGATAAGTTTTAAGGCAATCAGGTAACCTTTTAAAGTTACCAGACACTTCAGCACTGCTGTGTCTGATCCACTCAGACCAGCACAACACACTCTAACACACCACCACCACATCAGTGTTACTGTAGTGCTGAGAATGATCCACCACCCAAATAATACCTGCTAAGTGGGGGTCCTGGGGGGGTCCTGACCACTGACGAACAGGGTAACAAAGTTTGCAAAGAAACAGACTACAGTCTGTAACTGTAGAACTACAAAGTGCGCCTATATGGTCAGTGGAGCTGATAAAAGGGACAGTGAGTGCAGATACAACGAGGTGGTTTTAACGAAGTGGCCAATCGGTCACACATTTATTGTTAATCTGCCTAAACAAATCCATAATCTCTTGCTGATCTGAATTCTGTTCAGAAAAAACACGGCAATAAAGGAAGCCTTGTGCATCTTTAACACAGTTATAGAAAACATGGTAGAACACAGAAAGCTATGATTCTGGTACTGTTGCCAACGGCGACATGCAGGTGATGTAACAGCTCTGACGGCAGATTTAACCGAGCACCTTTCCTGGTTCTAGACGCTTTGGGTTCATGTTGTTACAACAACAAATCTTTTTTTTCCAGTGTTATTATCCATGTAGTAGTAGTGTTTAGAAGACTTAGTGTGTCATAAGTTAACAATCACTGCAAGCAGACTAATGCGTCAGTTTTGACAAGCAAAGTGACGTTTAATGGTTCACTCAAGCTCTAATCCTCAACACACAATACAAATGAACTCATTATACTGTCTGTCTGAAGACAGTCTATAATTAAACATCCTGCCCGGTCTCAGATAATGTGATGTCACGGCAACAAAGCTGAAACAGGTGCCAAAAGAATATAAATACATGCTGGGTTAGCATCTCATTGCTGAGTTACAGGAGCAGCAAATAGTAGCGCTGTAGTCAAGATTACTAAAACAGAGACGGAGACCAGATTAAGAACTTTTCATAAGGGGAAAAACTAAAATTTGTCTGCGGTTCAATGTACATTCATTATCATTCATTATACATGATATATATTAAGAAATAATAGTATATTTTATCATTTATTTAGTAAAATATGACATTAAATAATATCTGGCCTAAAACTTTGATTAATCATGATTATTTTATAGTCTTAGTCCAACTTTGCACCTTAACTTTGGGTTGTAAATGATGTTGAGGCTCTTCTCTGGTTCTGAAAACCAAACAACATACATTCATTTTTATTCTTAAATGAAAACATAGTAATAATTATATTCCAATCTGTCCTCTGGAGATGTTTGAATCTTGGAGCCAATGAGCATCTACAAACAAATAATACCCAGTTAAGCCATCATGGAAAGATCAATTAGGTCCTCAACCAGCAGAACAGATTTTATGTAAACATGCAGAGAAAGGAGTGTTTTATTCTGTTTGTCCAGCCCCCCATCACCCAAAACAGGGACCAGACTCGAGTACAACACAAGCAGAAAGTCAAACAAGTGCACCTGTGTCTTGTTTGTTGGGACGCGCAGGAAGTCTCCCATAATCCTTTGCTTGAAGAGCCCTCCCTGCTCCTTCACCTGTGCCGTCACTGAGGGGTTCACGCCGACTACAGAGGAGTCGTTGATCTAGTAAAGAACAAAAAAAACAAATTACTCAATTTATATTTAACATGCAGGAGAAACCGGCTTCACTGCAATAAGCAAATTAGTTAATTTAACCCTTTAGATTTATTTGTAGTTCATAACTTAAATATCAAATCAAACCCAATTTTCCTCACTTTTTTCATGTAGTACACAAAAACACTGATAACGTTTCAAAGCATTCCATTCATTCCCCAGTTCTTACCATCCTGATATGGAAACTAAGCTGCTGCTGGAAACTAAGTTTGCTACTGTGACGTCATGGAAACCAACATATGCACACACATCTCCCGATTCAGGCTACAGTAGTTTGGCCCCACACTTTCCCACTGAGGTTATAAGGAGGCCTTTCTGAATGAGGCACAGTGCAGGGCAGCCAATCAGAACAGACAAAACAGCCTGTGTAATTCAAAGGGATAAAGAGAGGCTAGAAAAATGATGGTGTAAATATGAATTATAACATTTTTGGTAAAGAAACACGAATGTCGTAAGTTCCACATGCAGACGCAAACAAGATAGGTTTGCTGTGTAAAGTTTGCCTCTTTAGTTTTGGCTAGAGCTACAATGCAGAATGTAAACTGGGTGCGTTTTCATGTTTGAGTTATGTTTGTTTATCTGAGCTTGAGACGTTTCTGTTGTCAGTTGGGGGCAAGTAGCAACAAAGTGATAACGCTGATGGATTTTTTCTGATGAACTCTTGAGCTACTTATTAATCTAATGAAAATGTAGCTAATTTCAGCTGTACAGTAATTACTATGATAACTGGTGGATTCAAAGCTGGTGTGTGTTCTCAGGTGTGTTTTTGTATGTCGTGTTTTTTTTATTTATATGCACACTTTTTCTGATATTTGTAAATGTATTATTTTTATTTTTTGCAACGTGGTGAAGCCAAAGACATATCCAGGTATTCTATTCTATTCTATTCTATTCTATTCTATTCTATTCTATTCAGCCAATTTGGCCCCTTTAGACTTGTAAGTTAGTATAAAGATTAATACATATATTTGTTCTTCAAAAACAGACAATTGAATTGTTAATTGCAATGTCTTAATTATGTCAATTATACATCAGATAAAATGTCTTGATTGTGACAGGCCATGTTAGCGTGTTCGTTAAAACATAGACTTCAGCACTATATATTGCCAAAGATCTCTATTAACTACATAAATCCAGCACCAAATAATGTAAATTGATTTGATTTTTTATACTTATTAAGAACTTTAAGTTGTAAAGTATAATTTCAGACTGATGAAGACTTTTTGAGGACCCACAGTCCCCCTGATTTCACCTGCAGTAGGGGCTGGTTGCCTGGCACGCTGAGCCACTCAATATTCCAGGAGTAGCCTTTGCAGTCTCCTGTCCTCGTCACGCTCAGCTGGCCCAGATCTGGAATGCCTTGCAGGGCATACTGCAGGTCTTTGGCACTGATGTCCACAGCTAGACCTACAACACAGACACAGACGCACTCCTTTCATCTCCACTGTCTTCACTGTTTAAATCTCTGGCTTCACAAAGATTCGATTCAATTATGATTCTTTAGGAAATGATTCGATGCATCATAAAAGCTCACAAGCTTGACATCATAATGATAGAAGAACCCTTTTTTGATGCTATATAGAACCCTTTTCAATAAGGTTCTATATAGAACCATATGCAACACATTCTCCATCAATCTGAAGAACCATTTAATGATGCAAAGAAACCACGCAAAGGGTTCTTTAAATGCTCATGGTTCTATATAGACCCATTTTGTTTATTAAAGAACTCTTGAAGAACTATCTAGAGCGGGTGATGAGACTAATACAGTTGAGTTCAGCTGTGAAGCTTTTTTAAAGGTTCGTGCAAACAGTCAGGTCAGGGTTGCCAGATTGGGCATGAGCACTCGGAATAGTATTTTACATTACTTGCTATGACAATAATTGCTTACCAATTACATTTTAGTGTTTCAACTTTCATAATAATTAACAACAACAATAACTGTAATAATAAAAAATCATAATATTTTTACAAAAAAATCTTTTTTTTCAATATTAGAAAAGGAAAATATCAACAGTTGCAGCCCTAATATTGTGACCCCTACAATAAGCAACAGATCACAACTCCCTGAGGGAAAACATGGGCAGTTTGCTGACCTTCCACATGCTGGCCGAAGCTCTCCACGCTGAAGGTGCCACTGAGAGGAGGGCTGGCTCTCTGTGTGCGCGTCACACTGACGGTGGCGTTGTCCTGGACCAGCACCACTGTGTCCTTAGTAAAAATGCCTGACCTCTATAGGACAGAAAAAAAAGAAAATAGTTAATTTATATACATTTTCTTCTAAAATAGCTTGTTCTAAGTTTTTCTCAAAGCCCGCAATTTGCAAAACGGTAGGTCACTTCTAGTCTTCATAACTTCAGAACAGTTTAATCTACAGACATGATACACATAACAGACCATTCAGCAGACCCGCCCCTAACTAGCTCACATGACATCATCGGGCTGTGACATCAGCATCGGTGAGTAATTCAACTGGGAAAATCACCCAAAGTCTTGGTATCATTGCTCTGCTTTTTGGCCTTCATATCCCAACAAAGGGTTAAAACGGTGGCATGATTTACACATCAGATCACTCATCAGACTCTGCCTCACCATCCAGAGTGATTTTATCCAACTGTGACCGTCCATCAGCCAGAGACCCAGCTCCAAAATCACCCAAACCCACTCGCTACTGTTATATTACATCTCTTCTTTTGGGCTTCATATTATAAACAAAGGGTTAAAAATAACAACACAGATCAGAACACTCAGAGGAACCTGCCATCACTAGCCAGAGTGAGAGAAACCAGCTCTAACATCACACAACCTAGAAATACAGCGCAAACACACAGCCGGATCACTGTACAACCTGCTATTAGCTCCCTGCTTTAGCCTTCATATGGCACCAAAAAGGGTTAGGATGTGTTTATGTATTGACTGTGTTTTATTGTGTTGGGCTGTGGGTTAGATAGTGTGTGTGTTTAGTGTCTACCACAGAGTGAACTGCTATGGCTAGAAGTGACCTTCCCTGCTGCTGTTGCTGTCATTCAGTGGCCTTTTCTGCTTTGCCCAATTAAAGAGCATTTCCTTCAGCAGAAATAACGGCTCAGGCTCTTCTTCAACCCTGACACCACAATAGTTATAAGAGGAATGCCCTTTTGTTGGTATTGATTAGGTTTGCCCAATTTGTCTATCAAAATGAGCTCCAGTGTCAATTTTGTAGTCTCTAAATGTCTAGTTTTTGTGTTTTTGGTATCTTTTTTGCAGCGTTCCTGTAAGTTTTCTCTTAAAAATGGATGCAAAAATGCAAAAATGTGTAATCTTATAGATTTTACAGAAAAAGTTTGGGCACCCTGGCCACATACCTTCTGCCCTTCCACAAATATCTATCTCAAAAACCTATCTATCACAAAAATATATCATAGCTTGCAAACACTTTTAGTAGCTGGCCAGGAGTCTTTCTTTTAGAAATTTTCACCCAATCAGAATGCTTCTAGTTCTGAAATATATTTGGGCCAGAGGTGCCAAAGTATTTACTATATCCAGCTGGCAAGACGGTGTGAGGCAATAGTTCTCTTTCCAGAAATGTGGTGCATCACCTTACAGATGCGTAATAGTACAGGCCTTACTAGCATATCTAGAATGTGATGCTGGAATGCTTGATATGAATCTATTGATGTTTTGGAAACATCTGACTATTAAGTGTCTGGTCGTGACGTGACGTCTGATGCCACTGATATTCACCTCACAGCTCTGTCAGTTTATCAAGTTACTTTTATTCACACTTACCTGCAAGAAGCCAACATCCATTAGAGGGAAACCAAAGGCACAGTTATACGGAGAGGCTGTGATCTCATAACTGATACGTGACGCGTTCCTCATCTTCTGCACAGAGATCCGCTGAAGGAAAATACCAGAATCGGCCAGAGCAGGAGGCCTTCTCCTCTGGACAGCACCTAAAATATGGGAAAGGAGGACAAACATAAATAACCCTACAAATCTATAGTTCTGCCTCATTCAAAACGCAGTGCAGGCTGAAATATTCCTTATAACTTCAGCGTGAAAGGGTGGAGCTAAACTGCTGTAGACAGAATAGATGGATATACACCGGTCAGGCATAACATTATGACTTTGTTTCTACACTCATTGTCCATTTTATCAGCTCCACTTACAATATAGGTGCACTTTGTAGTTCTACAGTTACAGACTGTAGTCCATCTGTTTCTCTGATACTTTGTTAGCCCCCTTTTACCCTGCTCTTCAGTGGTCAGGACCCCCATGGACCCTCACAGAGCAGGTACTATTTGGGTGGTGGATCATTCTCAGCACTGCAGTAACACTGACGTGGTGGTGGTGTGTTAGTGTGTGTTGTGTTAGTGTGTGTTGTGTCTGAGTGGATCAGACACAGCAGTGCTGCTGGAGTTTTTAAACACTGTGTCCACTCACTGTCCACTCTATTAGACACTCCTTCCTTGTCAGTCCACCTTGTAGATGTAAAGTCAGAGACGATAGCTCATCTGCTGCTGCACAGTTTGTGTTGGTCATCCTCTAGTCCTTCATCAGTGGTCACAGGACGCAGCCCACAGGACACTGTTGGCTGGATATTTTTGGTTGGTGGACTATTCTCAGTCCAGCAGTGACACTAAGGTGTTTAAAAACTCCAGCAGCACTGCTGTGTCTGATCCACTCAGACCAGCGCAACACACACTAACACACCACCACCACGTCAGTGTTACTGCAGTGCTGAGAATGATCCACCACCCAAATAGTACCTGCTCTGTGAGGGTCCATGGGGGTCCTGACCACTGAAGAACAGGGTAAAAGGGGGCTAACAAAGTATCAGAGAAACAGATGGACTACAGTCTGTAACTGTAGAACTACAAAGTGCACCTATACAGTAAGTGGAGCTGATAAAATGGACAATGAGCGCAGAAACAAGGAGTTGGTCATAATGTTGTTATGCCTGATCGGTGTATATGTAAATGTGCTGTTTTTTGTGAGATCATTCAAATAGTGAACTTCCATATATGGACTGTATGAACTGGGGAGTGCAAAGTATATTTTGGCACTTGAACAATGTTTACATACTACATGAAACTCTTATTTTGAAAACAGTGAGGACAATTTGTTTTTCCATGATACGGGTCCTTTATAATAATTGCAATGAAATGAAAAGCTTTTTCATGCACCATTGAGGTCAATCATGGTGGCCGCTCTCCCGAGCTGAACCGTGTCTATGTAGTAATCTCCTGTGTCTCTGTACAGATGCAGTTCCAGGAGTTGGTAGTTGGTGCCGGGGAAGCTTGTCTGCAGACCAGCTAAAAGATCCACACACGTGTATTTCCACCTGCAAACAAAATACAATGCAGTGGTCACTGTATTACTATTCATTTCAGCTCTGTGGAGAACTAGACTTTCAAATTGTGTTCAAACTTACACATCCCCAGACCCGAACACTGGAGAGATTACTGTGGTCAGAGTATAGGTACTTCCTGCGCTGTTCTGGTAGGTAAACACCACTTCCAGTCCTTTCTGTAGATAGCCTTTATAGGCCAAGCAGAGCTAGGACACAAAAAATAATGTAAAAAATTAATTTAAATATGCTTTTAGATATGCAGTGGCCCCAAAACGTACCTGGACACTCTAAACAGTGGTAAACTTTTGTTACGGTAACTTTTGTTTTAGCAACATCAAACTGATACATGTCCTGGATTTCCAGGGTCAGGGGGCCTGTCTTGGAATGAAATACTGGTCTGAAACTCACCATCATCTTCTGAAAGACCTTTTTAAAAGGTCTGTTTAAAGTGGGTGTCATCTTTATTGACATTTTTTCGTAACACAGTGAGTGTAATACATGTACAGCAAAAAATCAATAATTGTGTATTAAAATCTACAAAAACATCATTTAGAAAATCAACAAAACATATAATTTGACCAGGGGGCCCAAGCTTTTGCATCACTTATGTGACGTCACTCGTTTTAGGTAATAATGACAACATGATATCATCGGTGGGAGTTTTATGGAAAATTTATTCTCTGAAAGTATGAGTGCAAAAATACGTACATAAAAGTAAAGTATTTTTTCCTCGGTTTAACTTTTGACAGAGATCAATCTAAACATGTTATTAGAAGAATTATTATCTCTGTACGTACATCTGCTCAGGCTTCATGGAGCATCCCTGATGATGTGTCCAGGAACATCAGCAGATGTACCTACAGATTTACTATCATTACAGACAATAATAATATGAATACCATAACTTCTGGTAATTTTTCCTGCTTCTATTATTAGGTCACTAACTACTAGTTTATGGCCCAGGTGGGGCTGGACCCAAGTGCTGGTTGCGCCATTCAAGTACATTCTTTTGAAATGATCTCAGGATACTTACTGTTCCATACTGCTGAAGAGGCACAGGGCCATAGGCTGCTCCAGACAGGGTGACATCATCTGACCTAAACAGAACGGTTGGGTTCATCAGGGACCACTGGCCGCAGAATGGCTCGTTGTTATTGACGATCGTCCCCCTGGTGCTCAGATCACCTGAGAACTGAGGATGCCAAACATTTGAATCCTTTCACTGCTTCAGCATAAGATCACAGCTCCTTGTTAGCTTTATTAGAGTCTGCAACGGTTATAAAACTAAAGTTAGAACCTTTTCAGTGTCATGTAGAACAGGGTTCCCAATGCCAGCCCTGGTGTCCCAAAACAATGCTCATCAAACACACCAACAAAATGTTAACTAATTAACAAGTGCCTCGTTGGCTCAGGTGTGTAGAGTAGGGAAAATACAAAAACATACAGGCCAAAGGGGTCACCAGAACTGAGAGTGGGAGCCCCTGATGTGGGACACCTTTAGGGACGTTCTAAATACAGTGCTCCTTTTGGACCTTCCGCATTAAACTACTAAAAAAAAAACAGCCCTTACCCCTGTGTTAGCACTCTCATAGTCTCTAAAGTACTTGACTTGAGAATTCTCCACACTGAGAAGCTCCTGAGGACATTTGGCAGACAGCATTTCACCCAGCGCAGACAGAACCTGCAGTTAAAAACAGTGTCATTGATGTGAAGCACCACACCTATCAAGCACCGAAAGCTAGTGCTAATGGTGCCCCCTTGTGGAGCATTTTGAACCTGCTAGATGTGAGTGAGTGAGTTACAGATCAAGTCAGTGAGATGCATGATTTACATATGAACACACAGTCCAGTGCAAAAGTCTTAAAATGACCCAAATCCTACATATTTCGTGTCTTAGGCTACGTTCACATTACAAGCCTCATTGCTGAAATCTAAACTCTCTGACAGGACGGTTCACACTTGTGTAGGTAAGTGACCTAAATCTGTCATTAATGTAATGAACCAGCGTCCTGAAATGACCCGCATGAGCACATCCTACTCAGTAACGTCACGTGAATGAATCACGTTCATCATCAGCACAAACTAACGAGCAGAACGAGCTTCGCTGAGAAGATCATTAACTCTAAACAGCTCTCAGCTTCTTTATTAGAGCGAGACGAAGGAGAAAAAGGTGAGATGAGCTGCTTTTCCACCGTTTACAGGCTTTAACTTCTGTTCGCGCTGCTGCCATGGTAACGCTGAATGATGGCGCAGTGCAGTGGAAAAAAAGCACATGAATTCCGATCTGAGCGTCACATTAAGGTCCTATGGCCACGAATCGGATACGTATCTGATCTAGGACCACATATGAACGTGACTCGGGTTGGATTTGAAAAGATCAGATTTGTGTCCGCACAGCCCTGAAAACATCAGATCTGAGTCACATTAGGGCAAAAAATCAGATTCGTGCCACTTCAGCCTGGTAATGTGAATGTGGCCTTGTTGTTTTCCCTGAGGTCCACTTATGACCCTTTTGTGGGTATACATACCAAAATCAGTCATAATTCTATATGTATCTACATGTTGATGAGCTCTGTTCTGACTGGCTGCCCTGTATTGTTCCTCATTTAAAAAGCACTCAGAACTGAAACACTCCTTATAACGTCAGTGTGGGCGGAGCTAAACTTCCCTAGGCTCAATAGGAGGATAGATGTATGTTGGTTTTATGACATAAACAATGAATCCTCTTTACTTAAAGTGAACAACATTAAATTTAAAGAGGAATTACACCTGTTTTATTTCTGCACAGTTCAAGCTCTGAGATGTAAACAAAGTCGTTCAGGTTTGATGCAAAATTCTGTATTGTAAAAAAGCTTACAGACTCAGAATTCTTTATAGTGGTGGTGATAGGAACCAGGGGTCACCAAATATTGTTTATTTACCATCCAAACCCACCAGTGAACCTACACATGTCTTCTGATTTTTATATGCAATGCTGATGATGGTAAAACAGCTGCAAAAAAGAAAAAAAAAAATTCTTTTGGGGACTATTTACTGTTTTTATATACTCCTCCATCATGAACGGATTTAAAAGAAAAAAATTAGGCCAAAACATTATTTCAAGACTGTTGCAAAACAATGTCTCAGGCATCAGAGTATATGAGGGAGCTTTTGGAGGTGGACGTCTGGTTCCTATCACCACCACTGTGAACAATTCTTCCACTGCAAGTTTCACACCAAACCACTCTGAATGACCTTAACGATCTTAATGACTGACTTCTGCAGAACCTTTTGAAAATTTGTGGAATTCCCTTTCAAGCAGTTTGAGAGACCTCAAAGCTATTTATTAGTTTCAAAAACACTTGTTTCAGAATAAATACAAGTAAAAAATAAACACTGTAATCGTTCTGTGTGAGTTGGTTTGCGTAACCATTTCCATTTCAAGGTTGTTCAGTATTTACAGTTCTCATCTAACACCTGGTTTTTCTAATCAAGCCTCCATTAAATTTAATCAGGTGATAGAACTGAACAAATCCATGTGATAGAGAGCAGCAGGAACTAAACCTCCGCTTATCTAACCTACATATTCATAACTTTACTGAAAACAACACATTCTTATTACGTTTGACTGTATTTATAGATTGTATTGTATTGTAATATGATGTAATTTGTAATGTTAGCATTACTTAACATTGTAATGTTAATGTTATATTACTAGCAGGATATTTTACACTATATTTTCATTCACAAACAAAATAACAGTAAATTATCAAGTCTATGAAAACAAGAATGTGGCCAAAAAAATAGACACATATTGAAAAAAAAGCTTGCAAGTTGATGTAAATGTAATGTGATGAAGAGGATTTGCTGTTTTAAACATTCTCTTTGCAACAGAGGTGAATCAGAAGGATTTCAGCACATCTGGAGAATGACTGCTGATGTTCACACCTGAGTCTCTGAAGCGTTGTAAGGCAGAGGGCTGGACGCAATGCCTCCCCACAGCAGTGTAAAGGTGTTCAGGTCAGCTCTTCCTTTCGTGACCTCCCTGACTGTGACGTTTACACCTGGCCAGTTTGTCCAGTACTGAAGGTCCTCAAAGTCACCTGACATGGAGACAGTAGCATGGCTTTAGATGTGGACTGAAAGCACAGTGCTTTACAGAGTCGTACACTATGGGTCACACATTCCAGTACAAATGCAGTAAAAATGAATTGACTCAGTTTAAAAGTGCACACAATTTCCACGAATAAAACACAATATATCCACCCAATTCCAGCCTTTCAGCTTATGTACTTTTGTGCTGATGTAATTTATTAAAAAATTAGTGAATTCAAAGTATTACTGCTTTCAATGATGCTCAACCAGATACAATCAGCAGTAAAAATTCTAACCACATCTATGATTGTGTATACTTTAAAATCGACTACAGCAGATTAACATATTTGACTCATTCTGGTAATGAACTTCATTGTTGAAGTTGTACAGCTTTCAGCCCAACATGTTAGAATCATTTTATACTTTTTTACTGCAAAGAATTTGGTTTTGTTGTATGAAAAACACTAATTCCAAACTTCTCAACTGTACTGTGAGTGAATTCCAAACATTTTAATCTCATAATTCATTGTAATTTCTGGTTAAACTAGTAAACCAAACTGGTTGTTTCTGAAAGTGTTATTAAAGGGGATTTTTACCACATAAGTAAATGGTTAAGATGTAAACAGAGACATTCAGAGTGGTTTGGTGTGAAATGCTTCGTTCTCGAGAAACTTAGAGTCAGACCTGTTCACAGTGGTGGTGATAGGAACGAGACATCCACCTCTAAAAGCTCCCTCACAGAAAGTTACTACATGAAATGGTTATGAATTCACTGCCTGATGTCTGAGACATTGTTTAATAATAGTTTTGAAAAGATTTTGGTAAATGTCAAAAATATTTTTTTAAATCAATTTATGATGGAGGGATACATGTAGGGCGTTGTGAGGCAAAATAGTCCCCAAAGAAATGCTATTTTTCCAGATTTCATACTATTTTCCCATAGTCAACATTCCATATAAACTCAGAAGACTCGTGTAGGTTCACTGGTGGTTTTGGATAACAAATAATATGTCTATATTTGTGTTGTAGTCATGGCGACCCCTGGTTCCTATCACCACCACTGTAAAGACATTTGAGTTAAAACACTGTGAATAAAACTAAATGACTTTGTTTACAGCTCAGTCATTAAATTATGCAGAAATTATAAAAAAGGTGGAATTCCTCTTTAATTATTTTCACTTATCCAGGCTAGTTCTTTGTTTGGCCCAACAGTAAATAATAGGACTGCTGAGTCATCGCAGCCGTGACAGATTGTCTTACCTCTGTTAGAATTGAAAGTGATATTGTACTGTGACTGAGTGCCCAGATCCTGCTTTGTGACTGTGACTGTGTCTGGCTTAATGGTCCATAGAGCATTCAGCTCAGCCTGCACCACCTGCGCAGGTGCGCTGACGGGGATTAGCCCTGTAGAGGGACACAGGATCACGTCTGCCGTGTTAGCACAATGCAGGAAAAGGACACTTTTGATGAGAGAAATTGGATGCTGGCTTCAAACAAACAGAGATTAAGTCTTTCAGACCAACGCTAACAAACTTTCCCCACAGAGTCTGAGCTGAAAGAATGGAACCTGTTCTCTGGGCTCCATAGCTGAGGGTGTAGTAGGTATTATCACAACTGCCCAATGAAAAACAGTCACTGCTGATTGTCACAGTCTGCACCTCCTGGACAGGAATAGCTGGGCTCCATCCATCGAAACGAAGCACCTAAAAGCACAAAAAACAAACATTAAGCAGCAGATCTGAATACACACTATAAACAATGAGCATATATACAATACTGCTCAGATGTTTATTTTCACTGTTTGTATGAATATAAACCCAATTTTGTTTCAGGAATATGCATAAAATTATATTAATAAATTATAAATATTATGTTGGTACTTTATAACTTCATAGATTTATAACTAATTAATAGAAAGCGAATATGTGAAAAAATGAATATGTTCAGAATGATAAACACAGCTGTAGATGACACTGAGAAAGCTGTATAACATTGAGAATGAAGTTATGATACATTCCAATAAAATACTATCAAATATTGCATTTTGCACTTTAGGGTTTAACACGTTGAAAAAAATAAAACATAAAATGTATAAGGTGCCATAACTTTTGCACAGGCCACATTTTATGTTTTATTTCCCCCACTATGTTAAATTCAGCAAATAAACAGTAATTGTGCGTTAAAATGTGTAGAATGGTGTTCTCTGTAGACGATGTGTAACTTATTTTCATTTTTAATTTGACCAGGGTGTCCTAATTTTTGCATATGACTGTAAATGACTGTAAACAGGTCATTACTGTATATGCAGTATATTATTTATCTTGCTTCTCTCAAAAAAAACCTGAACAAAACACTGCAAAACACCTTCTGGTGTCTCTTTTGTGTTATTTACATTATTTAATAAAATAACAACAACTATTAATGTGACTCCAAACTTTTGAATGCTAGTGTAACTTTTATTTATTCTTCAATTAAATGTTGTTTTAAAGCTGTAAAGCATTTGGACTCCATGCTCCTTGTTTTTTAATGTGCTGTATAAGTGCAAAATTACTTCATTTGCATATTTACATGCAGTAAGCAAGATTAAATCAAACATTCCAAACCATTATAATCATAAAATGTGCTACAACAAACAAATATGATCATGGAGGCTCATTGACTATACTTCTCTGACAAACCTGTTTCTCATCCAGAATGTCGTAGCTGGCTTTGATGACCTGCTTCTCATTAACGGCGTCCTGAGTCTGCTGAGCAGTGAAGGGGCTTCTCTCTTTGAAAAACCCCACATCAATCAAGGCTCCTACTGTGTACTCCTGGAGCAGGGCTTCAATATAGTACCTGAATACACACGTTAGATTAAAGTAGATAAACAGGGTAACAAAATTAAGTGTTTATTTGCTCTGAAAAACATTAACATTGCAATAAACACAAATAAATTTAATAAAATAAACAGTAATGTTAAATTTCAAAGATTTTATGAAGTATTTACAGTAATCATTTCAATACTTAGATGAACTAATCAAAGTTCAACCACTTTTATGAAGTCATAATCAGTTTGTTCACCACCACTGTAAAAAAATCGGAGTCTCCATAATGAACCGTTTCACACCAAACCACTCTGAATGCCTGTTTACATCTCAATCACAGACGAATGCAGACATTTCTAAATATCATTCATTAATCAACCCTTCATGACATTAAATACATTTAATCATTCCTAAATTAGGTTAAACTTGTTTAATTGATCTATAATTCACTTCAATCAGTTTTATTCAATCCTTCATTAAGTCACATCAGTTTAGTCCATCCTTCATTGAGGCAAATGTGTTTAATCAACATGCCATTAAGTTAAATCAGTTCAGTCAATGCTTCATTAGGGCAAATCAGTTTGATCAATTCTCGATTCGATTAATTCAATTGAATCTAACATCAATCCTTCATTGAATTAAGTCAGTTTAGTCAATCTTTCATTGAGTTAAATCAGTTCATTTTGTTAGATCAGTTTAATTAACTCATCATTTCAGTACAGTTCAGTTCAGCGTCATTTCAGTTTAGTCAATCCTCAACCGAGTTAAATTTACTCAACCTTTTATTCAGTTAAATCCGTTTAATGGATCCTCCATTCAGTCAAATCTATTCATTCATTCCTTCATTGAGTTAAATACATTGAATTACTCCTTGATTGTGTTTAATCAGCTTAATCAACCATTTATTAATTTATATACATATAATTCATCCTTTATTATGTTAAACCTGGTGTGCTGATCATGTGATGGCTAGAACTGCTTAGAGCAGAATGCTCTTCTAACCAGCGGACTACACTGCAATTGCTCTTTTTAACTATTTTAAACATGATTATTTACACTATCCTAATTTAATGTCTAATTTGATTTTTAATGTAATGATTTTTTCTTTTAAATCTGTTCTTAATCATGTTTTTTTTTCAATTCTATTCTCATTTAGTCTACTTTTTTAAAGAACTCTGTATTTTCTGACTCTGTATTTTCTCATTTGTAAAGCACTTTGAATGACAGCAGTGTATGAAAGGTGCTATATAAATAAACGTGCCTTGTCTTCTTAAAAGCAAACTTTCTTGTTATTTTTAATCGCACAGATGTTGATGTGTACTAACTCTTACTGTTAAAAGTGCTTTTAAGAATTCATAGCTTTTTTAGCATAAAAAGCACAAACACTCTCAGTGCCCTGATGAATACGGTGGCCTTTTGCACAGCACTGTACATTTTATCATGAGTTTTAAACTGCAGAATACAGTATGTGGAGTCGCACTTACGCCTTTCCTTTCTCCAGCCGCATGACTTTAGACCTCTGGGTGGAACTGGTGTAGTAACTGCTGGTCCAATAATTCAGATATGCAATCTTGACCTGAATCACATAATTGGGTTGTAATTATCAAAATGTGTGACTTTAGCATTAATAGTAGAGCTCTGTAGTAAGATCATTACCATGCAGGCTGCAAAGAATAAAGCCTGTTTTCCTGCCTCATTATAAAATATAGTGAGTTTGTTAAAGTGCAGTACCTTATCCTGAGGGCGACCGGTCATGCTGAAATACAGCTGAAATCGGTCATCTCCTTTGATTAAGAAATAGTAGTTGTCGGTCTCTGTGGGAACAAAGAAGCCACTGAATCGAGCCACAAAGTAGTCAATTTCGTTGGGCCACGCGTAGGACAGAGAGTCCACCCACTGGACAGAATAACCAGGCCGACTGGAGGTATAGGTCAGAACGTCCTCGAGATACTGCACGTTGGTATTAGTCCACATCTCCATCTTGAACCCTCTACCGCCTGCAAATATGAGACAGACTGACTTCAACCATTACATATCATATTAATACAAGTCAACATTTATAAAAGTGTTTGGTAACACTTTATTTGGACAGTCCACTTTAGATGCTTTGTAGATACTTATTTTACTTTTAAGTTACATTATCTACCATAATTGTCTTTAAGCCTGGCTCTAATCCTAACCCTAACCTTAACCTCAACCCAAAACCTAAACCTAAACCCTTCACCCTGGTCCGAGCCCTAACCCAGGTCCAAACCCTAACTCTAAGATTGTTTGTTAACAATTTGAACATCTGTAGATAATCTATAGGGGATTATAGTGTACCATCCAAATACAGTGAGACCCAGTGTTTTCTACTGTGTTTAAATTTTGTATGTACATGATTGTTTGATATGAATAAAGCTCCAGTTGTCCATGTTATCTCAGCACGGCCGTCTTTGTGGAGAGGTGTGAACTGTTGTCTTACCCCTCCCCCTTTCACCCCACATTTCGTGCTAGCAGCTCCACAACATCACACACACAGAGACAGCATGCCCTAGTTCATCTGATAACAGAGGTATGAGGAAATAATATTTAATTAGATTTTTTATTTAAAAATACTAGAGTTGATTTCCATTTCTCCAGTGGGGTGGCCACTAAGGGTCCTGCAGAAAGGGGTTAAAAGTCTAGATTCCTAATATAAGTCTGAATGACACTGTTTAGTCTACCAAAGCTTCATTTAGAGGTATGTAAAACTCTGCATTCCACATTTAAGTGTGTTCAGTCAGTGTATCAACTTCACTGACAGAGATTTAACAAATTGAATTACATATTTAATTAGTTACATTAGATGTTTTATGACCTTTTCGCCTGTTTTTTTTACGACTCTGACTTTTGTCTAACTCTGTTTGGACTGTTCGCCTATTTTTATGTTTGTCTTCTTGTACTGTGTTTCCTGGATTTGACCCATGCTTGTTTTGTGACCATGAACTTGGACTTTGATTTCACCAGTAAAGCATTTGATCTTTTTAACCGCGAGCGTCTGACTTTTTCTGGCACGTTACAAATGTTAAGTAATGAACAAAAGGTTTTTTTTTAACCACAAAGTAAAAAACACACAGACAATAATGTGGTGTGGATTAAAAGTTTAGTCGTTTGAATTCAATTCCTCTTCTTTTTTCAACAAGCTATGAGCAACAAATAATTAGCATCAAATGACATCATGCTTTTGTTATTGCTGCTGATAACTGCATTTTCTCAGGGATGAAACTCTGCACTCCAAATTTAGATCTGTTTGACAGAGTTCAGTGTACCGTAGCTTAGGAGTAACACTGTTATCAGCCAGATGACAGACTCTTTTACAAGTTCAAAGGACCAAATCACAGTTGAGATCACATCCCAAAACCACACACTGTCACCAAGGCATTGTGCTGAGCTATGCTTCACTGGACACGCTGCTACACTCTGACGCAGTGTCTCTCTCGTATGTGAGAGCAGAGGTCAAGAGACGATTTACCTGGAAACACTGTCTTGTTGCTCCATTCGTACTCCGGAGTCCTGCAGGTGATGGTCTTGTCTGTCATGCTCTGTACCTCACAATTACGACCTCAGGAAAACAAAAGAGGCTTTGTGAGCAGAAGTTACTGAGTGAAGCCGTCATCCATCACTAAAGCACAGACTGGTATGCAATGCAGTTCTTCTTTCAGGTACAAACCATCTAGTAACCATCTAACAAATGACTTATTAGAGTTATTAACGAACACTATTAAAACTTAATAAGCATGAACAATAAGTACAAGCACATAAATAAATACGTACTGCCTCCATAAAGTTGTTTAGACTGCCTTATGCACTATTATTGCACCAATGCAGGCTTTTTAATCCTAAGGTTTGATTTTTCGGTGCTGGCAAGTAAAACCAGGTCAACTTTTTCTTAAAGGGGAATTCCACTCAGTTTTATTTATTTTAGTTTAGTTTATTTTTATTTAGTTATTATTTATTTATTTGATAATTACATTAAATGTTCAAAAATGTGAAATGCTCCATTCTGGAGAAACTTGCTGAGTCAGAATTATCACAGTGGTGGTGATAGGAACCAGACGTCCACCTCTAAAAGCTCCCTCACAGAAAGTTACTACATGAAATGGTTATGAATTCACTGCCTGATGACTGAGACACTGTTTTATGATAGTTCTGCAAAGGTTTTAACCTAAATTGTATTTTTTAAAATCCCTTAATGGTGGAGAGGTACATACAGGGTGTTATAAGGCATTTTTTATGTTAACCACTATTTTACCATCATCAACATTCCATATAAACTCAGAAGACTCGTGTAGGTTCACTGGTGGTTTTGGATAGTAAATAAAATGTCTATATTTGTGTTGTAGTCATGGTGACCCCTGGTTCCTATCACCACCACTGTAAAGACATCTAAGTCTCTACAATCAATGATCTCACACCAAACCACTCTGACTCCGAACTCAACAACTTAACTGTAAGATGTTTTGAAAAATTCCCCTATAGGCTATAAGATTGAGGCAATCAAGTGTGAAACCATTTAAAAGGGTTCAATGTTTGATGATTTAAGTTTCACTATGACAGACAAAGAGGCCGCCAACATAGATGGATAATCAGGTTCTATTCTATTCTATTCTATAAAAAAATGAGTACACTACCACCATTTTTCCCCCAAATTACCTCCCACTAAAACCTCTGCTGGACGGTCTGTCTCATCAAAGTAGTTTCCCTGAATGGTTAGCAATGTGCCGCCAAGCACACTGCCCTCAGAAGGGGACACTCCAGTGACCTCTGCAACAAAAATAAAAATTCTAATTAGAGCAGCCCAACATTTTTTTCCTTCATACAGTGATCAGTGTGATAATTCATTCATGCTTCATGTTGAATCCACTGTAATACCTGCATAGGTTTGGAACATTGCAATCTTGTTCAGTGCTGATACACTGTAGAGCTGTAAGTCTGGCAAACTCCTGGAACACAGCAGACATTTTTTGTTTTTTCTCAGTCATTTTGAGAAACAGACCTCAATTCCAAAAAAGCTGGGACAGTATGTGAAATGCAGAAAGCAGTGATTGATAAATTCAGTTTGAACTGTATTATAAAAACAGTAAAACTAGCTATATAGATGAAATTTACAGCCTGCAACACATTCCAGAAAGGTTGGGACAAAAGCATAAAGACCACTGTGTTACAGCTTTCCTTTTAACAGCACTCAATTAACATAACAAGCATAGACGTCCCTGAAGAAGACGCTGTCTAGAAGGCAGCATATGTTGCTCCAAAATGTGTATGTTTGTGTGTTAATGCTGCTTTCAAAGATGTGCAGGTTAACCGCTAACACCCCTCCCACCATGACAGATGCTGACTTTTGAACTTTATGCTGGTAACAATCCAGGTGGTCCTTTTCTTCTTTAACCCAAAGAACACATCGTCCATTTCTATAAACAATTTGAAAGGTTGACTCGTCTGACCACAATATGCCTAAGACTGTTTCCACTGTGCATCAGTCCATTTCAGATGAGCTTGAGCCCAGAAAGGTTGGTGGTGTTTCTGGACATTTTTGACATCTTGTCTTTGTACTGTTGTCATTTAAATAGAGATGAAAGTGAATTTGCAAACCATTGCTTTCTGTTTTTATTTGTATTTCACATACTGTCCCAATGTACAACAGGCATTTAAACATTTCAGCAAGTGCAAGATGGTTCTTTACTGCAGGGAATGGTTCTGTTTACAACCATGAGTTCTATATAGAACCATTTCATTCTTAAATGGCTCTTTGCATGGCAAAATGGTTCTTCAGAATGATTGAGACTGTGTTGTGTATGGTTCTACATAGAACCTTTTTGAAAATGGTTCAATATAGCACCAAAGTGGGTTCTATTATTGTTACAAGCTTGACATCATAACAATTGCAGAACCCCTTTGGTGCTATATAGAACCATTTTCAATAATACAACACATGGTTCATCAATCTGAAGAACAATTTTACCATGCAGAGAACCATTTAACCATGAAAATGGTTCTACATGGCATCTACATGCCTTTACCAAGAACCCTTAAAGAACCATCTTTTTAAAATGTGTGCGTGGTCAGCAACTAGTGCTTCACTGACCTTCCGTATTCACTGTCTAGGATGTAGCTGAGGTTGTGATGTCCTAGCAGAGACAAAAATAACATTACATCACATATTAGGTTATTAGATTTTGATCAGTTTTAGCTGGATTCACTGCTGCCAAACACGAATGACCGGTTTTCTCACCCACATATGTTCCAGTCATTTTACAGCTCATGTATCCCCAGTCACTGTATATGGAGTCCAAACTCAAGCCATACCTGAAAAAAGGAAAGCGCATGATAAGCACTGCAGTGAGGTCACTCAGTCCTTTAAACTAAAGTGATGTCCACTCACAGTTCGTCTGAGTTGGGCTTCAGGAGGACACACGGCATTCCTCCCATGTAGGCTCTGCAGCACAAAAAGCATTATAAAAGCTTGTTAATACACAGCTAAACTGAAAGAATAACAGCTGAATTCATGAATCATGTCATTATGTAAGATATGGTTCTATATTTTAAACGGTACGTTCAAATTGTCACATTTCAGTACCTCAAAAATCATACAATACAATAGAAAACTGACAATAGCTCTTTATCATAAGATATAAAAGAAAAATAGATGCTATATTTTAGAGCTGGACAAAATAGTTTGAATACTCAAATATTGGTTTGTTACATTTGCATTTGTTTCTCTGTGTAGTGTTTGAAATCTTTGCCTTTTTTAAGCAAAGCAAAGGACTTTCGATCGAACAGTTACTGTTAATATATGAAATATTTTAAAATGAGTAAAATAAACCTGGTTTAACTGAATAAATCATAAATATATTACAGATATTCCACGTCACCTCAGAGCTGTACTGCTTTCAGGAGTGCCTAAACTTTTGCATACCAATGGAAGTAGAGAGTCCCTTAAGCTACACATTTAAAAAGAAGGTTCTTCAGAGGTTCTTTAGTAAAGAAAATAGCTCTATATAGAACCATGAACACTCAAAAAAACCCCTTTGCATGATTAAAGCGTTCTTTGCATCATGAAATGGTTCTTCAGATTGATGGAGAATGTGTTTTATATGGTTCTATAAAGACCGTTTTTGAAAAGGGTTCTATATAGCACCAAAAAGGGTTCTGTTATTGTTTCAAGCATGATATCATAACATTAGAGGAGCCCTTCTTGGTGATAAATAGAACTCTTTTCAAAAAGGTTCTATGTAGCACCATCTTTGGCGCATTCTCCATCAATCTGAAGAACGCTTTCACGATGCAAAGAACCCTTTAATCATGCACAGGGTTCTTTAAGTGTTCATGGTTCTATTGAGACATTTTCTTTACTAAAGAACCTTTGAAGAACCATCTTATTTAAGTGTGAAGTTCCAGTCAGTGTCAGCTATTTTTTCTTCTTTCTTTTCTAATTGAACAGTTTTACAGCAGGTTTATACTCATCAGCACAAACAGCAGGTCTGTTTATTGTTCTCCAACTACCACCCCAACAAAATTGTCAAATTTCACTAAATGATTTTAAGTATAACATATGTCACTATAGTAAGCGGGAAAGTGTGATTTGACTGGATTTCTATGGAGTTTGCACTTCATTTACACGAAAGTGAAAAAAAACAGGCTTGTGTTGGACAGACTTAAGACGGTACAGCTGGAGCGGTGTGCCTTTAATCAATGTGAACTGAAATCACTGATTAAAACTGAAGTTTATCTGTTCGAAGCCTCTAACCATGCAGCTCCAGTCAGCCCATGTTTATTTCCGACAGTGTTGAATATTTCCGTACCTCAAAAACCGTACATTCCTGCCGTTGGAGCTCGTGGCAGTGTTGCTGCCGTAAACATCAGTGAAAATTCTCCCTCGCAGTGTAACCAGAGTGCCTGCACATTCCACACAAGAGAATTAAACAGTGAATGCATTTGTCAAACGAAGCCAAATCAGTGCAAGATATTAACCCTTGTGTGGTGTTCAGCTCTGTGGGACCCGTTTTCAATGTTTACCAAAAGAAAAAATTGTGATTAATTATTATTTCAAGCTCAGATTCTTGGTCTTTGCTCATTTTCTGTGAAGAACATATAAAATAACCCATTTTCAGTGTCTTCACTCTGTTCACCCCCCACACATTTATATTACACACATGTGGTGTTGGGCTGAACCTGCGGGGGGTAAAAGTATGGAGGTGCTGTGTCCCTTCACTCTGCTCTCCTCCTACATGGCCTGCTGTTAGTGTGTGAGTGTCTGTGTGTGTATGTGTTTGTATATGTGTGTGTGTGTGTGTGTGAGGGTGGACAACATGGACAGGCTGCTGACTGGCTACAGCTGCTAAAGGAGAACCCTACGCTGGACACGTGTGATATTTTAAACATCTGGTATTTTTATATAAATTGTTATGGCTGTATTGATTTAAAAAACAATAATTTAGTGGGTCCACCAGACCACTGAGTAACAAACACATCAACACCACACAAGGGTTAAAGGGCCCATATCCTGCATTTTTCTTGCACTTTATTTTACTCCCTTCTTCTATAAGTGAGGTCCACTTTTAAAGTTTGTGTGTTTTTATGCGCCAAACACATTTTACATTAGAATTTTCCAACCTCTCTTTATCCCTTAGAACACAGGTTCCCAGCCCTGGTCCTGGAGCACCCACTGTCCTGCACACTTCTGCATTTTCCTGCTCAAACACACTCATCTCTACTCAGGAAGGGCTTGTTGCTGACCTGGATAAGGTGTGTTGGGAGCTGGGACAGTGAAGTGTGCAGTGTAGGGGGGTCTCCAGAGCCAGGATTGAAACAGGCTGGTTTTGTTCGTGTGCCTTTAAGAGTGATATATGTAAATGAGCTCTGTTCTGATTGTCCTGTATTCAGCCCCATTCAAAAGCAGTCCAGGCTGAAACACTCCTCATAACTTCAGTGTTAATGGGTGGGGCTAAACCACTTTAGGCTGAATAGGCATTTATAGGTAAATAAGCTGGTTTATGTGACATCACAAAAACAATGGGTTCAAAGTGGGCAGCTTAGTTGTGTTGCATATATGGACTGTATGGATTGGTGAACAGTACACTTTGAAACTTTAACAATTTTTACATGCTACATTTAACGCATTTATTTAAAAGAAGCAAGAAAAAATTCTCATGATCTGAGCTCTCTAAATGCGTTATATCATTACAGATGAATATGTAGAATGGGAAATTTGCACCTGGCAGGCCAGTCAGAGGCGTGATTTTCTGGATGGAGGGCGTGTTGTACCATCGAGTCTGAGAACGATCAACACTTTGGTTAAAATCAGTCACAAACGTGTGCTATGAGGTCAAAAGTAAAGCAATCAGCTTAAGCTCTGGATAAAAAAATCATAATAATGAAACTAACATAGAATGTGCACCAGTAATTCCACTGACTTCCCCAGCATGTACTACTAGCAGGAATGGGGACACCATCCACCTTGACATGGACCTCATAGTCATCCTCAGGCATCGCTCTGAAAAAGACAGAAGCATACCAATAACATTAAACAGAGTATCTCTGAACAATTGGGTAGTTAGTTAGCTACGCATTTAATTTCAAAACTTTATGTATATTACTATGACGGTATGTAATTACATGATTCAACTGGTTGCACATAAATAAAACATGTTTCATCTGTACAACTGCTGACGGAGGGTTAAACTGGTGAAAGTAAAAGCCATAGTAGGATAGCTATGCATTTAAAAATGTATTAATTTACTGGCTGAGCACATCAGACTAGAGATCTGTGTGTACATAGTTACAGGTTGGTGATGTGGCACCAATATAACACCACAATACTAAAATAATTCTTCAGCAAAAGAAATTTACATAATTTACCACTGAACCCAGATTTGGTGAGTCTTCCAAACCACGATGTCCAAATTTTGCTTCTCTAGTTTAGCACTGGACATTTGATGCAAACATTGCTAACACACACTAGAAGTCAATAGTCACCCAAATCTTTTCTGTAAATGCATCCCTAAAACCTCTGTCAACCCACTCAAACCGCATCAAGGTCTTCATTAAGGTGGCGCTGATTTGTTAGTGCAGTTCAGGACACGGTAAGACTCACTGTGAACTATAAAAGTGAACAAAATGTGACCATGTAGCTAAACAACAGTGCAATGAAATAGTTAACACTGTCAAAAGCTGATGTGAGATTCTCAGAATGTCAACTTTTCACATGTAAAACTGGAAATGTAAAAAGCTTAAATTATTATAGTTATGTCTTATTATATAATTATTATAGTTACAGTATTATAGTTACGTCTCAGCGATTAGCAACCTGATATGTAATTCAGTGTCCAGTAGATGTGTTTAGGAGCTCAAATGACCAAGGAGAGGTTTGTATATATTTTACTTTGTTAACATTACTGCTATTAACATAACATAATTACTATTAACCTGCTACAGACATGACTGACAAGTCTGAATGAGCGTGACCGGGCTGTCTGAGTTAGTAAAGATAATTCGTTGTTTTCAGTGTTACCTCAACAAGCCAAACAGCATCATCTACTGCACAGAAAAATGCTTTACGTCGTGTAGAAGATGACGACTGCCCCTTATCTAACATTAAACTGACTGGGTGATGAGTTAACCTGCAGTGGCTGAAAGATTTCCCTTTGCTTTTCAATGACCAAGGCAGTTTACTTGTTATATAAATGTTTATAAACGTGAGTTATAACAAGTGCTGTGACAAGTATTGCTGTCCTCAGCTACACGGTGAGGCTTTTTTCATTTTTATAGTTCACAGTAAGTCATACTGTGTCCTAAGCCACATCAACAAGCCCATGCCACCTTAAAGAATGGATGTGGTTTGAATGGGTTTAGGCATGTATTTATGGAAAAGATTTGGGTGACTATTGATGAATATTGTGGTGTTTGTTAGCAATGTTAGCCTTGTAGTCCCAGTGAAAGAAGGAACATCTGGACACCAAACATGTCTTGACTACATCTGGGGTAAGTTGAAAAACTGTGTAAATTTGATTTTTTTTTCCAAATATTCTTGATAACATATGTACACATATCACAGTATTTATTTTTTTCTGAGATTTATTGTTTTTTTTTAATTCAGTGTTTGCAAAAATACACTAAGAAAAAAACAATGAAAAATTGAACATTTTAAAATAAAAAATAAATGAACAAAATAAAATAAGAAGCTGTCTGGTGGATTGAGGGGCTCCTTTGAGATTTTGCAACTCAGTGGTTATGGGCCTATCCCCCTGTGTGAGCAGGTGAGCAGAGTTACCTGGTGTAGCAGGTTATCTTGCTGGAGAGGCTGGCATCTCTCTCCACATCGCAGGGAAAAGATCTGGTTCTCGACACCAAAGTCACAGAGTTGCCGAAGTTGGGGTCATTAAGGTTGAGACTGAACTGACTCTGCTGAGCAAAACCTGAGAAAAACAGGTCAACATCATTTACAACACACTTAATAAGCTTACTGTAAACCAGAGGGGTGTAGATGTAGGCTAAACCCACAGGCCAGTATATGGACTGTCATTTTAGTGAAATAACTATTATAAGTTAAAGTAGCCTCACAAAAAACAGCTTGAGAGGAACTTTAAAATTATCAAGCCCCAAAAAGTGCAGAGTTCCCAAACAGAACTGCAGAAATTCTTCATCAGCATAGGAACTTAAAGGGGAATTCCACTGATTTTCCAAAATTTCAGCATAATTCAGTCGTTAAAATGTAAATAAAGTAATTTAGAGAGGTTTTCTGTGAAAACATTCGCTGTAGACATGCTGAGGTAGAGATACAGTGGGGCTGATAGGAACCAGGGGTCGTGATGATTTTTATATTTCATGTTGATGACCATAACATAGTGGTATGTTGGAAAAAAATAAATTTTCTTTTGGGACTATTTTGCCTTACGATGTTGCGCATGTACTCCTCTGCCATGAACGTGTTGTAAAAATGTGTTACGCCAAATCCGTAGAATAAAACAATGTGTTAGGAATTAGGCAGAACATTCACAGCCATGTCAAGTACTAACTTTCTATGAGGGAGCTTTTAGAGGTGGACGTCTGGTTCCTATCACCACCACTGAGAACAATTCTGACTCTGTAAGTTTCTCTAGGATGGAGCATTTCAGTCCCACTCTGAGTGACTCTGTTTACATGTAAACCATTTAATTATACACTGTGGCTGAGAGGTTTGGGGACAGGCTGCTCTGTTCTTGTTTATGTTGTGTATTGTTATTGGGTACATGCAGTGGAAACGTGTTACATGTGCGCTGGTGTGTTGGGAGTTGTGGGTGGTTTTGTGTGGTTTTGAGGGACGGTCACCATGGGTTAGTAGCCTATGGCCATTGGTGACCTCCTTCTGGGTTAGAGCAGTGTTTATGTGTGTCTGATCTGTTTGGTGCAAATAAAGAGCACCTCTCACAACAGAAAAATGGCCTACTCCTTCTACACCGACGCCACAATATATTAAATGGTAATATACTTATACTTATTAAACTTATGTGACTTGTATACTTGTACTTATATATTTGCACCTTCATAATCTTCATGTGATATTGTCTTCTTATCAGAATCTATAATGCCTGTGTAATACTGAAGACCAAATTAAATGTGTAAATTTACTGTAAGATTCTTACAGAAGTATTACCACAGCTCTTTTTCATAAGAGAAGCAGGAATGAGTGAAAAGCAACCAAGGAAAAAGTACTTTCCCCACAAATATCCTGAATACTGTAGCTTGAATATACATTAATGTAGAAATCCATCAAAACAGCAAAACATTCACTTTATGTACATGAAGGCAAGTAAATATCAGTACATTCTGTCCTCCTCTGCTTACCTTGCCCCTGTATGGTGAGTCGTGTTGCTCCGTTTGTGCTGCCTAATTTTGGGGTTACGCTGTCCACACGCTGCGCTCCTGGGGGTGATCATTATACAGGTTAAACTAAAAGGCTGTGAATGACACTGAAGCCTTAAACACAATTAACATTTACTGGCAGTGTTCTATGTGAACAGTAAGCTAGGAGAGCTAGTGAATAGCACATTAGTGTCTTACCTGAGTAGCTGATGAGCAGAGCCCAGACAGCGAGCTGCGCGCATGCGCGCCTCCTCATGGCTTCTGGATTAAAAACGAGTCCTGCTGTGAGTTTTTGCAGATAAAAGCTAAAAAAGAAATAAGATACAATAATCTGAAAATTCTGATAAAATATGGCATTAAAGAGAAAATATGTATTATTTACAGATAAAAAAAAGATACTAAGCCAAAATGCTGACATAATGCTGCCCAAAACAGAGATATTTGCCTCTATGTGGTGGAAACGGGCTTTAATAATAAAAATAGAGTCAGTGCTTTGCTGAAGGTGGTGGAGTCAAAGAGGAGAGTGAAAACAAAGAAATAAAAGAATTTGGACAAATAAAGCTGATAAATGGAGGAAAATGAAAGATCATATGAAATTGATGAAATCTGGAGAATTATAAGTGTTTTATAAGAAGCCTAAAACTTCAGAAAGCGACAAAGTAAAACACAGGTTCAAGTGTTTGTAGAAACCTGACCATCTAGCAGTTCTTCATTAAATTAAGGCTATTAAGGCCAACTTTAATCCAGACTAAAGACATTTCTATTTATACCGTGCCTTTGATGGTTAGGCTCTTTCTGTCCAGACAGAAAATACTGTTTATCTAATTTGCATGCTGTTTTTAACTCTCTTTATTACATCTCTTTAGCACTTTATTCTAAATTTTCGGTTACCTTTTCATCTGTTCTGCTGTCTCTGATGGATAATCCAACAATTTATTAATTGCTGATTAATCAGATCATTTGGAGGTTAAACGCTCGACTCTTTATCTCACCAGGTGGTATTCTCACTCACTCGGGAGCTTCCTCACGAGAACTTATGAAATTTTACCTAATTTTTAAAATTGTTGTTTACTTAATACACTATAGCACTTTAATTTCAATTCTGTTCCCTTTAATTTTATTCTTTTATTATTAAATTTGTGAATCTGTTTTTACACATGCCTTAACCTTAAATGCAGCTGACTGTTAAGATGTGAAAATTAATTAATAATGAGTTAATTAATAATGAATGAATTAATTAATAATAAGCTCATAAAGAGATAAGACTGTAACTAAAGTTCAAAATCAGAAAACTGTCAGGGTCACTGGAAATGGAAATGCAACAACATAAAAGCAAAATGGTCATAAACAGTTGCACAAAAAATTATATATATATATATATATATATATATATATATATATATATATATATATTATGGTACATACCTGTTTGTAAAAGCTGTCCTCTCAGTGTGTGAATGGCCCAGCAGCCCAGCTGAGCTCACCTTATATAGTAGGCTGTTTTTTTCAGGCAGGAAATGCAAATCAGAATGTATTTCTATTCTGTCTCACCTACATCTGTTCAACAGGGCATTCTACGATCATCAGTCGCCGCCTTATCTGTGCAAAAACCTGTCCGACTTGTGCCAGAAGAAAGGAAGATTAGTGCGTTATTGTTCCACAACACAATTACAGTCTGCAGTGACACTGAGAGGAGAGTGAGGCCTTCAGACTGACAGGGCTTAATGCACATCACTGGGCTATTCATTCTTACACTTGTGCGTGCAATGAAGATGCAAATAATACCAGGAAACACATTGTGTACTAAACAGTCAATGCGTAGGGCAGCAAACTGTAGCCTTAAAGCCATAACATCATGACAGTTATCCTTAGGTACACATACATTATCTATGTCACTTATCTGGAGGCTATCCCAGTGGTCATCAGGCAGAAGGCAGGAAACACCTGGACAGGTCACCAGTCCATCACAAGGCAGACACACACACACATAGGGGGACAATTTAGCATGTCTGATTTACCTGGCTGCATGTCTTTGGATTGTGGGAGGAAATGCATGAAGACACAAGAAGAACATGCAAGGTCCACACAGAAAGGACACTGGTCACCCAGGCAAGGAAGCAAACCCAGGCAAACCCCACCCTTCTTGCTGTGAGGAGACAGCGCTTCCTACTGCACCACCTGCTTTATCCTTAGGTAGTAAAATAAAATAAAAAAGGAAATATACTGTGCAGACATGTATTCAGATGTTGGACATTAAGTCATATAAAGCTGTGCATGTGTCTGGATGGCCCAGTGAGCACTGTGGAAGATGCATCTTAGTAGAGAAAAAACTCACCACAATTTGTAGTTAGGGAAACCAGCAGAGGTGGTCGAACTCTGCAAAATAAAATGTGGGATTTACTTTAAGGTTGTGTCCTGCATACTTGCACACTGTGAAAAGATCCTTATTGCATGTTCTTGAAAGTGCCATTTTGAACAGCTTTCCAGCTTATTGGTTTAAAATAATATTAATTGATAATAGTTCATTGGTGTTCTTGGTCTTAATCCTTTGATCCTCTGACACTCAGTGGTATAAAATTACTCTGAGATTGATGATTGCTGTGATTATGTGCTAATTATCTCTCTGAGTGTGTGTGAGAGTGAACCGTGTTTCACACAGTGATCACAGCTATTGAGAGGTCAGATGAGATAACAGAACAGTAAGGTGGAAAGAGAGATAACGTTAGTGCACTCCATGATGACTGCAGTTCAGTGGCTGCCTGTTGAAATTGAAATGAAAGGCAGTCGTGGGCTGGAGGTTAGGGCGCCAGCCTTGTGGTCGGAAGGTTGCCGGTTCAATCCCCTGAGCCAATAGCCTTACTTTGAGTAAGGCACCTAACCCCCAAGTGCTGTGGATAGGGCTGCCCACCACTCTGGGCATGTGTGCTCACTGTTCACTAGTGTGTATGTGGTGTTTCACTGCACAGATGGGTTACATGCAGAGGTGAGATTAATAAAGGGTAACTTCACTTAAATTGCTACTTTGATTATCATTGCATTTACAGTTATCAAGGACTGTGATTATTTTCCAAGTTGGGTTGTTTAATTAAAGAAACCAATTATTTATGTTGGTATAACCACAGGCCACACCATGCTTGCTAGTGCCCATGGAGACTGACCTTCCTGAGCCCTGTCTTGGTTTTGACCTCTTTTCCTCTTGTTCTGCCGGCTGGGTCCATGCTGCCAGTGTCCCACCCCAGCACGCCTCATCTGTTCCCTGCACCTGTTCCTGGGCCTAGTCTTTTCTGTCCCAGCCCCTGGCCAGGTTTGCAGTGTGGGAGAGGTGGGCCTGGTGTGCACATGCCCAAGGCAGAGGACGAAGGTTCCCCTGGCCCTTATCGATACTACCTGCCAAGGCCTGGGTGCTGTAGGGTGCTCCAGAGAGCACACCTGAGCCACCACCTGGATCAACAGTGCTATTGTGTGCTCCAGAGAGAACAATAGAGCCACTGCCTGGGTAGACAGGGCTGCTGGGTGCTCTGGAGGGCACGCCAGAGCTGTTGCTGGGGACACGCCAGACAGCGCTGCCTGGTACTCCAGAGAGCAACTCAGAGCCTCTTCCCACATCACCAGTGTCCCGGAGCGCGTCCTGGAGCAGCTGCCTGTCTCCTGGTGTCCTGGAGGACGGGAAACTCTGCCTGCATTGAAAGCGCGGTCAGGTCACCCGGAGGGCATCCTGGAGCAGCTGCCTTTGACAGCCACATGGTATCCTGAATGGCACCAGGATTCCTCAAGTTTGACAGTACTGCCCGGCATTCTGGAGGGTGTCCTGGAGCAGCAGCCATCCACAGTGCCACCTGGTGTCCTGGGGGGCACCAGGGAACTTCCCTGTTTCCACCAGGAAATCTCATCACAATCAGTTTCTGCGCTGCTGCCAGGTGCTCCAGAGGGCGCCTTTAGAGTAGCCCCTGCAACACTTAACATGGGGACTCCACCTCTCTTACCCTGCCTCCTTGGTGTCGGTCCAGGCACCAGATCATGCATCATCTTTCAACCTGGTGGCTGGTCACTAAGAGAGGGTGGTGGTGGAGGGTCGAAGCCACCGTGAACACACCCCACATACGTGCAAGCTGCTCCTCTCTTTGATTCAACACAGCTGAGGCAATGTAAATTCAAGTTGTTTTGATGTATCTTCACTTAGAAATGAGTAAATAAAGCTCACTGATTAACTCGTGTTGGTGTTTGTGTGTGTGTCACTGAGCTCTTGTTGGGTTTCCCACTCAGTGTGCATCAGACCCTCCCCTGGCCACGCCACACTGTCTATCTATCTATCTATCTATCTATCTATTAGTCTGTCTGTCTGTTTGTATGTATGTCTATCAGTCTGTCTGTATGTCTGTTACATGAAACGTAATCACAAAATCAAAGTAATTAAGTTAGTTAGCCAAACAGCTAGCTACCATTAACAGTTACTGATGTAAAAAAGGTCAAACAAAACTAAAGTGTGATAAACTTGAAGTTGTAAATACTGTGAGAGTAGAGCGCCCCCTACTGTTCATTTCCCAAATGCTTTAGCTGAGCGCGCTAACGTTATTCCTCCTAATAAACAGACACACGTTCAGCTCTGTCTCCTCATTATTCACCATAATCATGATCATCATCACCTCCTCATGATTGCTGCTTAGCTACTAAATCAACAAATTAATCAAATTCCATTGACTACAGGGTTCAATTTCACTGCCACACTGAGGCATGACTACTGCCAAACCTGTTGAATCTAAACATCACTTAAATAGAACCTGTCTGGCAATGTGTAGCAGGCTAGAAGGTCTCAAAAAGCAGCACACGATGCCACGTTCTAAAGAGATTCAAATACAAATGTGAAGCAAAGCCAGTGAAACCTTTCCAATCTGGAAAGGGTTACAAAGCCACTGCTAAGGCTCTGAGACTCCAGTGAACCTCAGTGAGAGCCATTATCCACATAAGGAGAAAACTTGGAACAGTGGTGAACCTTTCCAGGAGTGGCTGGCTTTGCTTCTGCAGGACCTGGTGGACTTGTCATAACTGATGGAGCCATGGATTCTGCTCTCTATCAGGAAATCCTGACGGAGAATCAGTTTGTGACCTAAAGCTCAAGCACAGTTGGGTTATGCAGCAGAACACTGATCTGAAGCACATAAGCAGGTCCACCTCTGAATGGCTCAAAAGAAACAAAATGAAGGTTTTGGAGTGGCCGAGTCAAAGTCCTGCCTTAAATCCCATTGAGATGCTGTGGCAAGACCTTAAACAGGCAATTCGTGCTCGAAAGCCCTCAAGTGTAGCTGAATGAAAACAACTCTGCCAAGAACAATGGGCCAGAATTCCTCCACAGGGATGTAAAAGAGTCATCACAAGTTATCGCAAATGTTTGATTGCAGTTGTTACTGCCAAGGGTGTCAAAACCAGGTATTAAGTTTAGGTGCAGTTAATTACTCACCTGTGTGATATAGGTTTTGAATAAATCTTTATTTATAATACATGGAATGATCATGTAAAAGCTGCAGTTGTGTTTACTCTTGTTGTCTTTATCAGATATTAAATGTAGTTGAGCTTTCTGAAACACTTAAACGTGACAAATTAGCAAAAATAGAAGATATAGAGTGAGGGGTAAATACTTTTTCACAGCATTGTATAATGTCAGTCAAAATAGCTTCATAGAAATAGCTGTGTGTGTGTGTGTGTGTGAATAGGCCCACTGAATATGACAAGGCTGAGTATGGAATTATTACTGTCTTCGTTTACCGTACCTTATAGTTGCAGGGTGCTGGTTAGCTTGCTAACCTCCTGTTAAGCATACTGTTAGTGTTGTTTACAATAACGTCACATTGGACAAACCACCAAAACAGCAAAATAAATGACAGAAAAAGTGTCTTAATGACAGAAAACGTGACAGATGTCAGAAATACATTACCTGGTGATTTAATAAGGTAGTTGAATATGTCAGGATATGACATCTCTGGCCTCTAGGTAGGGTTGTTCATCCACTTTGATGGAAGCAGACTGAAAGAACACATATCAACCTCTATTTCTTTCATTTTTTTCTATATTTTTCACGCTACTCCCCATGTGCAGTACATAGGTCATGAAATAATGTCTTCTACACAAAAATAGCCATTTATATTTGCCCCTATCTGTACGACTCTCCTGCTTATATTCAGCAAATTCCAATTGCCACTGCATGGTTTCTGACTGAGCTCAACCTCATCAATTTTCAAACATGTTCCACTTGCAGTGGAAGACATTTACATTTAAATGTTCTAACAGACACTTGGATATGTTAATGTTTTTATCTTGGTATGTTGGAGCTTTACACTAAGTTTTATACATCGAAACTTAAATTCAATCTCTGAATATTATTAAATTAGCATATTAGCATGTTACCGCTCTTTGGAATAGGCTGAGGTCACCAGATAACACTACTCTACTAACATTCAGATATGCAATATGGTCCAATTACAGAGTGTATAAATACGGTATACATCAAGCTTATCTGCATAGATGTATTCAAGCAGGTTTAATGTGAACTCCAGCAGGTCCAGTACGCTTGTTCGCGTTTTGTGTTTGACTTGTAAAAAACTCACAAAGAAAGGACACTCAGGACCCACACGTAAAATAACTATCACACAATCTGGTATTAGAAGCTTTATAGAGACTGTAGAATGTGAGTTATTGGTGTTTTCTGCTCAGTTGCTATGACTGTAATCTTCAAAATGTCTCACATATGTCTCACAGTCACATCTGAAGGACAATATCACAGACTATCAAAATCCTACAGTATGTTTTCTTTCTGTTATGCTGTGTTAGATGTGAGTGTGAGGTGTGTGAGACTTGTTGACAATCTGAAAATAATGCAACACAATTTACACACCTTACAGTCTCAAATCGTTCTGTTCACAGAGTCAAATATGCTGACAGATTTTGAGATATTGTGAAAATTCAGGAGATAAAGTCACAGCACGGAAGCAGAAACACTAACACCTCACATTCTGTGGTCTCTGTGTATAAAATGTATAAATCAGATTGTGTGATAATCTGTTACACAATGTTAAGTTCTAAAATGGTTCAGACTTTCTGAAACAGATTCCCTAAAAACACAACTCGGACAGTCTCTGTGTTTCTGTTTAATCCTTAAATTTAGCATTTATACACATACAAATTCTATACAGAGCGAGTCTCAGTGTTATGTCGCCATCTACAGGCGCCAGAATGTAACTGCAGCACCATTTAAGGTGGAACAGGAAATTCTCATAAGAAGTTGATAAGTAAGAAGCTACTTTTGCCTCGTAGCTGCACAAGCTCTCTCAGTGTGAACTGATAACTATATGGGGTTTGTAGTTTATCTGTAGCTTATCTGCATAGATGTATTCAAGCAGGTTTAATGTGAACTCCAGCAGGTCCAGTACGCTTGTCCACGTTTGACTTGCTAAAAACTCAGTGCTCAATCTCAATGCTGTGATGTTGGCCTTTTAATATAAATAGTTATATGATATAATGTACATAAATAGTTTTATATACAGCAAATATAAAACAAAATCATGATTGAAATGCATAATGCACAATGCGTTCAGACAGGTAACGTTCACATTTGCCAAACCCAGACCTCAGCGACCCGCTCTGTAACTTTACGTGGTCTGACACTTCATGGTTGAGTTGCTGTGGTTCCTAAACACTTCCACTTTTCAATAATACCACATACAGTTGATTGTGGAATATCTAGGAGGGAAGAAATATCACGAACTGCTTTGTTGCAACAATGGCATCCTATTAGAGCACCATGCTCGAATTCGGTGAGCTCTTTAGAACGACCCATTCTTTCAGACTGTATGGCTGGGTGCTTGATTTTATACATCGGTGGCAATTGGACTGAATGAAACACCTGAATTCAATGATTAAGAGTGTCCCAATACTTCTATCCATATAGTGTATTTAATTTCGTTTAATGGATCACCATTCTTAAGCCAGAGGTGAGCTACGTTATTATACTGATTTAAAAATATATATCTTCCCTGACATGTAAGTGGCCTTGTATGAAACTGTCTCTTTATTAAATATAAATGTATTTATTATTATAATCATCAACTGTTCTCTATACTTCTTGTTTCTCTAAAGTATTTTGTGGAGACATTTTCTTAACTGTATCCATGTTAAAGATCTAGCTCAGCCATACATGCCAACCCTGTAAACAATGAGTGGAAACTAGTGGTCAGCAGATTACAAGTGACATGATTATTAGTTATTGGTGGCAACTAGATTAATTAGCATTGTTTACTGGGTTATTCCTTCAAAGAAAATGTAAACACTGTATGTATTCTTTCATCATTTACAGTCTAATCCACATAAAGAGATCAGACTTTCCAGCACCCAGCTGTGAAGAGTGATGAATCTACAGATACTCCACCCGTGATAAAAGATGGATGCCCCTCGTCTGGACACAGGTAACGGCTAATCAGAGTTGAAATGTTGCTGAGAGAAAGACTGAGTTAGGTTGCAGATCTTAACAGCAGAGAGATTTTATTTTATTTTTATTTATGTTTTGATTATTTAAGTAGCTAGTTTAAAACATTTAAAATGTAGATCAAAGTTAAATTAAACATGATTAAAACATGTAATTAACAAGAACCTTTCAGAAACCTGAAAATGAAGGAAGATATTTAATAGAAAAAATTAATCATCAAGTACACTAAAAATAAAACAATTTTAAAAATAGTGATGTAATTGAAATTAAAGTATGGCCTGAAAATGAAAAGTCAATGATAAATACTGTGCAAATAATTTCTTGTACGGTCTAATTCGGATAAAGAGATCAGACTCTCTACTAACCAGCTATGTGTCCATGAAGAGCGATGTGTCTATGGATCCTCCCCCCATCCCCCTCATCTGGACACAGGTGCCAATGAAAAGTGATTTAAAATGTTGTGATTAACAAAAACCTTTAAGAAACATGAAAATGAAAGAAAATAATTAATAGGAAAACAATAAGACAAAAAATGAGACAAATTTAAAACTAGTGATGTAATTAAAATGAAAGTCATTAATAATATTAGGATGGACTAGTTAAGCATGAAAAGCCAATAATAAAGACTATATAAATAACTTCCTGTACAGTCAGATCCAGATAAAGAGATCAGGCTCTTCAGTAACCAGCTGTGTGTCTGCGAGGAGTGATGCATCTATGGATCCTTCACCAGTGTTCAAAAATGGAGACCCCTCATCTGAACACAGGTAACAGCTCCCCACAGTTGAGCCATTGTGGTCAGAAAATCTGATTCATCCTTTCCAGTAGAAACAGTCAGAACAGTAATGTGTATTAATCATTTCATCCATTTCAAAGTGAATATTGCCCAGAAAATAGAGTTTACAGCCTTATTTTCCTTAATGATGTTTTTTTTAACAATTGTACTTTTATATGTTACAGTGTAATACAACTATTATAGTGTAACTCTATATCTCTGAAGCAACAATCCTCAAATAGCACCATTTAATGACAGAACAAATGGGAACATATAATTATTGACTATACAGCACTTATGTGTCTACAGTATCCTGCAGGGGGTGACAGACAGAACAGAAGAGGAGATCATCACAGATAAAGAGTAAGATCACAACCAGCATACAGAGACATGCAGTATGTTGTAAACACAACATGTCCTGTTACCTGAATAATGAATTTTTACATTGATTAAGAATATTGAGAACATGTAAAGTAAAGAGAATGTATGGAGAGTACACGACAGAGGACATGTTATGGTTATAAATAAAGGGGAATTTGGTTTGTGAATTTAGGGGAAACAAAAACGGCAGCTAAATATTCATCTTAGAAAGATTATTGGAAAAACAGTCTCTGTGCAGAAGTTCATTCTGGACTGGACTGAAGGGAAAGCAAATCAGGATGTCCACTTCATATTTCCACTTCCTTTCAGAGAACTGAATTTGATGAAGGACCAAAAACTCAGTTTGGTGGATCTTCTTCATACACGGTTTAAGGAGATTAAAGAAATGGAAATATCCAGATCTCACAAAGTTCTGTTCATATTTGATGGTTTGGATGAGTGTCGTTTAACTCTAGATTTTCAGAGCACTGTGAGATTGGATGATGTCACTCAGTCATCCTCAGTGAAGGTGCTGCTAACCAATCTGATCAAGGGAAATCTGCTTCCCTCTGCTCTCATCTGGATCACCTCCCGACCTGTAGCAGCTGATCAGATCCCCTCTGAGTGTGTGGATCGCGTGACAGAAGTACGAGGGTTCAGTGACCCACAGAAGGAGGAGTACTTCAGGAAGAGAATCAGTGATCAGAGCCTGACCAATAGAATCATCACACACCTGAAGACATCAAGAAGGCTCTACATCATGTGCCACATTCCTGTGTTCTGCTGGATTTCAGCCACTGTTCTAGAGAGAATGTTGGGTGAAGCAGAGAGTGGAGAGACCCCCAAAACTCTGACTCAAATGTACACACACTTCCTCATCATTCAGACAAAGATTATAAGAGAAAAGTACACAAAGAACCAGAAGACAGATGAAGAAATACTTCTCAAGCTGGGACGACTGGCTTTTCAGCAGCCGATGAAAGGAAAACTGATCTTCTATGAGGAAGATCTGAGAGAGTGTGGCATCGATGTTAAAGAAGCATCAGTGTACTCAGGTGTGTGTACACAGATCTTCAGAGAGGAATCTGGGCTGCACCAGAGTAAAGTGTACTGCTTTGTTCATCTGAGCATTCAGGAACATCTTGCAGCTCTATATGTGCACCTGACCTTCATGAACCAGAAGAGAAATGTGCTTAAACAGAGTCAGTCCTCTAAACTAAGGAGCCTCAGGAGAAAAGAAATTACAACCTCAGTTGTACAAAAGAGTGCTGTGGATCAGGCCTTGCAGAGTAAGAATGGATATCTGGATCTTTTCCTTCGCTTTCTTTTGGGTCTCTCACTGGAGTCCAATCAGACTCTCATACAAGAGTTAGTGACACAGACAAGAAGTAGCTCCCACAGCAAAGAGGAAACAGTTAAATATATCAGGAAAATGATCAGTGAGAATCCCTCTGCAGAGAAATCCATCAATCTGTTCCACTGTCTGAGTGAACTGGATGACCATTCTCTAGTTGAGGAAGTTCAGCAGTACCTGCAGTCTGACAGACTAAACCAAAGAAACCTATCTTCTTTACAGTGGTCAGCTGTGGTCTTTGTACTGCTGACATCAGGAGAGAATCAGGATAAATGTGTTTTACGGAAATATAACAGATCAGATGATGTTCTTCTGAAGCTGCTGCCTGTAGATGCAGAATGCAGAACAGCTCAGTGAGTAATGCTGAATAAAACTGACTCAGTAAAAGAACCATATTGAGAATAAAGCACTGCTTCATTACTCACTTTCATTCATTCAAATACAAATGTAAATACAAAGACTGCCTTCATATATCCAAACATTTTATATAATTCATTCATTTTTACCTGCCTGTATTTGATATGCTGCAGCGCACACACACACACAAACACACGTGTATATATATATACGTTTCAGTGTGCAAACTGACAAAGAAAAGCTGTGCAGCTCTGGCCTCAGTGCTCAGCTCAGAATCCTCCAGTCTGAGAGAGCTGGATCTGTCTCATAATAATCTTGGAGATTCAGGAGTGAAGCTGCTCTCTGCTGGACTGGAGAATCCTCTCTGTAACCTGGAGAAACTGAAGTAAGATTATCTTTCTTTCACACATCCTGGTCCTCAGTAAGATTTATCCTCTGGTATCATTAAGAAACTATTTATTAAAACATATTACATAATTATTTAAATATTAGGGACATATTTGTTGATCATTAAAAGTGTAAAATTAATCACAGCATTGGTGCGATTGGATGTTGCAGATGTTTCTATATTAGTTCATGTGCAGTACAGGTGCTAATCTGGTGCAGAGGAGCTCAAATGTAGTCATCATCAACATTATATTCTTATTTAAGATCAGGTTTACACTGCAGGGAATCCTAGTTTTCAATAAGCAACACATATATAACAGATTGAGAACGTAACGCTGCACAAGCACAAGAAGATGCTCGCGGATCTTAAAAACAAAAGTTTGTTTAATGAGAGAGGTGTCAGTTGGAAAGACAGTCTGAGGGCAAATCTCAGGGGTTAAGAACACAAGCCAAGAAAACAGTAGAATAACGCTCACTAGTCCAGTGAAGGGCAGTACCTCGCAATGAGGAGAACAAACCAAAGACTATTTAAAGTCTGAGACAAACAAACACAGGTGAATCGCATTAGAATTCGGGCGACTGAGAACGAGGCAGATGCGTGTGATTGGAGGAAAGAGTTACATCATCGGGATTGGAATCATGGGAAATGGAATCCTGGAGAGTGCTAGGCAAGGGAGGAGAACCTGGAAGCATGACAGAGAAATAGTCTTATCTAACTGCAAAACTCAGTGATAAACTGTAGAACAAGAAACAATATACCACAAAACAAAAACAAAAACAAAAAATAATAGGCCTTGAAGTGAAGTACAAGAAAATAAGAAACATAACGAAATTAACGTAAAATAAATTAACTCATAAAATTACAAACAATAAAAAATTTAGAAAGTTAAGATTTACAAATCCTAGAAAAAAACAATCAATATTTAGAGAGCAGAGTAACCAGTGGTGATTATATAATGCTGATATCATGTATATATTTTTATGAATTAATGAAATAGAAAAAAATCACTGGTATGCTGTAGATTTCAGAATGTTACCGGTATTTAAGGGAGAGTGGGGTACAGTATTTCATTCATCAGTATTATTCTATATATAATAACATGTTAAACATTAGCTACTAACGGTTTTAGATTGGATTTGCTGTTGTTTATGATGAGAGAAACGTGTTAGCATTTATAATGTGTTCTTTTCTGGAGGCAGCAGCCGAACTAGTCACTGCCATCAAAGGCGCGTCTCTCTCTCTGGGCAGCATTTTAGCTGAAATGTAACCTTAGCAGGCATCGCATTCGGGACCCTCTATAGAACCATCTTACGCCATAAGTTTCACTGAGCTGTACATGTTGTATCTGTTTACTCACAATCACTTGTGATCTGACACTCCGACTGTAAAGGTGGATCACCTCAGTGTATAAGGACCATTCCGAGATTGCAGCAGCTTTTCCTGCATTGACACTGTTGTGGGAATTTACTGTGTATGAAGAACAGACTGCTTTAAGGAGTCATATCTGTCATTATATACTTGACTCTGTGCCCCAGACAAATACCATTACGCTCACTGTCCTCCTCCACCTTAAGGAACCTGCATCATTTCTAACACACAAAGAATAAAAACTACTTATAATTTTGCACAGAATGCACTCAGAAAAAAGAATCATTCACAGTCAGCTAATCTGGCTAGTGTGCATTTTACTTCATGAATTGTAATCTGACTTTTGAGCTCCTAGTCTGAATTTTATCTGCCAACACTCACCCAACACTGATATGACGGTGATAACCACAGCAATACAAGACAAACAGAGCAAAAATAAGCATTAGCAATATTTATTTTAAAAACATTTCATTTCAGGACTTCAACATCAGATCAAATCACATAACGTTTACACAGGTGTGAAGGTGAGTGAAAGTATATTTTGTATATATACACACACATATATGACTCTAAATATATACACAAATACACAATATACACATTTAATATACACCAGTGTTGCACCATTCCAATATAGGTTTGTACAGTAATATAAGTTATGAAATAAAAGCTATGATATGTACAGTTGTACACTTTTCCATATGTGCAACGTGTGAGTCAGAGCTTGATAAATAGATGAGATGCAGGTACACAGATGAGATGCAGGTACATATATAGATATTCCAGATTACAAGATATGGATAGAAGATGTCAGTCTATATGTGCAGGTATAGGTTGGCTCAAGGGCAATTCAAGGATTAGAGTTTTAGGGGTGCTCTCCCACCCTGTTTTTTTCTCATAATATCTTCTATCATTCTACAACACTAATTAGCTAATACACATACAGACAGTTCAAGTAGCACCTTGGCCTTAATATGAACGCATCAGCCTATGAGTGGCACAACAGCCAGCTTCTCTCACTCGAATTCAAACAGTGGATGATCTTTGATTGACAATCTGCAATATTAGCTTGCTATATAAAAAATATGTCAGATAGCTAACAAGAACAACATAGAGTGATCTGTGATTCAGTGCAGCAAAAATGAGGACTACTGCTAATGACTGTAATGTCAAGTCAAGTCAAAGTTTATTTATATAACGCTTTTTACAACAGGTGTTGTCACAAAGCAGCTTTACAGAAAAATCCAGGACTGAGCCAAAGATGACACTGGCAAGGAAAAAGTTCCTAAGAGCTAGAGGAAGAAACCTTGAGAGGAACCAAAACTTAAAAGGGGAACCCATCCTCCTTTGGTAGGAAACAGATAGGAAACAGCATTAGTATAAAATATTAGAATACAAAACGGGGAAAAAACAGGTGAAACAATGGTTGTAACTAGTTTGAGTTTTAGTCTGGGCAGCAGCAGCAGTATCATCAGAAGGGTGAGTTCATGGAGGTGAGGTTTGCACAGCGAGAAGCTCCGTGGCGGTCAAACCGGT